CTACACCAGCGCCTTCATCGGGGGCATGAAATGGGTGTGTGTTTGGGATTTAAAAGCAAGAATCATGGGGCAAGTGGAACGAAGAAGAGAAAGAGAAAGAGACCAAAATGGGATTGGCTTTATATGGTTTACGGCCGGGGAAACTAGAAATTCATCATAGCATACAGGAAGGGAGTTCGGTGTAGGTTCATTATTGTTGAAAATACGATACCCAAATTGACGATTATCCGCAACTATTATCTGGCTATGAACTCATATTTTAACAATAGCTTTTTTTGCTGCTCGTCTGAACGAGCCTCTAATATCTAGCGAGGAGAAAAGATCTTTTGTTGTACGTGCGTAACGAACATTCTTTATTGCTTTGAGCCCCAAGAACCTTGCAGGCATCTGCTCCTCCCCATGTCATAACTACAATGCAAAAAAAAGTGTGCCACTTTCGAGCCCGTGGCATCTAAATCTATCCCAAAACGCCGTGGCTAAAGGACGACATGTCACATCTATCCCATTGCGTCCTCAACCCGTAGTAGTGAACATCCCCCGATGGCTAGCTCGCCAGACATATTTCACCAACAAGTATACAATTAATGACAACACAGCCCCAATGCCAACCAGCTGTAGTGGAAGGAGCATGAGGGTAGCCAGGAGAACCATACCGTAGGTTCGTGTCTTCTCAATCCACAGGTTCTGGGCATTCCGGCGTTCTTCCGCTTCGCTCCGCCATTTACTGCCCAAATCTCCATGGTCTCCGAGGAAATCTTGCTCGTCATCTTCGTTGAGGCCGTCATTGTACTCATCAGCAACTTCCGTGTCGTCGTCGTCTTCCTCATCATCACTGTCGGCTGGTCAGGAGTAGTTGAAACCGCCGCCCTGGTAGTTTGATCTTTGGCCACCGCCAAAGTTGAACTGCTGGCCTCCGCCAGGGAATCCTCCGCCACCGGAAGAGAATCGAGCACCGCCAGGGAACCCGCCGCCGCCGCCGCCGCGGAAACCTCCACCGCCGAATCCACCCTGGCCGCCCATCATGCTGAAGAGGATCTCGGGGTCGATGCCGCCCATACCGCCACCCATGCCACCGAAATCGGATGGATCCATGAGGTCGTCACCATTGTCATAGGCAGCGCGTTTCCTGTTTATCCAGTTAGTCCTTGTCATTTAGTGTTGGATATGGTCAGTGTGCCACTTACTGAGGATCGCTGAGCGTCTCGTACGCCTCCTGCAAGTCCTTGAACATGGCCTCGGCCTTTTCATCCCCAGGGTTCTTGTCAGGGTGGTATTTGACAGCCAGCTTACGGTAGGCCTTCTTGATTTCGTTGTCTCCAGCATCCTTCTCAAGTCCCATGATCTTGTAGTAGTCTTTCCTCTGGCTCTTCTTGAGTTCAAGCTCAGCCTTGCGAATCTCCTTCATGACCTCACGGTCTTCAGGCTCAAGCTCAGCAATGGACTTCCACTCCTTGATAGAGTCCTCCCACCTGCCTGCCTGCCCCAAAGCGGTAGCCTTGGTCTTACGAGCTTTGGTGTAGGTAGGATCCAAGAAGGCTGCCCTGTCCGCATCGGCAATTGCGTCATCGTATTCCTTCAGCTTAAGGTGGCACCGGGCACGGTTCTGCAGGAGCTTTGCGTTCATGCTCTTGTTGGTTGCATCAACATCCAGAGCTAGTGAGTACTTGTCAATGGCAGCCTGGAATCGGCCAGCCTTGAACTCTGCATTGCCTTCCTCCTTCATGCGGTCTAGCTTCTGTACGATTCTAAGCCACTTGACTGCGTCCCGGAAGTCAGGGTCACAGCTAATGGCCATCCGGAATGCCTTGATGGCCTGCTCATTCTCGCCCAGGGCGTAGAGGACTCGGCCTCGAAGCACCAGAGCCTCTGGGTCTTGGCTGTTGCTTCGGAGGAGAGCCATGGCGATGTTCTGGGCCTCGGCGAGGGAAGTTTCCCGTCCCATTTTCAGGTGTGCCTCTGCACGCATCAGCTGCCACTTTCGAGGCCTGCCGACGCCGGGTCCCAGCCCTCGCTCGGCCTGCTCCAACGCATGCAGGACCATTGACATGGCGGATCCTCGTTCCAGGGTTGCCCTGGCAGACGAGATGTGATTCAGCATCTCCTTTGTTGGGGCCACATCCTTCAGGGATGGGTATGGGCTGATGCGGCCAAAGGTGGTCATTGCCTCCTCTGGTCGGCCCAGACCTGTGTAGATACGGGCCAAGCGTAGTAGAATCTTGGGGTTGTGCGGGTCTAGATCAGCTGCACGGCTGCAGTCCTCCAAGGCAGCCTCGTAGGAGCCGCTGGACATGTAAGCAGCGGCACGATTGCTCAGGTATGTCGGGGAATCGGGGAACAGATCCACGGCTGCAAATCACAGAAAATGTCAGATTCTTGCCATGTAAAAGAAAACCACTGTGATAGTTTGGGGAAAGAGCAAAACATTAGTGCGCACCTTTGCTGTACTGCTCGATGGCCTTGCTGTAGTTCTTCTCCTTGAAGTGCCTATTACCGGCCGCCTTGTATGACTCGGCATCGTCCTCAGCCGTGGGTACGGGGCTCCCAGGGTTGGATCTGTGTGGAGGAGGAGCCGGTGCCTCCTCATGGCTGGTTCCATTGGGGATGGGCACAGAAAAATTTGCCTGGGCGGAGGGTTGAGGAGTGCTCGGGGTGGCACCGTTGACGGGCTCGCGATCCACGTCCATCGAGTTGCTGTTGCTGCCGTTGTTACCACTCATGGCTGACTGAGCAAGTATGGACAAGCGCTTGCGCTCCTCTGGTGGTAAATTTAAGGGATGGGCGTCGACGTCGATCTTGTGTCGTCGCGAAGACGAAGAAGTCCGGAACGGACGAGACGACTTGCTGCTGGTGCTGGTCGTCGCCTCGGGAACTGTGGAATGACGCGAAGAGGACGAGGAGGAGGACTTTTTGGACGGCCGGGGCTGCGGCTTTGTTGGCGACGAAGGCTCCGAGCGGTTCTGCTGGGGGGCTTGGAGGTCGTCAACAAAGTGGTTGGACTTTTTTGTTGGTGACTGTTTCTTGCTGCCGCTACCGAAGAACTTCATTGGAGCCGGGCACTTGCACCACCGTAAACTGTAATGGCAAAGCGAGGAGTTCTGTCCCGAAACAAGGTTATGCCGGATACTGGCTGAGTCAATGCCCTAAACGGGTTCCAGGCTTGGAAGCAGTCACCCAAGTCTAAAAAGCAGCACGGCTAAGGGACACAAAATTTTGGTGGGAGGGGTGTGGATGAGAGGGGCGGACCACCTCCTCGCTCGGGCTTGAAGGGGCTACTAGATTTAGTAGCGCTGCGAGAGTGGGCAGGTCTGCTGGTCTTTTCGCGTCGAGTAGGTAAGCAGGTTCGGGTATATCGCTTGGGAGGGTGGTAGTGAATTAGGTTGCGATAACGGGGATGCGATGCAGCCGGGCTAAATTAAAAGGGATTAAGGAGTCGGCGATACAACAGACGGAATCGGCCAATTGTGCATCGCACCTCGGAGCAAGTCGATAAATTGGCGAGAGACAGAAGCAAGGTAATGTAGCAGGAATGGCAGAGAAGGTGGGAGAGGAGGAAAGGAAAGAGAGAGAGAGGGCGCAAGCGGACCAGGTCAGCACAGCCCGTGATATTTCAGTTCAGCTGCACAACTTGGCCAGGCTAGCTGGCTGCCTGGCTGGCAATTAATTACTGGGCTGGCTGGGCGGCTCGATCAGATCAGCTACGTATCCATGATGTACATCTGTACAGCACAGCGTGTCAGAAAATTATGAACATGGCCGCACGGATGTGCTATTGGATCCATGGAAATTCAGTCTCGCGAGCCTAGGATTGGATCTCCCGTGCCCAAGTATCCGCTACTCCGGGAGCGGCCCGCCAACTAATACCACCTAGAGCCACCAGTCTATGGGCGCAGCACGGGCGTCTGGCAGGTCATGAGCGCTGGAAAGTCCCCCACTCGGGAGCCCAGCCTTCGCGTTGCAGGGCCACGCATAACGAACCAATGGGGAAATTGGACCCTGAGTTCCGGGCGTCTGCCACTGGCCCAGCCTGCCCAATTTCCCTGCCCAGCACATTGCGCTGGCGACTGAATGGCCAGGAGACTGTGATGGGCCTCGCCGTGGCCACTGCGACGTGCAGGCCAACACGCCATGTGCATGTAAAGGAGGTTGGCACACCCAGATGGCCCGCTGGCTGTCCCGCCAAGCCGTTTGGTGTCTTCGGCCCTCGCCTTAGTGCAAACCGTTCTAACGAGGGTTTGCACGCAGCGAATTTAGATTCTAGAAGGTTCAGTGGGGCGCTGGGAAAGTGCCTGCAGGAGTCAGGGATTGGGTCGTCAGAGTTCAGACTTCTCCACGCGAATCAGCCTCGCTAGTACCTGGGCCAAAACATGATGCTTCCATTTTGATCCTAGCACTCCTGCCGCCCTTCTCAGCCATCTCCGGCCATGTCAGTAAACAAAACGGACCTATCTTACTCCCACCGTCAAGATCCTCTTCTCCGTTTTTCGCATTGCATCAGGGCTGTCCGTTACTCTTACAAAAATGGGCCAAACCGTAGGATTTGACGAATAGTGCCGGTGTCTTCTTATTCATATGTATGTTTCTTATGAATCTCTAGGCGCCCAGATAGTAGTTAGAAGTCCTCATGTGCTTCAAAGGTGCATGTAGACTGACTTGCCATCCTTCCTAGCTTTAAAAGGGCGGATTGAATGTAGATTTCCAGAGCGAATTAACTTGAATAATTGCAAGACTAAAGACTGCCTTACGGAACTTGAAGTAGGCCCAACCAACAACCAGAACTTCAAGCTTCCTTTCCAACTAACGGTGAGTCTGGCACGCCCCTGAACAAAATCCAAGGCCATTCCCATCCATTCCTTTCTTTCCAGGATAATCCCATCTAAAGAAGCCCGCGTCAGTGCACTTCTACAACTGTTCACGATTCCATCATGCCACCTAGGCCAAGACCTCCTTACACCCCCAAAGATGACCTTGCTTGGGAAAGAAGCGATGAAGCTGCCGATGTGTGGGAAATCTCTCTTCACAAAAGTGAAATTTATCGGGCGATTGCTGAATTGATCTTGAAATACCGCCCAGGCGAAGGGGCAGAGCTACACCGGCCAATTCGAGGAGGTTACAACATTGTCTATCGTCTCGAGTACAAGGATGGATCCTCGGCTGTGATGAGAGTTCCCATTAAAGGTACGAACCAAGTTCTATCAGGCTCATATATTTCTGGTCGCCATTCTGACAAGTTTTGGAAACAAAAATATAAAGGTCCAGTGAAGTTCCCCGAAGAAAAAGTGAAATACGAGGTGGCCACGATGCGATTCATTGCGACCAATACTACCATCCCCGTCCCTAAGATTTATTTTGCAGGACGGCAGATGAAAATCCGACTGGTTTGGGGCCGTTCATAATCATGGAGTATGTTGAACACAAATGCACCATGTCTGAAGCTCTGAAAGATCCATCATTGGGACCAGATGAGCCCCATGTACTCGACCCCAATATTTCAGATCAAAAGCTCAAATTTATCTATCGTCAAATGGCCAACATTCTACTCCAGCTCTCAGGATTCAAATTTGATCAAATCGGTTCGCTAGTTCAAGATGAACAAGGCAACTTCTCTGCTTCCGGACGACCTATCATCCAAAACATGAACTCTATCATCGAATTCACGGATGCTCCTCCACACTTACTTCCCTCAAAACCGCACACCAACTCTGAAGACTGGTACAAAGCCCTTGCAGACATGCATCTTCTGCAATACACCTTTCAACAAAATGACGCGGTGAAGGAGAATGACGGTGAACAGAGCGTGTATGACGCCTATGTTGGGAGGCAACTTTTCCGAAACCTTGCTGCAGACGGACGGCTGACCACCGGGTTCGGAGCCCAAATGGGGAAGACTGAAGATGTCCAATGCGATTTTTAGACTTTATTCGGAAGATTTACGTCCTTCAAACGTTCTTATTGACGAGAAACTCAAGGTCGTCGCAGTCTTGGATTGGGAGTTTGCTTACGCGGCTCCAGCTCAGTTCTCGTTCGACCCTCCGTGGTGGCTGCTTCTCAAGGCCCCGGAATGCTATCCAGGGGCATATATTCCTTTCTCAAAGGCGTATGAGCTAAGGCTTGAGACATTCTTAAGCGTCCTGAGAGAAGAAGAAGAAGACGAAGAATGGAGACGCCGTAGATCGCAACCAAGAAGAGTCGCTGGATGCCAATCGCCTAGTGTCAAGGTAGCAAGCCCAACTGAGGAGCCGCTGTCCTCTCGCATGCGCAAAAGCTGGGATACCAAGACTTGGATGATCAACTACGCGGCCAGAAACAGTTGGAACTTGGAATTCCTGTTCTGGCGGTTCTTAGACCCCGAATTCTTTGGCCCTGGAAACGAGTCTGCCGACCATCACGCGAGACTGTCGCTTCTGAGCGAGCCACAACGCCAAGTGATGCGAGAATTTGTGGCGATCAAATTGGAAGAATCAAATGTGCGCGAGTTAATTGATTGGGATACACATGACGCGGAAACACATCTCAAGAGATTTTTGGTTTAGCTGAGAGATGGCCATGAAGCGTCAATCGACCCAAAATGGCTTTGTCTGAGTGGTAACTTAGGTAATGTAAATTGCCAAATTAGTTGTTGATTCTCTATCTGTACGCTACAGTCAGATATAATTTGATATATCTCACAAAAGATCAGATGATTGCTTCCTAGCATGCGTATTGTAGGAAGAGCAAGACTTCCTAGGAAGTTTGTAGGTTGCCTAAAAACCACCCCGAGCGGTACCGTATTTTACGGTTCACGTTTGAAGGCTAAGGCTTGCACATCATTGTTGCATAATCTTGCGTAGATGGGCTACGTACCTACTCAAGTCCAGCTGGCAGCAGGGTTGGAGCTGAACTCAGCTTAAAAGCGGCGTTGCTCAGGGAGCCTCCCCACAACGGCTGTGATGTGCAAGAATAAGGGCACTCACTTTAGTTCTTGCTGGCGGGTCATCTTTTCCTGTATTACCAAGCTTACCGGAGAGAAGGAACTCGAGAAGGCCGATATTTCGCTAGCATATGGGCACTCAAGACATCCATCCGCGCCCGCAGTCCGTCGACCAGCCACCGCGAGAAACAGGATATTTCCTCAGGGGATCCGAGGTCGGAAGGACGAAACGCAGCACGTGGGGATTGCTTTTTCTGGTGACCAACGTTCACGTCATTTGTTTCCAAGTGGAGCATATGTTAAAACGACCAAATCTCCGGGACCGCGTCTTCTAAATTTCAAATTTATCCCCTGTCAGAGGATATCACTCCCAGTCGCCATTATGGAATGACCAAATTTAGAACCCATGGAGGTGGCTGGAAAGCCAACCCATCAGTAATTATCTTCTGAGATGATGAATCTTAATATGATATGCAAATAACCGTAACTTGCTCTCAAAGCTATCAATAGATAGCGTTCAATAAGCACCGAGGTAGGTAACCTAAGCTGTTTTATGATTAGAGGAGATAGAAAGGTTCATGTCTCTTAACTACGGAAGGTATGCCATTCTATAAGCATCCTATCAGTTGGTTTTATCTTGACTGAGTGTTGTGGACGGTGTTAGCCGGTTGGTTGGAGTTTTTGGCTTAACAAGAGGAATGGCCCAGGATTGGTTCCTGCAATAGTTTTAATATCATGTGGACCCTGAAGCCATGCATAAATTTAATGAATATTATAATAGCACTGCCCGCAGCTTTCTAATTCGAGATCTAGCCTTCCGAGTTCTCTTGCGAAGATCCGCCCGAGCCTCCATTCGATCCCATGATCGAATTGACGAATTCTTGATATCTGAATACATCACCCCGCTTCGCGCCAAGCTGGGCGTTCATGTTCTTGTTGAACGCTCGTCTCCCCGTGAAGCCGTTTATCACCTTGTCGACCTCTGCTGCCGTCAGAGGGCGCTCTCCCGGCTCGGGAGCTGTGTTTAGCAGAGCGTCTCTCAAATCAGCCAGATCAACCTGTCCACTGTCGTCCTCATCAAACGCAGAGAAGGCAGACATTAGCTCGCTGCTTGCGGACAGTGCTGCCAATTTGTCCGCTAACGAGTTCAGGAACGCCGCCAACGCGATGGTCTGTGGCTGCGACGGCGGGAAAAAGTGTGATACGTCTGAGGGGTTCGAGGGTAGTCCTGCAGTCGTCTGGTTAGCAAGGTGGCACGCATTATTGACTATATCCTCTCCCGTACCTAATTGATGCAGCATATCTGCCACGTCTTCGCGGTTCACAATGCCGTCACAATCGCGATCGAGGATCTGAAAGCTATCTCTCAACATCGTCACCTGTGCTGGCTGAAGCTGGGATAACGAATTTCCGTGTCCAAGAGGCTGACTTGGAGGCGTGTGCGCCACCGGGGCACGCTGGAAGGGTGATCCCATTTCTCGGACCGGTGTGGTAGGCCCTCTAGGTGTCCAGTTATTCTCGCGATTACTGCTTGTGGGTGTCGTAGGTATCGCAAATCGTGAGGTCCCGTTCAGCGGCCCGGCCGCGCCTTTCGTTGGTGACGTAGTTGGCGTGGTTTGACGGAGAGGAGATGGTGATGCTGGTGACTCTGCTCGTCGGAAAGGAGAACTTCGAGTTGGAGGAGAGCCATAGCCCAGAGCTGAAGGTTTAAACGCCGATGGCATTGACTATAGTCACCGTCGACGGCGTCAGCGCATCTACCATATCTCAGGGTTCCAGCGCCTTCAATGCTGTACGTACCATTGTTGTTAGGGCGCTGGGGCCCGAGGAAGCACAAGTCTTAGGAGTAAGATGGGTGGCTTTTCCTTATTCTTGGTCGATCCGGTGTTTATTAATGATTCACCTAAGAACTGGCTTGTGAGAAAGCTGCGTTTTGCTTGATTAATTACCAGTTTCGCAAGGTCGTTATCGATTGCAGGTGGGCATACGTCGTACATGCATGGATGTCATTAGGGATCTTGGAAGTAAACAATCAAACTCGCAACCACGACAACATTAGCTTTGCATGGCAGCTAAGTGGGGCGCGTGGCTGAAGCGGCGGCCCTGTATGGCGGTGCGGCTTACTAAGGAGGCCCTGCACATCAGATTGTGATGCTAACCTTTGTTTAATGTGCGTCATGGAAGCAGTATTTTTGGCTGATAACCATTAATTGGAATGCATTTACTGTTAACTCTGTGTACCATCTTGATGCTTACCCCATTTTTTTTGCTATCTGTTTCCATACTTCTCTGCACACAGAAGACAATGCCGGTGGCTTTCACTTGCTAGTCAGCACATGGCCAATCGGAGGTCAACTCTTACTAGAAGGGAGTTGAGCTATTACCCCTGGTCTAATAGGGTCCTCTTCTGGAAGGGTGTGTGGATACAATTCAGGGACTACCGTCCCAAGCGGTCGAATGCCTTCCCATAAAGGGGCGGAGAAGTATGGGGATGTGTTTCAGCACCATTTTCTAGGTGATCGGAACTTGGGTTTCCATATCACCTGCCCCCAAGAGCGGTTGAGGCATAGATTTCTTGATTCACCGCTATCCAGACAGCCCGACGATACCGACGTGGAAACATATGGGTTGGGTTGGTGAATGATAGGTGCCGGATCAGATGATGGTTGGCTGCATATCAATGCCTCCCTAGTGCTTAGCTATATCGCCTGCATGAAAGCTGTGTGGTGCTACACAAATGCTATTGGATCGAGGGCCAGAATCCAGCCAAAGCACCGGGGCATACGTAGTAATACCTGCGATTTGTAACCTTCTACCTACCGAATGCGACCATTGTGTATGCGCACTGGTTTGCTGGCTGGCAAGTGAAGTGGCGTCGCTGGCTGGCTGCAGGCATTAGCCACAGCGATATTGGCGGACCAAGCTGCTTGATACGGGGCCACCCCCCCGCTCCCACCAGAGACATACATTGAGACAAGACATACCGATACATTACACTACATACACACTCCCAACGCATGCAAGGAGTGCGCAGCTCAGTCCTCGGCTAAGCACATATTCTGCAGCTTCGCGGCCAGAGCGTCCGTGGCTCAATGAGGAGCCATTATGGCGACCCTCCTGCCGCACATTGCACGAACCCAGAGCAACACCAGTCAGCTCAGCGGCTCCAATGGTTCTGGAGCCCCCCCTTCGAACACCCGACGAACCTCGCTGTCCTCATTCCCGCCCTCACGCTCGCCCTCACAGATGTCGCGCCCGCCAAAGTCCCCACAGCCGCCCATCCATGAGTCGGACCTCACATCGGAGCTCAGCCAGAAGCTCAATTCTTCCTCCCCAGCGAACCCATCCTCCCAGCACTCGTCGCTCTCTGCGCCATTGCGGTCGGATGCAGGCACCTCTCGAAAGCTGCGCTCACAATACCCCCGCGGGGCCACCGAGAACCATGTGGAATATATTTTGGTTGCGTCCTTTGACATTGACCGCGGGCCGGTCATGGAGCATCAGTACCCCGTCGCAATCACCGGCGACGAGAACATGCTTGCGGAGCTGATGCTGCCTGACCAGGCCCATGCGCGCAATCAGGACTGGACCATTTTTTTCCTGCACAAGGAAAGTAACGAGGAGGAAGAGGAGAAAGAGAGACAAGCCAAGGAGGAGCGCAGGCGGAGGCGGAGGAGAAGGCGCAATAAATTGGCGGGGATCATTGACGAGGAGGACGAGGACGACATGGACGACGACAAGGACGAAGACGCTGACGATGACCTCGACGATGATGACGACGAGTCCACCGACAGCGAGCCCGAGGGGGGGGAAGGCCCCCCGTTGATTTATGTTCTGAACTTGGTCAACACAAAGCACGACAAGACGGTGAAACGAGGCGCCATTGTGAAATCCATGGCCATCTGTACCCGGCATCCCTTTCTGCACATATACAAGGTATGTGATACTGTGGTCCCCTGCACTTCTGGTGTAAGCTTGCATACAAGATACTAATATGTGTAGCCATTGCTGCTTTTGGCCTTGGAGGAATACTTGAAGGCCCCTGTCCCCGAAACCTTGTCGGCTCTGTACGATTCTGTCAATGCCATGGACCTGTCCTTGATGCCCAGGCTGAGTCTCCTGGAAAGGCACCTGCTGCAAGCCAGTGACAATCGGGATCTGTTCGTTGAGAAGTTCGAGCAGATGATTCAGATGCGCATGGCCGAGGATGAAAACGAGACGGCCCCGGCATCAGCCGTAGAAGGAAGCTTCAGTCCCACGAAACGCGCAGGTATCTCTAGAACCGGAACCAGGGCTCAAGTGGAAGGCGGGCAGACCGTGTATTCCGTCCCGCGGGACACTCACGAGTTCGAGACCAAGATTGTCTACAAGGGTATTCCAGTGCCTGTTAAGGTGCCGACTGCCGTCATGCCTGAGACTGTGGGTGACTTCTCACTCATCAAGTTGATCCAAAATTTCTCCGATACGCATACGAAGAATCCTCTGCCATTCCCGCTGCATGCCCATCTGACGACGAACGGCACTCACACTCACCCCATTATTGTACTGGTGAATGGCCTGTTAACGCAGAAGAGAATTATTTTTCTTGGGTACAATATGCCTTCAGGAGATGTGGCTGAGGCTGTGCTCGCAGCCTGTGCTCTGGCGTCGGGTGGTCTCTTGCGGGGCTTTACGCGGCACGCATTCCCCTACACCGATTTGACCAAGATTGATGACCTCCTCAATGTCCCTGGTTTCATCGCCGGTGTCACTAATCCGGCCTTCGAGCATCACTCTGAGTGGTGGGATATTCTCTGTGATCTACCAAGCGGGCGTGTGAAGATCAGCCCCAAGATCGAGGCGGCTCCTGCAACCGAGGGCTTGGTCTATTTCCAGCAGCAGAACCCTTCACTGGCCACTCTTGCCAGCGGCACTTCCAACAACAGCCAGGATCTCACGGGCGATTCCGCCTTTCTAAATGACATCCTCCGCAGCATAGCAGCTCGGCACGGAGAGCGTGTCATCCGTGCAAAGTGGCGCCAGTGGATTCTGAAGCTGACGAGGATCGCCGCTCAGTTTGAGGAGAGCGTCTACGGAGCAAGTGCTCTATATATTGGCAGCGAGGACCGGGAGTTGACCCTACCTGGCGCAAGCGGACATGGATACGTCTGGCCTGACGATGCAGCAAAGCATAAGGAGCTAGCTGGCAACGTGACAAGGATCGAGGGTTGGCGTAACACCCGAAGCTACTACAGCTATATCCAGGTAAGTTGTCCCCTAGTAGAGAAAAATCTATGGATAAGGGCTGACACTTTTTGGAAATACAGGATCTGGCCCAGCTCTACACCGTCCGCCCTCTCAAGGGACTCGATGTTGCGCACATGCACGACCGTCTACGTTTGCAGCGTCTCTCACCGACGCAAAGTCGCGATATTTACCTGACACTGTCTAGACACATCCATTCTTACGACGAGATCTGTCTTCTTCTCAGCGTCGCCCCCGAAAACCACGCCGGGCTCTTCTATATCGCCCTCGGTCTGTTCCACAAGGACCCCGAAGTCCGGATGAAGACCGTCGAGCTTCTGGAGCGCATCAGCGAGCACGAGGCCGGCCAGCATTGGTGGAGAGGCGTCAGCCGCTTCGAGAAGCTCGCCTCGCAACGCATCCGCCGCGAGAGCGATGCAGCAGAGGCGCGAGAGAAACTTGCAAAGGAAGTCATGTCGCCACAGCCAGATGTCGAGACTAGGCTTTCCTAGAACGGAAGAATACACACAGCCATTAATTTACAACTACACCACTCCCGATACAGACACACAGCCAACGAAGGAAACGAGAAGAGAGACGAAGACTGCAAGCGTATCATACATAATGGTTTATTTTTACGAGAGGAAGACCACGACATCAATAACCATCTGGGCGGCGTTTTATATATCCTGTTTCACCTTCCCTTTCCGCTGCTCCTCTTTCTCTCCCCATCTTCATCACGCGAGTACTGCCGACTGGGTTCGTTTTTGAGGATCAGCCTGGGTTTCTCCGATGAATATATCTTCTGTATATTGATGGAAATTTTCATAACTTTGGTAGGCGAGAAAGCGTGTTTGTCAATGGGAGGGAGGCTTTGTCATCATTTTGAATTCTCATTCCTTTTGGCCGCGACTCGGAGTCGCTTATACAAGTTAGTTTTATTTAGAGCAAGGAAGAGGCAACCACCCCCCGAATTTCTCAGTCATTATGTTTTCATTTCTACCCCCCCCGCGCTAATTGATATCCTTGGGTAATTTCCTTACAGAAGAAATTTGGCGTGATGCTTCAGATGGTCGGCTCCGAAGGTGGAGATGAAGAAGTAGGAGTGATCGTAGCCCTGTTGAGATGGAACCGGTTAGTCTTTATAGTTCCACGGACAGGGAGAAGAACGAGGGAAATCGGAGGAGCGAAGATGGATGGAATTTGGGGCGGACTAACATCCTGATAGCGGACCTCGAGGCCACCGACGCCAGCGTCCTTGGCAGCCTTCTCAAGGTTCTCGGGCAGCAGCTGAGACTGCTTGTAGAAGTTATCACCGGTACCCTGCACAGTGAAGAAATCACCACATGTTAATTCATAATTCGGCCAATTCTTTGAGATGGTAAATCGGTGCCGCAACGTACCACATCCACGAGCGCATTCAAGGGACCCTTCCAGCCCTTGACCAGCTCAGAGGCGTCGTGCTTCTTCCACTCCTCCTTGTCCTCGCCCAGGTACCCGCTGAAGGCCTTTTGTCCCCACGGCGCGTTGATGGGGTTGGAGATGGGCGCCCAGGCGCTCACGCTCTTGTACTTGCCCGGGTTCTTGAGGTACAGGGTCAGGGCGCCGTGCCCGCCCATGGAGTGGCCGGAGATGGAGACGCGGCTCGAGTCGATCTCCTTGAACTCATTGAAGACGACGCTGGGGAGCTCCTTGGAGACGTAAGACTCCATCTTGTAGTTCTTGCTCCATGGCTCCTTGGTGGCGTCAATGTAGAAGCCAGCGCCGCTGCCGAAGTCGTAGGCGTCGTGCTCGCCGGGGAGGTCGGTGCCGCGTGGGGAGGTGTCCGGGTAGAGGAGGGCGATGCCCAGGGGCCCTGCGTGGGCGGTCAGGAAGCCCTTCTCGGTGACGTTCTCCGGGGTGCAGGTCAGGCCGGACAGGTAGATGAGGAGGGGCGCGGGCTTGGAGGAGGAGGCGCCGGGGGGGATGAAGAGGTTGAAGTTCATGGGGGTGCCGGTCGTGGCAGACTGGTGGGTGAGCTTGAGGAGGCGGCCCCCGAAGGTGGTGATGGTGGCGTTGGTGGTGACGGCAGCCATGTTGGATTGCTCTTTGGGTCCTCTCCTTCCTTCAATCTGTTTGGTATATGGCCGGGATAGGATTGGAGTTATGCGCCAGGGAATGTTTTAAAGGTTATAAAGTTTCTATGGGAGAGGGGAGACGGTTACGTTATGTAGGGGCAGCATATCGAGCACCAGGTTAGCCCAGGCACTATGCAATGATGAGGTAGCTATCCATTAAACAAGCTGCGAATCGAGTCTCCGAGGTGGAGATGGATGAGGGGAAATGTTACCCCGCAATCCCGGGCCATCTCCGAGATACCACCGCATCACCTTCAACTGGGCGAACACAACCGAGTATAATTACCTTGCTCAGCAGTTTGAGCTATGCAATTTGTTTCATTGCTTTGCTCAGCTGAGCTTATATTTATCCCTGTGAGATCTCTGCGCTGGATTACCCTAAGGCGCGGCTGCGAGAGTCTTATCTACAGTCAAATACACGAGTGGCGCATGTAGCCGACTGCGGAGGCGCTTACGCTAACCCTTTAGTTTCTGTCCCTCTCCAGGGACCAGCAGGAGATGTGCACGCAATCCGTTTCCGAGACTCCAAAGGAAACCGTTTGAGGCGTGGAAATAGCGTGCTATCAAACCCCGTTCTCGACCATCTCTAGGGTGCAGACGGCTGCAATAAATATAACTACTTGATGTGATCAAGGAACCGGGAGATATTTCCTCATAGGAGGGTTAAATAGAATTCCATAAACCTACCCACGGAGCCGTTCTCCATTGAAGTAGAATCAGTTGCGGTTCAACTGTAGAATGATTTGGGCCTCTTGACTTGAGCCTATTTCACACCAATTGGCCCGGACTCATCTAACATCTACCTAGCGTATTTACCTATACACAGTGACTTTCGCATCGAGTTGGATCTTTAGTCTCATCTCTGCTGTTGTGCCGATGCCGAACTCTCCTAATGGGTATGAGAGTGGAGACGGCGACGCCCAGCAAGCTGACGTGACGTTTTGCCAGGGAATCGTGATCCCCCCAATCTCAGAGGCAGATGATGTTGGATCTTTCATGGATAATGTCGATGCTCAAAGGTGCGCCTTACATCAGATGCCGCACTAGCCCAGGCGCCATTTCTTAATTCAACGGTTGCTGTTGTAGGGTGGCTAAGCATACGTCGCATTGGACAGATGAATAACTACACTAGGTTAGAGTAGTTGAAGGCATATTTGGAAGAACATGAAATAATGAATACTTGCGATTTGTGAGAATGATGTTGTAATGGCGTCCCGAGGACCGAAAGACGACCAAGGAGTTGCTTCAGAATCCATCGCGCAATAGTTGAGCTGATCATACTTCCCCTGTATCTCTCACGAGAATATCTCTTTCTAACCTTATTTCGGCTTTTCGTTTGGTAGACAAGCCCGAGGCTGAGGCAATTGAACTTGGATTTGGCATAGACTGAAAGGCTGATTAGTTGTCAGCTGGCCCTCAGTGGCGAGTTGGGACTTTGGAGCCAGTACTACCTCTGATGCTTAACTGCTTTTCAGGGAAAAGTAAAGGCAGCTTCCCTAAGAAACTTCCAAGTGGGTTACGCCCGTAGTACTGGGGTGGCGATTCTACGTTCTGCGCTGCCTCTCGATTCGCCTCCCTTCCTCATAGTTCAGTGTCGGGCGCAATCGAGAGTTTCACTCCCCAGAACCATCGCAAGCCACAGGAGCTATTCAAAAGGACTTGATTTTTTTCTTTTCGCCCGAATTCTAAAGCCGAAGTAAAATAACGAGCCTGCAACGCATCAACCCTTGGTCGGACTTGGGACGCTGAGCACAATGTCGAGGGCCCTCCCTCTCAAAGTTACCACGGCAGCCTTCTGTTGTTTCTGATGGCAGCAGCAAGGAGGCACTTCAGAAAAACGCGGTTCTGACCTTCTCGTTTCCATGACACTGGTGAGGAGGGATGTCGACCAGATGACATACAGGTTGGTATGCTGGGGGCGGGAAGCTAAGGCCGATAACTCCTCCACGCGGGGGGGTTTCAAAAGTCTATCCACCTCGTGACGTAGAAAACCTGGAAAAGAAGGAGGCTGTGCCCTGCGAATAAAACTTAACCCGTGGGACAAGTTAAAAGGTTTCAACTCTTAGGCAGCAATCATACGTACCCGAAGAATCACTCGTGCTTAGAACAGATACATAACCCCGGCCATCTTCCAAAAGCTCCTTGTTTTTCTTCCTCCTTTCTCACCATCACTTATCATTCCAAGCACTACCACTTGATATTTGCAGTCCTTTATTTTCTATTACTATATCGTTGATTCCTTTCACTGTATCCGCTAGTCTTCGCCCTTTCTTACCATCACTTATCATTCCATTCATTACTTGCTATTTCGTGATCTTCGATGTTCCGTTGCTGTAACATCGATTACTTTACTGTATTCGTTGGCAATCAAGATGGGAATGTCCGATGTAACGACTCCGCTGGCATTTCCTCTCAGGGGCCCATATTGAAAAGCAGCACTGAAAATGCCCTCACTTCCATCACGCAAAACATCGCAAGGTTGGCCACCGATGCCACCTCCATCAAACAAGAAGTGGCAAATCTGAACAACGGACTCACATTATTGGAGAACAATCTAGGCACTGAGGTCACTAAACTTCAAGGAAGACTCAGCTCATACTTTGATGCTCGGTAAGTAATTTATCTTTCCTTTGACCACTTGAGTTCTCAGCTAAACAAAAAGTGACGAAAACAAACGTCGCCGAATGCTCAACTCCCTTTCAATCCGTAGTACCGACGGAGATGCAACACTCTGTCCATTGCTCAACCTTCTCTCTGGTAAGGAAATCCGTGGATTCCCAAGAACAATGCGGGATCTACATTCACTGGACTGTAAGTTGAATGATGATTAACATTCCCTCACTCTTCTTTGCTAATAATTCTTTTCTTTTAGCGCAAAGCGGAATTGCTATATTGGGGCAGCTCCGATGTAACGTCCGCGAAAACACGGTTTGGGTTTTGCGAGAGCGCCTGCGTGACGAAATTCTCTAAAGCGAGGGGATTCCAATGGGGTGGTCCAGTTACAGCGTTTTGGGAAGTTTTGAGGAGGCATCCATTGCATTCCAGATAATGCTCAACTCCCTTTCATTCCGTACCAACATAGACGCAACACTCTGTCCCTTGGTCAACGTTCTCCCCGGCGAGGAAATCCGGGACTTCCCGAATTAATGAGAGATCTGCATTCAATGCATTGTAAGTTGAATAAGAGTTACTATTCCCTCACTTTTCTTCGCTAATACTCATTTTCCCTTAGTGTACTCCGTGACTGCTATTACTGCCATTAGCAACTCCGATGCAGCGCATGTGGAAACACTGTCTGGGTGTTGCGAGAACGCCTCTGTGATGAAATTCTATGAAACTGAGGAAAGTGGGCTGAACCTATCCGAGAGTTAGGAAGGTGGCAAAGGCAGATCTGGGAATTTAAGAAAAAAGAAAGGAAAAAGTTCCCGACAGAGAGGGACGTAGACCTTGGCCCAAAGATGCGTTGGTTTAAAGGAAAACCCTAAGAGAGAGCTCATCAATTTACTCTCGGACCCGCTTCGAAGATAGCCCCTCTCCAGAGCAGGTCCTAGAGAGACTTGGGTGAGCTCTCTCTTAGGGATTTCCTTTAAACTGGCGACTTTGAGAAAGTAGGAGTGGAGGAGTGGGAGGGGGCAAAACAATTGGATTGATCTCTTTGAAGGCGTATGGTTGACCATGTTTTTTAAAGTGTGTTCAAAGAGGTTGTAAGATACCATGATGTTCACTTCTAAGATTGATGTTCACTCTCTATCCTATGTAGCTATAGGCATTGACCGGTTATGTACCTGGTTCCAGAGTAGTCGTGATTAATCCGACTGCTCTGGTCCTGGGGTCCAAACCGGTGACCGCCCATATTGATAATTAGTATACCCAAACGGTCTCTATTTGAAAAATAAAAGTTCCTCCTGGAATCTTATTGGAATACCATCTGACGTCCGTCTATCTCATCACTACGCGAGACGTAGGTGTGAGCCAAGCCCTCTAGTTGGCACCTCGAGCCGGAAAGCAGGTCTATTGTTCCCTTGTCCCTTCTTGAATTTGCACAGAATGGCGTTATCATACTTTTTTAAAACGAGCCCCGTGATTTGGTATGTCATGTGCTGGTTCAGGCTTCCATGTGGCATGCTTCGTAAAATTTAAGTTGAGAAAATTTGGTTGTTTCATTGAGAAAGGTTTTTAAACTAATGCAGAGTATAATGAAATTGGCTTATCCCGTGCCAGGCTTCTTTGACTAGTCGAATTTATTACTCTTGAGGTAGTTATTTAACTTTTACGAGCTGAAGTTTGGCGTCATCTTTCTACTGGTTTAGGTTGGTGGCAAAGCAACGGAAAGCAAAGTAGAAGGCGAGTGATGCCTAGCTCTTGCTACCACATATCAGGTATAAAAGCTACGCCTGTCCCTCCATTCCTCAGTTCAAATCTCATCCTGTATCACACACCTTGGTAGCAGCCCAAAGCCACCACCTACTCTGCTATTACCCATCATCCTTGGCTCAAACGCATATTCGCAGTAGCCCATACCATCATCATCTACCCTGCTAACACCTCCCATCGTTGGCTTGAGGAAGCACACTATGGCTAAGTTCCAGGTTGACCCCTCCTCTGAGAGTTCCTCTGTGAATGGTGATGCATCTCCGCGCACTCCTCCAACTCCATGTCTACAGGGACAGGTCAATGGGACCTACGGCACTAGCATGCTCTGCACTCGGTGCGTAGAAATGCGTAGCTTGTCTGACTTCAACTCCAATGCCACGTCTAGTCTCTTTGGCCAGCCTAAGAGTGATAGGCCTGACTCCAATGCCACGTCTAGTCTCTTTGGCCGGGCTAGGAGTGACAGGCCTAACTCCAGCTCCAATGCCACGCCTAGTCTCTTTGGCCAGGCTAAGAGTGACAGGCCTGACTCCAAATTGGATGCCCCTGCTCCTTTGTTTGGTGCTCCCTTTTCTGGTGCTCCTCCAAGCAATACTCCAACTCAGCGGTCAGCACCCTGCGATACGTGCTACTTGTCTTCTTGCTTTTGTCCTAAGAACGGCAAACCTGAATCCAATGCCAGTGCCTCTACTTCCCTATTTGTTCCTCGCTGCAAGACGTGCAATAGGGCTTTCTGTTTGTGTCCTGAGGACAAAAAGCCCGACTCTAAATCGGATGCCCCTGCTGCCCGCTCTGAGGCTTCTCCATGCACCGGAGACATTCCTATAAGTCAGCGGAAATGGACTTTCTGCACTAAGTGTTACTCGCTTTTCTGCCCTAATGCCACTACCACTGTCGGCCCTCCGCTCTGCCTTACGTGCCGCAAGCCTGACTGCCTCGGCGGTCTACACAAGCCTGGCACTTACCGGCACCCCCCTAGCTCGCCTAAGAGTGGTTATGTGCCCAAGCCTGGGTCTCTATTCACGTCTGGCTCGCCCAATTCCGATGGCTTTCCCAAGGGTGATAACCCTGACTTCAAAGCCCTTAACGCCAAATTTGATGACCTTGGCGCCAAATTTGAAGCTCTTGAAGCCAAATGTGATGACATTGGCGCCGTTTTTGATGCCCTTGGCGACAAAAGGGAGGCCCTACGTTTTTTCATGAAGTCCGAATTTGAGAGTCTGGGCTCCAAATTTGATGTTCTTATCCGCAATATGAATGATGTTGTAAAGAAGCTCTGAAGCTATTTGGCGTTTAGTGTATATGTTATCTGAATACACTATCTCAAGTTTGACAACTCCCAAAGGGAAAACACTGGCAACACACCCTTCTGCCGTTACAACAGGTGGGAAATCGGTCAACTGACGGAAATGGGCCCTACGACGAAGAGCTCCATCTCCAACACTCTTCCCAAGGATGGGTCCTCTACCATGGAAACAATGGAGGAAATGAGGAAAGAAAAAAAAGGAAAGGAAAAAAAAAACGCCGCCGCAGCAGCAACAACAACACCACCCCTCCCCTCCCCTAGTCACCAAAAAAAAAAAAAAGAAGAAGAAGAAGCCCCAAACCTAGATAGCATCTGTTAGGAAACTCAAGCAAACTTACCCCCCCCCCAAATATTAGTTCATCTCATCTAAATCAAATCCCCTTGGAGACTTTTAAAAATTGGCGGGGGACGTATGTAGTTGGACTAAATGTGTGACTGCTCATGCTGATCCTCTAGGGGGTCTTCCGAAACGGGTGCGGCCCAGTCAAAACTCGATTAGGCAGCCCAAGCTTCGCCAACACATTTTTTGTAAGTTGTATTAGTTCAATGTCCATCCCTAATTACACTGTCAACTAGTTATCCGCATCTCTAGTTGGCTCAACTATTACCTTTGGGCCCAATGAGGGACGCCACGACACCATAAAGTTCCTCTCGGAGAAGGCTGCTATTGGAAGGGTTTTGGAGCTTTCCAAAGCAGGGCCTTTCAGGCCCTACCCAAGGCAGCAAGCATTTGCCTTTTCCTTGATCTTCTTTACCTGGACCCTTATGAACACGACCAACAGCTGCAGCCTCGGGCAGCCTCGAGCAGGTAAGTCTGATCCTATTTGCCGCGGTAATGATGAATGCAATGATGATGTGGCTGCAAGCCGGTAAGTCAGACCTCTTAATATCAATAGTAGTACTACTTGAGTCAGTAGCCCCGTAACCTACCGTAATCTATTATAAAAGGGAAGCGTACTGCGTTAGAAGTACCTATTTTGAAAATGAACATTATGTAGCCGCTGACAGCGTACACAGCCCGCATGCAAGTGAATGCATGTACACTGAAAATGGTGTCAGAGCAGCTACGCGCTGTTTAGGATTTCCAAACGCTTTCCACACCGTTATCCAAACCCCCACCCGCGTTGGTACATAAGTGGTCAGCCGCAAAGGGGGATCTGTGGAACAACAACACAACCACATCCACAAGAGATTGAATTCAATTTCGAGGGTCCAGCTACTAAATGGAGAAGTAGCCGCCTCCAAGGGCTCCTTTCTAAAATAGGTGTGACGATAAGTCACCATGCAAAATCTTTACTCAGCTTTCTCCGGTTTACCCTCTTATATTGCCGCAATCGGCATGTTTACTTTGGATCCAAGATACTATATTCGCCTCAACGAGAATGCGCCCACTACTCAACGACTACCAGATCATTCATGACACAGTTCGTAGAGGAGAAAACTGGAAAAAAATAATGGTCTGGAAGTCACTCGATTCAAAGTTCGTACGTATATGTGCACCCTGAGTCTTTAGAGGTTACTTTGAACTTGATATACTCCTGAAAAGGGCCACAATATTGTAGAAGATTGATATACGGGCCATATGTCATAGCTTATCGGGCACCCAGTGGCGTCCTCATTCTACGGATGTGTAGCCTGACCACGTCTATGGACGGGTGAAAATTGTTATGAATCATCATGGACTGTCCACACCAATCTTCGGTTATCATAGAGAGTCACCGCGCTAACAGCAGCAAGTCCTTTGATAACTCAGTGACGGTTAGGTGGATTTCGGCTACACATCCGTCATACTGAACGGCTAGGTTGCGATCACGCGACCCCTACTAAGCGAGCCGAACAAATGTCCAGAGCCGCAAGAGGTCTGAATCTCTCTTTCTAACCAATCACGTGTCATATAGGAAGTTTAGGATTAAGTTGTGGTATTCGCTTGCATCCATACCCGCTACCTCCACTGGCATCCGAGCATGGATAGGGGCATTGCAAATGTATCAGACACTTCATTGGAGATGACTTAAATTGTACGTAATAAGCACACACCTTTTCATTATGATTTACATTATAAGAGTCTCACATTACTCCTGTCTCCACTCGTCATCCAATGGTAATTGACTTCTGCAAGTCCTACTCTCCGATATACATCCTTCTCCAACCTAGTGAGAACCAGAGCATACGCCAATATTGGCCTCTGGTAATCCCCCAAGTCTACTGCATCCACCCCAGGTCTGCTAAGCTCCTGTCTCGCCGCTGCCATGGCTTCATCCTTAAGCGTCGAGAGGTGGGCGCAGAATAAATCCCCGACGGGGTGGGTGCCGTCATCAAACGACACAAACCCGATGAGTTTCTTGCTCTCATTGTACAACTCCTGGCAGTCTGTTATAGCCGCGAGAGGGGTTGGTATCGTCTTTGTTCTCGGGTCAAAGTCAAAGGGGGACGCCTTTGCCAATTCCTGCCTGGATCGTTGTTCGGTCCCGTAGCTTGATATCGCAGTCGATATACTCTGCATCTTGCGAAGAGTGACGTCCAACGTTAGCGAGGCGGGCTTTGCAAACGGCACAGGAGCTGTCAGGCTGGGCACGTCTGCTTCGACAAGATGGAACTCTGGCTCTGGAAGGCGTCGAGGAGTCCCTGCTTTGCGTGCGGCCCTCGGTTCTCTGACAAAGGATACCGGTCCCTTGTAAGAGATCCAAGCCCAAGAAGGCATGTTAAGTTTGTGCAGATACTCCAAGCTCTCCCCTCTCCGAGAGATCCACGCAAGGTCCATGTGCAAAGTCTGCTCCCAGAGCCCGCAGAAGTTGCGCCCGTTGAGCTGGGGGCTCTGTGGATGCATCTGCTTCTTGTTCACGAGCCCGGCAATGGCAGCGAGCCTGTCTGAATCGAATGTCAGTTGGCATTTACTGAAATTAGCTGCAATAGTGAGCCATGGTGAATCGTCATGTTGCTCGTCCGGTTTATTGTTGTTGAATACCTGCCGCCATATTTCGCCATCGAGCCCTCCATCAGCTTCGAAGGAGCTTCTCTCAGGGAATAGATCGACTTGTGAGTGTTTGGTTGTTTTATATATGCAGCTCATCCAGGTAAAGTATCGACAGACCCAGTCTTCGCCACATATGTCATGAGTATCCTCGCAGTATATATGATGCTTCGTAAAGTGAATGGTTCGAGGGGCCAGCAGCCGCTCTTGCAAAACCCAACCTCGGGTATTCAAGTGCGCTCTGTCGACATCCACCGCATAGGACCGCGGAATTGTGAGATAGGCCTGGTGTGTCGCTTCATCCAGTGTTTCCTGCATTGATGATCGATAATCATCCTCTAGAGAGTCCCAAGCTGTTGTCATGATTTCGTCAATCATTCTGGACATGGCGGCATCTTTGTCCGAGGTATCGCGGCTTTGGCCATGCTGGCTCCCACCAAGCCGTCCCTCTGGAGACTCGTCACTCGTTGTATCATAATTTGGGGAGCTTGGTAACTTTTTAAGCGTGTTTCCATCACGGTGTATGTTGCCTAGTGCAGTCGCATTCGAGCCGTAGTCATCTGGTACGTCTTCTTGCGGCATGGCGAGCGCGGTACGGTTTCCAAGATGTTCTCCAGATTCTAGTTGTATCCCAAAGTGCCCTTGGCGCCACAAAGACAGAAACTCTTTCATCTTCTCTCGCAGGGCCAGCCGCCCCTCTTCTGTCTTCGTCATGTAATTGTCTCCCAGCAGGCCATCAATACCCGATAGGGGTTTGGGCGCTTTCAGGTGCGGCACACGTACGGACGGATACTCCCGTGGAGGGAAAAAGCCTTCTGTCGGATCTTTACTGTCTGTTATGGCCAGACGGCACACACAGTTCCAGTAGACGTCAGACATGCGCCCGGCCTCGATCCTCCAGTCTTCAGTATCGTCCTGGATGATGCACAGCGCGTCGATCCAGAGATAACGAATACCCATAGACCTGGTGATTTTGATAGCCTGCGAGAAAACGACTGGTAGAAGTTTGAACTGGATACCATCCAGTCTCTCGTTGTAGTTGCCTTTCAAAGTGCAGGTATCTCTATATCCGCCCCAACTGTAGCTCAGAGTAGCATATCTCCCATGCCGTCCTGCCGTTTCCACTAGTAAAAGGTCTGACTCCAAGAATTCCAAATATTCCCCTCTCGGCTCTCCCAGATCAAGCACCCTCGTTGGCAACGGTGAGCTCTTTGGCCCTTTATCTCCGTGCGGCTCCCGTGGCTCGCGTTTATTTAACCAAGCCCGCAAGCGTTTCATGATATCCTGATCGCTGCCTCTCGGCCTCAGTGGCTGGGGGCTGTCAAGAGTGTCATTGTGAAGTATGAGTCGACCCAGGTGGGATGCAAAAGCCTTGACTCCAGGAACCAGCGAATGAAGCACTGTTCCAATCACCAGGGTGTTAAAGCCATCGGTCGGCCTACGGTCTTCGACTTTCAGAATGATACGTGTCGGTTTTGCCACAAAGAGTTCTTCGAGGGCCGTTATACGAGCAAAAGCATCCATGGCCTCTCTGGCATCCGTGAAGCGAACCTGACGCTGGGCGTGAAAAGTCACGGCCGTGCAGATCTGTGTTTCCATGAGGCTACAGAGGGGGCAGCCCCGAGCTGAACGGATCAGGTCTTCCAGGTCGGCCGAGTGCTGATATCCCATATCTCCTTGTAGAGAATCAATAGTCATACCCTGGCAGCTGTTGCAGAGTGGCTCTTGGTCGGCATCTTTAGGCAAGCTAGATATTGGGACCGCGAAGCGTTCTTCGTCCGGGGTTTCTGGCATCTCAAACCCGAACCGCTCTGCGGCTCTCCTCACACCCGGATATCGGAATTTTGTAACGAGGTCATCAACGGTAAGATCCATTCTGTCGCCTTGGATAAGCCTAGTAACTTCTTGGCCAGAGAGCGACAAATTCGAATGGGCGCTCGAAGGACAAGAAGATAAAATCAACAGATTGAGAGCAACTACCAGACCGAGGACCCGACCTAGGCTTGCGTCTCACTCATACAGAGGCTAGAACATGAAGTCATGGTGTGTTGGCAAGGCCCCTGCAAGCTGATGCGCCCAGTTTTCCTGCTGATGCCCTCAAGCGAGTGACATAAAACATGGCACACCAAAGCTTTGTTCACACAAGTCAGGGACCTTCCTTAACCACAATGCTAAACGCATGATAACAAGATCAATAACTAGGTATTATTCTATAGTATTTAGCTGCTATTGTATTTATTACTGGTTAATTGTTTTCATATTGCGTTGATATTGTGTTGAAATTCAACGCTGGATGTTCTAGGTCTGCCATGTTTTATGTCAGTCGCCTGGCCCCATCCAACCCCCAAATGATGTGCAGCTCCCAATCCTCCACCGTCTATGTCCTCACCACACACACAATTGTCAAGCTGAAGTTCCGCGGAAATGCTCCGAAATTGGCAGTTCATGACAGAATGAGCAAATAGCCCCGATAAATGGCCCAATACAGCACCAATACCACCCAGAGAGTCCGTAATCACAGATGCCTTGGCTCCCTTGGGAATGGGTAAAGCCCAAATCCGTCTCCACCGCACCGACTGCTGACGAGGACGCTGGGAGTCAGCAGGATGTTGAGCCAGACGTTGAGCCAGATGTTGAGCCCGATGTTGAGCCAGAATCGCATTCCGATGCCGCGTCTCAGACCACCAACCTGGAGGAAGAGCTAGCAGAGATTTTGCAAGGTGACCTCCCAGCTTGGTTTCTAGATCACTGTATCCAGAGCTACGAGCAGATCTGTGCATCGACCATTCCCCTGGTCATTGGAGATGCTGAAGGCTGTGATGACCTGAGCCAAGCGGCACCTGGCAGATACCAGATCGACCCGGTGCTCTATGGGAGCCTCGGCAGTCTAATAGATGCAAAAGCGTCAGCATTGGCGAACGGGGAGGCACCTGAAGTAGGAAGCTCTACCTTCGCTCACGATGCCTCAATTCTCAGAGTGGCCGTTCACGCACATAACCACTCTGGGGAGGAATTCCTGGCGGTCGTCCTTCGGCAATTCGCCAAGGACCATGGAGCCGACATTCTCACACTGCGCCAGCAAGACATGATCGAGCTGTATGACATGTTCTTCCTTGAGCGGGCCCAGATGGAAATGGACCGCTCGAGACGGCAGGAGAGCAAAGATGACAAAGGCGAGGGTAAAGACGGCGACAGCGGCAATACCACAGGTAGCACCCCTGATTCAACCTTTTTTGAAACAGCCGGCAAGCTTCTCTTTGCGAAGCTCCTCACTGCGATCGAGGCACGAAAACCAGAGATGGACACAGCATCTTGCGGATCGGAACGACAAACGCGTCCCCTAATCGTGGAAATACCAGATCTCCAGGGAATTTGTGCCATGGACCGTTTCAAGGAGACTCTAACAAAATTGCAGGAGGCTGTAAAGACGGCCAATTCTTCCCGGTCGAGGGTCCTTATTGTCGGACTCGACAGCTGGGAGATTGCGGTCCGCAGCGACATGTATCGGGATTCTATGGAATGTCTCCTTGACGATAACCCGATTCAATTTGGCTATTATGCCCCATACGGAACAACTCCTGACGAGTCATTGCTGTCGATGTTAGGTTCCAATCCTCTTCGGCCAGTCCTTCCCTTGCTCCCAGCACACACAAAGGCGCAGCGTTCGCTGTTTGCAAAACATGGCGCCAATAAGAAACGAGCACACAACATTCGTGCACTCCAGCAGAAGATTCGCAGTCGTATCAGCAGTTGTGGGGACGAAAAACTTTTGGAACCGTACAGCTCTTGGGATCTTCCAGAAGAAAGCCAGTGCTTCAAGATGCTGAGCCATTCCGAACTGAAGCCCTCGACTATTGAGCTTGCAGCAGCCGCAATTTCTACGAACGTGACCATTGACCACATCCTCAAAGTGTTCCAGGGGTTGGGAGCACTCCGGGATCAAATCAAGCCTATACAAGAGGAAGAGAAATCCAAGTACTCACAGCTTCATCCAGAGGCTCAGAAAGCCATCGCGGAAATAAACCAGGATCCAGGCAAATACCAATGGGAGAGTGTTCTCTTGGATCAGCTAGTTAGCCCAGGTCAGTGAAACTCCATGCGAGTGACAACCGCCGATATCAGAATTTAAAAGCAGCTGACTTTGAGCAGACGACGTCAATCAAGGGTGGTCCGCCATCGAGATAGATGAAGATGTGAAGCAGGCCGTGACCCAGATGCTGGACCTAGCGAACTCCAACCCCGACTTGCAGGCCGGAATCCTACGCCACTCTCGAATCAACGGCGTCCTTCTGTATGGACCGCCGGGAACCGGCAAGACGCACCTCGCACGCGTGCTGGCTCACGAGTACGGCGCCGCCATGATCCACGTCTCAGCCGCGGAGCTCGAAAACAAGTACGTGGGCGAAACGGAAAAGGCCATCAAGGCCCTGTTCAACCTCGGCGCCATGTTGTACCCTAGCATCATCTTCATCGACGAGGCCGACTCGTTGTTCCGGAATCGGCAGCCCGACGACTACGACTGGACACGCAGCCGGCTCAACACGCTGCTGGCCCAGACAGACGGTCTGATCAAGACCAGGCGGCAGCCTTTCCTGCTCATCGCCACGAATCACCCGGGTGACCTCGACGAGGCTATCCTGCGGCGGGTACCGTCGAAGCTATACATCGGGCTGCCATCCACCTCGGCGCGAGAGAGCATGCTGAACATCTTTCTGCGTGAGGAGGAGCTTGACCCCAAGCTGCGGCTGCACGACATCGCAGCTAGGACGACGGGTTTCACCGGCTCTGACCTGCACACTATGTGCGTTCAGGCAGCTCTGATCGGTCAGTCCGAACAGAGGAACCATGGAGGGGAGCAAACCAAGAGAGTCTTGAAGCACGCCCACTTTGAGGAGGCCCTGGGGAGATGCGGGCCCACGGTCTCAGACAGTGCCATGGGAGCCATCAGGGAATTCGCGGAGAAATTCGACCCCAGCGCTGTATCTCGCCTGGGATCATCACGCAAGAGTGATTCCGTCGGAGCTGCGCCTTCCAAACATGTGCCGCCGAAGAGGACGAGAGGTATTTCCGCGAGCGACGTCCCGCCTGTGCTGAAAAACGTGCAACCGCCGACGACTGGAGAGGGGATAAACGGCTATGAGGAGTGGAAGACGAGTGAAATGTATCCATATGTAACGGAGGAGTTGTGCCAGAAATGGTGGAGAGGCGAGTCAAGTTAAGGCATACACAAGCTAGGTCTCTAATATTAGGTAGAGTACTACAAGGGCACCTCGACGGAATTATTGTGGCAGTCAGTCACATTATAATGCCACCTGTTATCTATCAATGTCGCGGCGAGTGTTGGAAAGTTGGGATTGAAACACCTTTGCAGTCCCTGTTATTCTGATACCCACTTGAAGTATACATGAAGACTAGACAATTTCACTGGGTTTTTTTCTTTTCTTCATAGAGAACTCGATATAATAAGAAAAGAAGTTCTTGGACTTGGAGACTTTCGCATTCCTCAACTTTGATTACATGCGGAAGGTCCTCCAACTGAAATAGCAGACCCATCTCCTTCTTCATCAAACGATTGCTCACTCTCTCTCCGTATCTGCAACAAAGACACACGGTCAATCACGAAGTCCAAACCCAAATGATGAATTGCGTCTCCGTGAGACAAAATCTCGCAATCAAGTAGTTGAAGCCTCACTCGCAACTCATCTCTCGCAAAACGGGACACTACCTTCTTCCACCTCTGAATTACATCACGCGAAAATTTGAACTCCCAGGTTCCCCGCCAAGCTATGGAAGAGTCCTCTTGTCGATACATGAACGCACAAGCCTCTCCCTGCGCACCGTTCCAGATGTTCATCATCTCCAGTTTCGGCATGCGAAGCGCGGCCGCTCCAGCATCTCGCAGCAAATGCGAAATTTCTAGAGAATTGGACTCGCGGTCCATCAGCCGTGACGTGAGAGAGAGCGATCGCAGCTCACGCCATTTCCAGGTCTTCTTGACCCCGTCTATGAAATGCCGCGCCTCGGCCATAAATGCGACGGATAGGTGTTCGAGGTCGAGGCTCCTCGCTGCGAAGCCCTCGGCGACCTGTCGAGACGGCCCCCTCACGCGATCTGGGTTCATCGAGCCGATATAGCTTTGCCCGGTTGGGAAGAACGCATAAAAGGAGTGACTGGATTTCTCAAATACGGATAGTAAGGTCTCGTTAAAGTCTTCAAATACGGATAGTTTTTTGAGTTGCGCCGGCAGATGTGAGGTCACCATCTTGTAGTATTCACCGTCTCTCTGGAAATCTTGGAGGGGCTTCTCAAAAAGCTGCCATGGTTCATATACAATTTCTTCCAGCCGTGGGAGTTTTTCCCATATTTGCTCCAACGTGGGCGGCGTCCACTGCCGACGGCATTGTCGGCCAAGAAGGAATTTGGTGACCACCTGTACTTGGGGAAGTTGCCTATTGAATTTGATATCAAGACCCCCGTAGATCCGTCGCATCGCATCTTTTGGAGGCAGTGAGGCCTGTCTGCCTTGAACCCAGCCATGGCTCGGATCATCAATCTCGTTGGTGTTTAGCGGTAGACCTGAATCGAGAAGTTCGTCCTCCTCCAAGGTTCCAAGGTAACATGTTTTCAACCAGTGTTCTTTATCGCTCGTCGAATATGCATGAAGCTCCAGTGTCAGCCCTTCCCGAGTCGGTTCCCAGGTACTGAGAATGGAAAATAGCTTGTAAAGGGCACGAGTGGCGAGTCTGTTGTTGGCCCGTCTCCATGTTTCTGATTCCAGCCGCCCGCAGGATTGACAGGCATATCTCTGAAGCTCGATATCCAAGCAAACATGTCGAACTAATCCTCGTTGACGCTGGGTCATCTGATCGAATGCATCAAGACAGGCTTCCTTGAGCTTTAGGCGACGAAAAGTGCTTTTCTCGATCACGGCCTGCCATTCTCTAGAAACAGCTGCGTAGGCACTCTTTTGAGGATGTTTTTCTAATTGTCTCAAGATCGTGAGACGGATCTCCGGTGGTAAATCGTACCAGTTTGACATCTTTTATCGCTTTCAGACCACAGCATGAAGTGTCTGACTGTCACTATGCTGGGGCAGGCGTCGCCACTTTCATTTCCTATTGTATCGGGGTTGAGCACGGGCAAGTGGGTGTCAGAATAACAGGGACTGCAAAGGTTTGGATCCCAAGTTTCAGAGTATAAGCCGCAATATTGATAGCTGATAGCTAGTAATAATAATAAGAAGAGATTATTGAGTGATTATTTGGGAACCATATGCTTATTATTACACAATAGGAAGCATTGTCATGTGAATGTCTGCCACAATAAGTCTGTCGAGGTGACTTTACAGTCCCTATTTCTCTAACAGCCACTTGACGGGGTTTCTTGCCTAGCGGCAAAGTTTCTAGTACGGAACCTTATTATGCTGAAAGCTAAGTTATACGGGGGTACCTTGAAGAAATAAGATTTAGAAAAGAACAGAAAGACACGTTATTCAGCTACGTTTATATTGCTAGACTCTAGGACGCTCTTCACCTCCTCTACTCGATCTATCTAATCTAAATCAATTTATCGCCCTTGGAAGCCGGGGTGAAGAATTGCTTGTTGGATGAGATTTAGGACGAGCTCAAGCATCACAGTACAATTCATCTAAGCCGGCGGCCTGCGAGATTGGATATAGGGTTTACCTACTTTCACTCGATCATAGAGTTCCAATTGAGCTAGCCGTGGCCAAGGTTTAGAGCGAACAACAGCATCGAATATCCACATGAATTTCTTGTCTCGGACCTTGCGATTGTATCCTGCTAGCTCGGTATTAGGTATACGTCTGGAAGAGAGACGCGATTGATCTGCCTCAGGTCGACCACAACTCGCGGTTTGCGCACACCGTTTACGACTCTCCATATCACGAAGACTGGGCTGCAAAACCTCATCGGTTAGTTCATCCAGCCCATCTTGCCTTGTTCATCGTGAAGTTTGTCGTGCTTTTCGTCTAGGGCCTTTCTATGCTTAACGCCGAGAGGGTATACCTTTGCCGAAACCTTCATATTTTGACAACTATCGACTAAGTCGACGCGTCTCTTCTCATCTTCTCCCATCGGTATAATGCCTCGGTCTCTCCAGACGTCGGCTGCCTTGAGCACTACCCTCAATCTGGTGCCTTGCGTCTCATCGATGGCGCACACTCGTACTCCCTCCTTGGTCTCAATTTCCGCGGTATCCTGAGGCTTCCCAAAGGTCGAATTTGCCATCATTACTCTCCCTCAAGTGACTGACATCAAACCTGGCATACCTAGAGCCTCTAGTCTTGAGTCTCAACATAATATTTCTAGTAATAAACACAATAATCAGCTAAATATTGGAGAACAATTTATAACTTTCTTCTTATTGTGTTTAGTGTTATTAACAAGAAAATGAGGCTCCCCTAGATGAACTCGGATGCCTGTGCTACGCCGCGGAGGACTATTTGATGTCATGACCTGAATATCTCCCTCGAGCTAGAACTTCTCGAAAAAGAACCTCAGGATGATATTGCCAGTGCTTGTTCATCCGCACGAGGGAATTCTTCAAAGCCGTAGACAGCCGCCGAAGAGTAATTACACTTTTTACTAACATTCTAAGCGCTCGCTCTCCCAACCACTCGATTATCATAAGAAGCATTGATGATGACGACAAATCCTTCTAACATGCTACTTCATCCTTGCAATTAATTCCCTCCCAAATTAAAGCCCACGGACATTTCAACCTCGCTTAGCCAACGAAAACACCATGGGCATGGCGATAGCCACGATCATCGTCATAGCCGGAGAAGCCTGTTCCGCAACCAATCTTCCATGCACACGAACACAAGACCACTTGAAACGGCACCGCAATTTCTGCCTCCGAGTCAACCCCCTCTTCTGAACGTCACACCGTCCTCGATCCCTGAACAACACGCCAGTGACCGCCCAAAAGGACACAAATTGACACGGAATAGATCATCTTGGCATCGCAGAAATTACTGGCTTTTTGTACCGGCAGTCAAAACTGGCCATGAGTGTATCCCAGCCAATCGCACTCAGGTCCCATTTGTTCTTGTACCAGTAGTCGACAGCTCCAAACGTGCACCCCGTGGGACTCTTGCATACCACCCCGCAGTCCATCAGGCGCGGGAAGCACTCGAACCCGTTGTCGTCCGGGGCGAAGGTTGTGACATTGTGATAGTAGGGCTCCTTGAGCTGGTTGCAAGCCCCCATCGTATATGTATCCCAGGTGCAAATGCCGGTCCCACGTGCTTCGGTACAAATCAGGACCTTTTCAGCTCACTTGTTAGCATGTCCCATTGCAAAGTTGGTGGGAGGATGTGAGTAGAAAATGACGTCGAAGGTTTTCACTTACACCGCCAACATCGTTTGGGAGAGAGCTACCGCCTGCAGCGATCGGCATGGCAATGGTGAGTATTGGGAGTCTCATTCTGTCTGGAAGTGTGCGTGATTGAATCCGTTTGAAATATTGAATATTGAAAATCAAAGATACTGGGAAATGTTGGGGCAAGCAGCACTTGTATGATGAATTATCCTGGTGTGAGAAGGCATTACTTGGTATCTTTTATATTTGATGGTGACACTGAGTTGAGCAGGGATACAGGAGCCACAGGAGAGACCTGGCGTAACTCGGCAGGAAACTGACTACGTAGGCGTTGACAGTAGTTTCACATACCCTTGGCCAAGAGACCATTGCTACGCAGACCGGATTGTCTTGGCCATAAAGGTCTATGTGCTCGTCTGCCGTTACTCGAGAGTTCCCCGAGTCCCATGTGGCAACCCTGACCACGTGCTTCACAGCCGCTAACCATCCGACAATTGCACCCATCTAGTGCTATCAAGCATCCGACTCCCATCCGGCTTGTAATCTTGTGATCCGTATCCTCAGTCCTCAGTTGGTGCGAGGACAAGGGGGAAATGCGACAAGAGAGGCGGCACGCAACGGAGAACATCGAGGGAGCTCTTGAAAACCCAATTATCCGTCTGTTGATTTCTTTTTGTCTTCCACTCCTACTATCATAGGTAGATAAGTCAAGTATAAACGCCACGCTCATGCAAAGTCAGTGATAATCTCCCTCCTGATATATGCGAGCCGTGCCCAGGCCGGTGCATGGTGCCAGAGCCCAGAAATGCCACTTCTCCTATAGCCCACGAGAAGAGAATCGTAGGATCGCACCACCATCGCTGCCTTTGGGGACCCAGGCCGGCAGCAACTATCCCGTACCATAATCATTGGAGGAGTTCTTCGCAGGTCCAATCCTCGTAGCTACTCATAGTTAGCCCAGCCGTATATATGCTTGCAGCACTCGCGCGCCAAGAGATTGCACTCACTATCCATCAGGGAGATACCGTCGCACGATCAGAGGAATCTTCTTCTCTCGGAGTTCCTTGATCGCGATCTGCAAAGGATCGGTTTCGCCCTCCAAATCGACCAGCACGGGCGCATTCATACTAACAGCCAACCTTTGTTAGAAAAAATCTCCTGCTCGTATGGCATCTCAGGTTTGTCCAAGTTACGAACCTAATCTGTAGAGCACGTGTGCCCAGGATACGCGCACGTTCATACTTGGTCATGTACGGGGTGGTGTTGCGCTCGGCTTCGGGGATCTTTTTGTCTTTGACTGACTTTTCTCCGTTCTTCACGGCGTTGGCAACGGCAGAAGGGTCTCCTGAGAGCACAACGTTATCCTGGTCGTCACCGTTCTCGCCGCCCTGGTTTACCTCCTCGTCTCCATTCTGGACCTCCGGCTCGAAGTAGTCGTTCATCTCATCCTCCTCGTACATGGTGTCGTCGCTGCGCAAAGACAAAAGACAGGTTAGTTGGGCGGCGCGCAAAATGACCAAGTACCCGACATCGAGGGACGCATGATGAACTTACACGCCAGCACCACCATCATCATCTCCAAAGTCAGACATGATTGCGATTGTGTCGATTCTGTGGGGCGCAAGGTTCTATCGGGGAAGGATGTCGCGTGGTTGAGATACGATGCGAGTGGAAGCGTTGCGCGCGCGAAGCTAAGCATCCAAGGAGGAAAAAAAAAGATCGAACAAAGGCTTTCGGTGAGCCGCCTAAGAGTGGGTCCTCGACATCTTACCGAAGCTCACCGATAAAGTCGTCACCCACCCCAGTAAAAAATTATAGATCCATGCAGCTGCGAGAACTCACCGCTTAAAAGATTCTGGATTCTGCCAAATGTGAGCACCCTTCAACTAGGTAGCTATCGACCCACAATGGTGTATCGAGAGTTCAGATTCTCAATGCCAGCAAAATGTCGAAAAGAATTGCGAGCAGTTCTGCTCTCCAGGAGCCTCCATTGAAAAAGCTGCATCTTGACGTTGACATTCCCTCCGCTTACCCTGATCCCTCGACCGCACAATTCACCAATCTAGAGATCCACGATGACGACAGGACAACGGCCCAGACGCCCAGTTCCATGAACGATGCCGAATCGCCAGTCACAGCTGCCACCACCCCCCGCGCCAAATTCCCCTCCGACTACAAGACACTAGCATGCACCTGGCCCGGATGCCCCAAGACCTTCAACCGTCCTGCCCGGCTCCGAGACCACCTGAACTCCCACACGAATTCCCGTCCGTTCAAGTGCCCCTACGACGACTGTGACAAGGACTACACCGTCGACAAACACCTGAAGCAACACATCAAGGCAGTCCACACCCAGGAGCGGAAACATGTCTGCCCCCGCGAGGGCTGCGGCAAGAGCTTCGTCACCGGCACCCGATTGAAACGCCACCAGGCCGTCCACGAAGGCGAAGAACGATTCAGGTGCCAAGACTGCGGACAGAGCTTCCGGAAGAGGGAGACGCTGAACAAGCATGTCCGGAAAGAGCATCAAAATCTCGCCGCCTACCCTTGCACGGAGCCCGACTGCACAGTGGCGTTCGATACCAAGTCCTCCTTGAAACGCCACCAGCAGCGTGAGCACGGAGAGGCCAATTTCTGGTGCCACGAATGCGGGGTGAAGGAAAATGAAGACGGAACCGAGTCCAGAGTCGGCTTCACGACAGAGGTGTTACTCCAGGCTCACCTGAAGCACGAGCACCAGAACTGCATGTTCTGCGAATTCAAGTCCACCACGCAGGGAGAGCTAGAGAGGCACGTCGAGTTCTACCACTCCGGCAAGACCGTGGAGGATCGCAAGAACAAGGTCTGCCCCTACCCCGACTGCGGGAAGAAATTCACCACCCAGTCGAACTGCAACAGTCACATTCGCGCCGCCCACGAAGGCCAGCGCTTCGTCTGCGGCGAGGTTGAGCTCACTAGCTCGGGGCTCGAGGCGTGGTCAAACGACCAGGGATGCGGCGACAAGTTCTCCACTAAGGCACGCCTCGAAGACCATGTACGCTACGTCCACCTCTTGCAGGAACGGCCGAAGCTCTCCGCCCCCGTCCGCGACAAGCCACCGCCGTCGCCCGATGCCGTCTTTGACGACATTGCCGGCATCGCCAACATAGCCAAGGCGAACATCACCTGCCCCCACTGCCGCGAGGCCTTCATCCGATACGGGGATCTAGATTCCCATATTGAGAAATACCACGCCAGACGCAGCACCAGCACCGACGCCAACGACATACTTGGCGGCGACGGTCAGAAACTCTCGGATCCGTCAATCTTTGAGCAGGAATTCCCATCTAACTGGCCAGAGGAAATGGACCAGGAGGAGATCTTCGCAGCAGAGATGAACTACGGCCCACCGCAAGATGACTGGGCCGAAGACGAAGCAAACATCCTTCTTCTGGCTCGGGATACTCCAGATCTAGATTCAAGAATCGACCCTGCCCTGGAGGCCATCTAAGCATTCACATCTAGACTAAAGCCCATTTGTCTCGGGAGAATCCTTGGGGCATTTTTGCAATTCAATTTCATACCAACTGGGGCATACGTAATGCCCATGTACGACTAGAAAAGGTCTTTTACGATTATAATGACAGGACAAAAGCGAAAAGTTGATTTAGATGGGAAAGCTGAGGCTGAATATGCAATTGTCATAATCATGATATTCTTTGAAGGTGTTCTTCATCCAGAAGTAATCTCTAGCAAGACGAGAAGAATAAACAAAAGCGAAAGCAGGTTTAGAAATAAGATGGATACGGTCCGACGCCTAATAATGCCGTTTGCAGAAAACCCACGAGCAAAGTTCAAATCCAACACGTGAGTGTCGTCCCATGACTCCCAAGAGAATGATATGTGTAAAAGTCGCCTGCGATCCTACATTGAGGTCGCGTTTAATGTTCAATGTCCCCAAGCAATGTTTATTGTCCCCAAATAATGTTTAATGTCCCCAGGCAATGTTTAATGTCCCCCAAACAAAGCATTGCTGAGACCTAAGATCGCCATTCCGATGAACCCAAAGAAGATACACAGGTTCCGATTGTGGTTAAGGCTCAGGCTCTCGACAAACAGCTGGAGTGCCACGCTGACCATTATGCCAGCGGTAATGGCAAACAAGCATGCATAAACTACTGGGCTGGGCTTGACGTTGTTGTGGCTGGCAAGGCCGAACCACAAAGCGGCCAAACCTGCGCCCATGGGTTGCGATAGACCACCCAAGAGGGAAGACCAGATCATAGCCTTCCACCGCGAGCCAAGAGCCATGTATAAAGGCAATGCCATGGCAAAACCCTCTGATATATTGTGCACGAAAAGTGCCATGAACACATTGAAGCCCAAAGCAGGGCTTGCATGGTTCGTCGCATAGGTAATGAAACCCTCGGGGAATTTGTGAAGAGCGATAGCTATAGAAGTCTGCAGACCGATAGAGAGAAAGGCATTTGTGGGTACGTGGTGGTGGTGTTCATCGGCCTCATCAACATCCTCTGTCGATGAAGATATATCGCCCTGGCCGTCAATGGTATCATCCTCGTCCAGACTCAGTGGCTCACGCGAAGTGGCCCGACTCGTTCGAAAGTGAGGGCCAGCGCCTTCTTCACCGAGCTCTTCGTCGGGCTGAGGTCGTCCCCCTTGGAAAATGGAACCTGTGTGGGGATAAAAAGGACCCGTTGTAGTTTGTAGCACGGATGCTCGGCTGGACCCTTGAGTTGGATGAGTGGTCAAATGTTTGAAACATTCCTGGCCGCATGGGTCGGTGTAGCCATAGCAGGAGCCTGATTCGTCGCAACCGCACTTTGTATCCTTGACAAAAGACATGACTCGCTTTTGTACTTGGAAGATGGAAGGCTTGCGCATGGCATTAGGGTCATCGGTCCTTGCACGGCCTCGTACGTTTAGCGGGGTAGGAGGTCGCTCTTCCATCTCGTCTCCCCTCGCAGATGCGTGCCTTCTAAGCGCTTCTGGGTCGCTAGTCGTCAGAAGAGGGGTTGACTCGGAGGCAGAAATTGCGGTGCCGTATTTAATGGTCTTGTGTTCGTGCGCGTGGGAAGATCGGTTGCGGAACAGGCTTCTCCGGCTATGACGATGATCGTGGCTATCGCCATGACCATGGCTATGGCTATGGCTACGGGAACGTTTTTGACTAGCCGAAGCACCCGCGTGGGTATGATCGCACCCAACGACGTGAGAAGGGATATATTGATGCAGCAACCTCGAGATTATTTGGATACCAAAAAAGCCGCCAACAAAACACGCCATCATAATAAGGCCAGCAGTACGGTCGGCCCAGCCATCGTTGATAAGGTATCGCTTCGACTCGGGTAACATGCTGTATAACGACGAAAAGAGCTTCGGTGTATGGTTAGCAACCTTGCGGCAGAGCGGCAGATGGATGAGGTCTCACCATGACGCCAAAGCTGAGACTCAGAGAGCAAGCCAAGAAGACGTTGCTCTCCTCGATGCGGAAATTCCGCTTGCCGGGGAAAAGTCTGACAATCGCATCGACACAGATGATAGACGCGCCAAAGAGGCAGGCTGGATTTCTTTTGTGTCAGTAGTGACGCCATCGACCATCTGGACTGGGTGTATATAGAGCGACGGGAGGAGGAAAGCAGACGCACCTATCCCGCTGATGATACAGAGAATCCACCCACGGGTGTCATTGCCCAGAGTCCTCGCTACCATCTCCATGGTGAGAGCGTAGATCCGTCCGTCCAGAGAGCCCCGCGATCAAGCTCGGCGCGGCAGCATGCGAATGTTAAGTGCCGGACGGAGATGAAGAAATGCCTAGCCTAGCAATATGCTTCTTCGTAGGTGGGGTCGGAGCACGAGTAAGTCTGACGTCTGCCGCGATTGGACAGGGGTCTCTCTACGCCGTAGATTTCCAGCGAATCCCAGATGTGGCGTTTGGCATCCAGGTGGGGAGGGAGGAACAGTCTGCATGAACTGCCGGCCAGCGCGAAATAGAAATACGATATAGATCACAAGGTGGTCAAGAGCGAAAGCATATATTCTAGGGTGATGATGACAGGTTCACGAGCGAGGCAAAACGACGAGCTGGGGGGCGCAATGCACGTGCGGTGGTTTCCTTGTTCCTTCCCTTACCGCTGCTGATGGCCATCAAGGTTCTCACCACGATCCATTACCCGCCCCCATAATAGCAATTGCCACCAGGCCAGATCGAACCAATCGACGCAGCCAAGTGGGTGACAGGAGAAAATAATAGGTGCGTATTATCTTTCAAGCATGCATTATTAACACTCAATAATTTGAGAATACCGGTTGCAGACTCGACAATAAGCAGCTTAATGTTTGAGTCTCTATATACTTTTATTATATACTATTTAAATGAAGCTAACTCTGGGCTGTAGAGGTTGAGGACAGCGAGGAGGTGAGGATGTGTTGCCACGATGAGCGCTCAGGTACGACAACTTAAGAGACAAGCGAGCTGGAGAATTGGATGCGTGAACTCCATCAGGAAATGGCGCTTCAAGAAGAGATCCGAGAACATTACATGTGAACCATCGCCGGCGCAAGGCCATGCGATTCGAGAAGTTATCATGGTAGCATCGCCAAGCACTTGATTTTCCCGAAATTCCCGACCGTAAGGATGCTAATCACCACTAGTAGCATTGGTCAAGGCATCCTGAAGCTAAAATACCGTGATGAGGATGGTGATCTTATCACCATCTCGAGTGACGACGACATACAGCTCGAATTCTCCGAATTCGAGCGGGACAGCTTACCAAATACGGCAGTAATAAATCATTATCGCAGCAGTTGGTCATCAGCCTTGCTTATGAAAGAAATATGGAGATGGAGATTTATGCACCGTTTTGGTGTGCCATTTTTTCACTTTAGCCATTTGCTGGCATACATGCACCGTCCTTCATAAATGTACAACACGGCAAGGCTGAGCCTGTCGGAAACATCAAGCCGCCCACACGCGACCACTTCATCAAGCGCCAACTTTACTGGGAGGTCGGAAGAGCAGTAGCTATAGTGTTGTGATATCTTCAATTGGAGAAGTGCAGCCAGGGCGAGGCATTCCTATTCCACCTACCAAGTGAAGCATATTGTTAGGCTAGGCATTTCTATTTCTCACTTCCGTCCGCTCTTAACATTCACTTTCGTACGCAATGTACTAGGGTCGTTGATTGCCTTAAGCGTGCGAGTAGGAGTGCTGAAACGCCACTCTCAACTCGCGTGGGAGTTACGCATCTAGTGACCTCGCAATGGTTCTCTCTCTACAACAGACTATGCCATTCTAATATAATAAGTTCCATTATTTGGTTATTATATTGATCTTTTGTTGATATAATCCAGGAATTCAACGTTGAGTTTTGGTGTGCAAGTTGCCTCGAAACCTCTGCCAAGTGGCGTGCCGCATTCAACATATAGTATATCGCCCAAAGAATTAGAACAGATTATTGGATTTTTAGCTAATAGGAACTATGATATCAAAATGAGTTTCTTCTATCTCCCTCGATCAACAAATATCAGAGAAATTCATATTTGTTCACTTTGTTTTCTCGTCTCTACCTCTTCACAAAACACTACTAAGGCATTTGTGTTAAATAACCCTTAGAAATTCCGGTCTTCAGATCGTACCATTAGATAGGCCCTTTTTAAGCGATTCCAAGACTTTAGCCGCTTGTCCATTGAGAGAGTCTATTCGAATGAGGTGGTCAGCTGTCACAGCCTTATTATACAACCTTACGAGGCAAGGATAAACTAACATTCCTGGAAGAGGGTTCCAAAGCAATTGAGTGACTGAAAATCTCAGTCTAATGGGTGCCGCAATGAACGGCAACCTTGTTATCACCACAGTACTGTGACTCAGATTGATGCAGATGGCACGGAGACATGGGCCAGTAGTCGTCGGTGCAGCACCACATGCAGAGCACCGACGGGCCTTGACCTCCCCAAAATTCGCAGTCACCCATAGGAAAGACACATGTCGAGGACTCCTGTTCGCTCATACCATCCTGGGGGGCAAAAAGCCCCATGGCATTTGCGACGAGACAGATGCTCGCAACGATGTATCTTGCGCGAGCCATGTTGAACCTTTAAAGGTTTGATTCGACGTTGGTACTATTTCTCGGCGGGAACGAGAAATTAACTCTGTATAATTATTACCCAGCCTCAAAATCCGAGAGAGACGGGGGCTGATTAGAGTGAGTGCGTACGTCGATGCAGAGCACAGTTGCAGCGAAGCGCTCACCAGACTATTTGTATGCGGCATATGGGACGTAAAAATCAGAAGCATTGTTTGCATGACTCTTGCTCTTTTTCACTTTCATAAACATAATATCGCGATATCTAATATCGCCTATACCGATACCACAGCGAGCTCTCCTTCTGAGCTCGGCGCGATGGGTGGGCCTGCGGTTTTTCGCAGTTGTTCAGACGCATCTCAGTTCACGTTCAGATGGAACGTTTCTACTCAATCATAATTCCAACCCATAAAGGTTCTCATTGACTTTCTCGTACCACCCTCTTCCATGCTCTGTAGCACACTGGGAACTTTTCTCCTCTCACAAACCTCCAACAATCCTCCAAACCTGCCCGTTGACCAAAGTGGAAAGCAACACCCGTGCTGATTATCCAGCCGCGTTTCACACAACTGATCATTTTCGCAACTTTTGCCTCAACTTGTCAAGATGAAGGGTCTCAGCTTGATTGCTTTGGCATCCGCCGTCATGGCCGCAGTGGGAGCAACCAAGACCACCCTCACCTCGAGTGAAGCTACCACCTCGACTGAATCCGCCTGCTCGTACGTCGGATAGCTTCACTATTTCATTGCACCTAAATTTTCACACTACTGACAACTATTTCGGTAGGCTCATCACTTCAACTGCGTATGCAATCAACACCGTGCTCGAAAACCCAACCAAGTGGCTGGCGTCGATCAACCGCAAGTACTATCGAGGCCAGCACTCTTGGTCAGACTCGATTCCCATCTTCACGGCTACGGTTGAACACGCGGGTTCAATGGTGCCCGCGATCGGATATGTCGCCTCAGGAATCTTGGAGATCGAGGGGTACAAGGTTACCTCGTCCGTCGTCACGGCGACAGCTTGTGGCACCACCCAGCCTTCCCCAGATCCGGACAGCATCTGCCACCTGTCCAACAACGACGGTTTGTGATGCCTAAGAATAGGAACTCTACGCGAATCCGGATAATTAAAACCACAGGTTGCAGGAAACTGCGAGGGAGACGGAGTCAATCCGGGAAGATATGAGTGTGTCGCCCACAATGATCACTGTGCGTTGCATATCCCCATCCGTGTTGGTTGCACTGCTCAACAAAATTCTAATGACTGTCGCCAGGGCACTGTCCCGTGGGCATTGATCCACCATCCGACCATCCTGGCCGTCCAGGTCGCTTCACTTCCCAGAATGACGGGAACACGTCTTGCTTCGCCACGGTGATCTCAAGCGTCTTGTTTGGTATCGCCGTAGTGGCCGTTATGTGTATGTAAGAGTCCTTGAAGGCCATCTCCGTCACATCGCGGGTAAATGCTGCCGCAAGTGTCAGCTCTTGTTTCTACAAGAGTCAGAAGGCTCAGACCCAATGTCGGGCGATGGACGAAGACTTATAACGTGGCAGGATGGATGGTAATTGAGGCCCTGGCATGTATATTTGTCGCATGAAGGTCCCGTTAATGTATATGCGCATGGCTGCCTAGATGTTCATTAATTTGAGACCCGGGAATCTGTGTAGATGAGAGGGATAGCATGCATGCAGTTGTGTCATCTGCTCCAAGGTCCCGAGATCACATGAGAGTTTGATGACTGAGATGTTAGCCAGATGTTCCCGCCATGGGTTTTCTGGCTGTTGGTTCGGCTGCGACAACTTCCAATAGAGGCTAAACACTTAGATTGTCATATCTATTTGAGAACTTCAAGTCTAGAAAAAAAAGTCCAGCTGTTTTCCTTGGACTTCATTAGCAAATCTCCATTCAGCTCTCCCAACCCAAACGGCAGTAAATGTCGTCTTTTGTACGTATTGTGGAGTAGAGATGCGCTAGCCACAGAAAGCTCAGTTAGCTTAAGCTCTTCTTTTTTGGTATTTTTAAATCAGAAATCCATGTAGCGATAAGAGGAAAGGTGTGATGTTCAGCATCAGATTGAGCATATATTGACCAAACGGTCTTCGTCTCTTTGATGAGCCTTGTCGCTTTGGCAAGCTAACCATTTATCTCGAACCCCATGGCGATCAACCCACCGTCTTAAGTTACCATGCTGTGTAGACGTGGAGCGCAACCGTGGATAAGTATGGTGGTGGTTTCCACTTGGTTGAGAGCTTCTAAGGTAACGAGCGAGGTAATAAGTCGAGGATGTTCATAGTTACCAACGAGAGCCCTAGATTATCTGCTTCAGTATCTGTACTCTGTAGCCTCCCATTTTCTCCTTGTTTTCTCTTTTCTTTCTGCAACTCGAAGACTGTCTCTACTAGCCCATTTTCCTCGCGAAAGACTTGGACAACAGTTTCTCCTGTTGTTAGTATCTGCCCATCCACAGCGGCTATAAATTGATCCTTTTGGTTCTGACTTTTTTCTGACTTTTGAATTTTATAAAAGCCATATCTGCTAATCTTGTCTCTATAGATCCAGGTGAGAAGCTGAAGAAACGCTAGCCTAATTTCATTCTTGAATCGATAACAGGTAGAAGCCGTCCACTTGTTGAGATTATTGCAGCAAACGGATCTCGACTTGAGGGGGTACGGTAGCCCTTCCCTTATGTAAAAATGCGGGCAATTTTGACCACATTGTTGACGGAGTATTAGTTTCTCTTGGTTCTCAGCCAGGAGAGTATTAAACAATGCACATGTCGCTCTGATAGACATATATATCCATTCCTCTCCCATCTTAAAACCAAGTAGTATAAGCTTTGGCTTATTTTGAAATTTCTGTATAAACCCAAGTACACAATGCTCTAAGTTTTCAAGCTCGATTCGTTGCTTTTGGCCAAGCCTGTGTAAGCCCCCAGCTTTTATACCTCCTCGATAATACTAAACATTATCTCCTGTTTCTTTCTCTATCTAGATTTAGAGAGTTAGGTCTTGAATTCGATTATCCATGGAAAACTTCAGAAGATATGACCAGTTAGCAGGATCCGCTGAAGCTAGATATTCTTATCTTAAAGTTGGAAGATATGCAAAATAAAATTGATAAGGTACACGGTCCAGTCTTCTTCGCTTACAATAGCAGAATTATCTGATATCAGAAGTAAGAAAGGCCGAATCGTCAAGAGCATCCCATCCCAAAATCTCAAGGGCCTGTAATTGTTGGCCTCGCGCAGTTTCTTGAGTTAATATACATTTAACCGGTAAAGGTATCATATTTTCTAACACCAGGATCTAAAGCAAATATCCTACTAGTATTAACACTACTAACTGTGATTTTTTTTGTCAACAAGGAATTGTGTCGTTTAGATATCCATACATCTTTCAACATCCAAGACTTCACCAACGACCCGAGGTTGGAATCGTTGCACAGAAGACCAGTTGGCCGAACACCCGATGACGCTTCGAGTCTTTCTCTAGAACATTCAAAGGACCAAATGATAAATCATCTTGCCTAAAGAATAAACGTGTCGGAACCCCTGCACGTGGGAATCCCTTGTGAGACCCAGCGTCGGGACTCGGGACCAGTTAAACAATTCAGTTCGGACACGAAGCTCCGTTTCTTCGTGTATAGAAATGAGAAGCAACGTAGGCACAACCACGAGAGAAGGAATGCACTATAATGATTTAAATAATGAATTTTCAGCATTATTACATCCTCGGTAGGCTTTTGCTTTTCTTTCCAAATTTTCGACAGACCATGATGCAATGGTCGATGGTTTGTGATCCTGTTCCGCAGCGCTGGAGGTGGCCGATAAGATAAGAAAAAGTTGAACTAAGCTCGGCACATGCAAGATGCAAGACATGCATCACAACACCACATCAGCTTCCCACCCTCCCTCACCACGAGGCTCTCGCATATTACTCTTGCATGTTTCCCATGAGGGCATGCTCCTTTAATCACTAATTCCACTCGGCTGACCGTCTTCGGAACCTCTCGCTCTCTACACCAACAAACCGACCCTTTAAAACCAACGGCTTCGAAGCCCACCAGTCTCTCGAAATGTCCAAATCAGTTGCTATGGTCGCTGTCCTCGGTGCAGGAGGAGGCGCCGCACTTACCGCCGCCGTCATGTCTCTTCGAGGAAACAACAAGAAGCCTGAAATCCAGGCCGCAAGCACCGCTACTCCAACCGCACCCGTCATCGCTGGCCCTCCCGTGCCAGTTGCCATCCCACCATCCCAGATATTCTCACCGCCAGGCGCAGCTCCCGCTGCCCCTGGCGGCCTCGTTGACCCGGCCGGCCTCTTCCAATATGGCTTTCCCGGCCCTGTTGCCGACGTTGCAAACCGCAACGCCCTCGTCTCGAGCTACGATCGCCGCACACGTAACCCTCACTGGGTGGTCGAGCACATCACACCCCAGTCCCTCGCTACCCGCGACGGAGACCGCAAGAACAGCAACTTCGTCGAGGACCCCGACGTGCCCCAGAAGTTCCGCGGCCTCCTCAAGGACTACTTCCGCAGCGGCTACGACCGCGGCCACCAGGTCCCCGCCGCCGACTGCAAGTGGTCCCAGCAGGCCATGGACGAGACCTTCTACCTCACCAACATGTGCCCCCAGGTCGGCGAGGGCTTCAACCGCGACTACTGGGCGCACTTTGAGGACTTTTGCCGCCGCCTGACCGTCAGGTACCCCTCCGTCCGCATCGTCACCGGGCCCCTCTACCTGCCCCGCAAGGATCCCGTCGACAACAAGTGGTACGTAAAGTACGAGATGATTGGCAGCCCGCCCTCCATCGCCGTCCCCACGCACTTCTACAAGGTCATCTTCGCCGAGGACGGCCGCGTGGGCGGCAACGTCGCCCTGGGCGCCTTCGTCCTCCCCAACGCGCCCATCTCCAACGACAAGCCCATCACCGACTTCGAGGTCCCCGTCGAGGCCGTGGAGCGCGCGAGCGGTCTCGAGTTCGCGTCCAATCTGCCCGTGCAGAGGAGGAGGAGGCTGTGCACCGACACCACCTGCGCCCTCATCATCAAGGACTACGCCGAGCGGCAAAAGTCGGTGGCCAAGGGAGATAGGCGAGCGCTCCCACCGCCCAGATCATAATAAGCAGTCGTGTACCATAGACTTGCTTGATGCGAATGAGTGGCTGGGTTGATGATTCATGGTTTTCATTCCGTCCTTTTTCTGCTTTCCGTCACTCACCTAGTTTTCAAGTTTGGTTTTGTTTTTCAATTTTCCTTTTTTTCTCAGATAGACTGGACATGGTTTACGAGAGAAGAGATTTCAGATTGCATCACTGCATAGACACGGGACATGAGCGAGGGATATCAGCAAGATGGGGCCATTTGCTCGAACACTTATGTATAGTATGATGACATGACATTATTAGATAGACTTCTTTTTTAAACCCTGATATTTACATGCCTACTTATGACTCTCCTGCGTGCACGATCCCGTAGTCTTTCCAGGCCCAACAATACATTTTCCACCTCCATCGCTCCAGAATACAAGCAAAATGAATAATAATACCTACTTCAAGAAGACAGCCCAAGGGTATGATTCAGAGAGCCCCCCTCCAAAAAAAAAAAGTGGGTTAAGATGGATGACTTAAAATGGAGGGAAAACAAGGCTTGGATAACTCTTCTACCTAGCTCGAGTATACCTTCCCTGCCTCTGTTCAGAACGTAGACTGTCTTCCTGGCTGGGCAATGGCGCCCTCCGCCCAGCGTCTCCAGCCGCACCGGGAGGTGGTGGCGGTGGTGGTGGGAAGGGGAAGTTGCCAGGCGGGGGGACTCCTCCCGGGGGCGGTTTGAAATCGGGCGGGATAGAAATGCCGGCATCTCTCATCATCTCGAAAATCTTGGCCGCATCAGGCGGGTTGCTCGGGTCGAAGCCTGGGAGTGGTGGTAGAAGAGGTGCACCATTGAGGGGGAAGGGAGGTGGTGGGATGGGGGGAGCGCCCGGGTTGGCAACCATCCCGGGCAGAGGAGGGGGAGGCACGCCATTCGCACCTCCAAGGCCAGGAACACCACCCAGACCGGGCAGCAGGCCGGGGATGTTAGAGAGGCCTGGGGGAGCGCCGGGGCGAGCATCTTGGTCGACGAGGGCGTCGGCCTCGTCTTCCAGTTCTTGCTGTTCCTCCTCTTGTCTCTGCTTGCGATTTCCACGGCGATCCCAGGTTCCCTGTGCCTCTGCAGCAGCCTCGCCGATGTGATACCTATCCTGGGAAACCTCTGTGTCTCCGGGACGAGCTCGGGTCCAGAACCGAGTTATGCGGTCATTGGAACCTGAGGCGAGGATATGGCCCATGGGATGCCAGTCTAGAGACCACACTGCATAATCGTGGGCATATGGCACTTTGTGCATTGGCCACACGGACTGGGCTGGAGTGGATGTAGGGTCTGGGCTGTCCCAGGGAGAGACGGTAAGAGGGTGGCCAGCGGGAGGATTGGGCGTATCCAAGAGGTAGTGGAACACGGAGCCATCCATGCCGCCAGTCGTAAGGAGGTTGGCATGCACAGGATGCCAAGTCAGAGTAGAAATGTCCTTTTCGTGCCCCTTGAGCAAGCAAATATCTCGCATGATTCTGAGGTCGAAAATCCTGGCCGTCTGATCTCTGGCCGAAGTGGCCAAGCAGTGGCCTTGGACCTTCTCGAAGAGAACCTTGGTGACGGTACTCTTGTGCCCATGCAGGGTCGTAAGGCAGTTCTTGGACCTTGGGTCCCACAACTTCACCAAATGATCCTTGGATCCGGACACGATGAGGCCCAGACGGTTGTGCCAGTCCACACTTTTGGCATCCCAGCCGTGGCCTTCCAGCTTCGATTCCATTACACCTCCCGTGAAGTCAAAAATCTTCAGAGTTGAGTCGTCTGACGCGGTGACAAATTTGTTGTCCTGCGGACTGAAAGCCAAGTCCCGGATCGGGTCAGAATGGGCGTTGATGTTTTCGACGTTGTTGAAATTCGGTAACCAGTACTTGATGACGCCGTCGTGGTCTCCTGAAATGAGCCATTCATCGCTATGTGAGTACTCCAATGCCCGGATGGCCGAGTCATGAGCCTGCATGATAGTCTCGAAGTTGAATCCAGTGCCGTTCCACAGCGTGAACTCACCGCTGGTGGAAGCGGTTAACAACCTGCGGCCTTGGGGCGTCCATCGAACCACATTGATAGGATGCTTGATTTTGTTTAGAGAGGAATGGAGATGCTTAGTAGGGATACTATCAACAGATCGTGTTGGTCGGCCAATTGGCGGGACCATCTAACCGTTTGCATTAGTGGGCAAGTCATCTCATATTGGGAAGTTGTTCGATGGCTTAAGATGAACTCACATCAACGATGTAGCTTGCGCTGGGCCGCTCAGACTCGCCTGTATACGGCCCTTTGTAATTGGGGGCTCTGTTTCGTAGCCAGTGGGTAACAGTAGCACTGTAGTCGGTGACGGGTCCTAGAAAAGGAAATCGTAAGCTTCCATAGGCCGGTATGTCATCCTGAAACGGAAATGGATGGTGGATGTAAGGGGCGCGAGTGCTTCTCTTGTGTAGAGATGGTAGAATAGAGGAAGACTTCATCTATTGCATGACGTAGAGCACCCTCTCTTCTAACTTGGCATGGGATGTGGCAAGCCTCCGCTCGGAGAAGGTAGATGCCCGACAACAGATAGAGTAAGAAGCACATGATGATCACAGATGGTTTCACTACTCTATCAGGCAGGGCAGCAGTTCAAGAGAAAAGATATGACCTTTGGGCTTTGATTTCGTGCACTAAAGGCCGGGTGTAGAAGGGACGGTGAAGCAACTGTTCGTGTCAAGCGACTGCACTTACGGCGACCTCTAGGAGCTCTAACAAACGCGCCATCCTGCCCTCCAGCCCGATCCCCCTGGGGCTCTCCCCTAGGCTCGTAGGCCATTATGGTAATTTATCTGCCCCGGATACTTGAACCATTCACAAACCGCGTGCCACAGCTGGGTGTAGTGGTGAGAGCTTATGTCTAAACCCAAGGTTGGTGTGGCTGAAGAGCGACGCGTTGAATGAGGTGCAATTGAAAGTGATGGGGCTCGCTTCTGCTTGCTGAGTATCACCCTAATGTGCTGAATAAATATGGTCCAGGAGAGGAGGACGTATGTATGCGTGCGTTCTGTTATGGTGCGGCAACCTGATCTCTCTTTGCTGGCTGAGTTCACCATTGAAACATCTTTGTGATGGCCACTAGGAAGAGAGCTTTCGCCAGCCTGAACCACGGTCACGTGAGTGATTGTCGGAACGGGTCTGATTAGTCAGCGGCCCGAGCAATATCCACCACCGCTACAGACGGTCCCTGGTGATCACAGCTTGTGGGTTGGGGGAGGTATGACCACTCCGTCATGCCCTGCGGCTCAATGCTGTGCAGGAGATCATGCACTTGGAATTGACAGCAGCGACGAGTCACATCATGACTTGTCGTGGCGCATGTCGAAAATAAATGGGTGGGCCGACACCTTGGCAAATGCCTAACCAAAGCATATGGCCGAGCCTGGAACTTATGACTTTATACAAGCACAACAAAGGGGATGTCACGCTTCTGCGCTGCATGCAACCCCGCTTGGCATTCAGCACGCCTTTGTCTGCCTATCATTATCGTTATCTTAACACCGTGGTGGCGTTGGCCGTTGGAGACAATAGGAGAAGGCGACGGCTGGCATGTAAAACATACCCAAGCTCCTCGACCAGCAACGCCACATGAAACAAGGGTTCTCTACCCACTTTCTATTCGAATTTACCAGTCTACCTATTTTTACTAAACAAGTGAACGCAGTCAAGTGGATGGCCCAAGACTTTCACATGCTTTTTTCTCTAATGTTCTTAACCAGCAACTAGCAAACTGGCAATAGCGCTGGTACCCGCTAAAATGGCTCGCCGCCGGGGTCCCGTTGCTGCTCGGGCCGTATTGAGAACGAGCGGCATCCATCCAGCAAACGAGGATCCCTCGCTGTCGGTCTCGGGTTTTAATCCTGTTTTTTTTTCCTTCCCTTGCCCTTTGGAACCCTTTATCTTCGTCGGGTTATTTATCTGGTCTTTCCTGTGTCAAGCTGTCTCACCCATCCGATTACCTAACTCTGGGGGGTCTGCATATCGTAGCCTTCGCTCAACCCTCCGTTTTAAACTAAGGACCGTTATCAGCGAGTCCAGCATTCCCCACCTTGTCTCAGCAGCCTCGCTTCCTCCCTCCAATTCATCCTGCAAGTCGCCTGCCTGGGGAGCTTGTGGCATTATACGTGCATGTCGATTGTCGAATGGAGATACGGCTCTCCCTGTCATTCCAGGAATAGCGCATCGGCTAGCAGACGCGGTGCCATCTGTTGGAGGGTGCCCCGCCCTTGTCCCTGGGTGTCTCGAAACTCAAAAACGTAATCTATCATCAGCTCATTCCGTCCGTCCATTGTCAACACGTATTATATGCATACTACATTCTCCTTATCTTGCATGCACATATATATATATCATATATGAGTCCGCCCACATAGAGCGCGAGGCTGCCAGCACCGACAATTCCAAGGATCCAATCCGTTGAACCAAATCCCCCATCCATTGCAGCCAGGCAATTGCAAGCAAACATGAAGGCGGCTATGACGGCCACCTCGACCGGCGTCGAGCAAGCCAATGGCAACGGCAATGTTACCTCGCGTCGCAACGGGCAACTGGAAAAGAGCTCGCCTGAGGTAACGTCAAAGAATCACCCAGCTCGGAAATATCGACATGTTGCTGCGGTGCACTCCAAGACGAGGCCGTCCTGCCTGAGCCATGACGCCGAGGCCGCCCCAAGCTTTATCGGCTTCCGAAACCTTATGGTCATTGTTCTCGGTATGTGTTGACTAAAACCTCACACTCTTCCTACGATGGACTGGTGTGTGCAATGCAGGTGATTGTACTGGCAGCCGACTAACAGCTGTTCGATTGTAGTGGTTGGTAACCTACGGCTCATGATTGAAAACCTTCAAAAGGTATGGATCAATCAAATCCTCACCATTGTCATCAATTTCATAAAACTAACCAATTTGCCATTGATAGTATGGAGTCTTAATCTGCCTCAGCTGCCATGACTACAGCCGAAAAGATGTCGTCACTGGGCTGATGCTCTACTTCCTCGTCCCCTGCCATCTCTTTGCCGCCTATCTGATTGAGCTGGCAGCCGCTCAACAGGCCCTTGGGTCCAGGAAGCGCATCAAAGATGGCGCAACTGGGCCATCCGAGGAAGACCGGAAGCGCTTCCACTCGACTTGGGTAATTGTGGCCTGGGCCCATGCTGTGAACATCACCCTCGGCCTCGCCATCACGACATATGTCGTCTACTTCCACATCTACCACCCTCTCATCGGCACTCTCACCGAGATGCACGCCGTCATTGTATGGCTCAAGACAGCCTCTTACGCATTCACAAACAGAGATCTCCGTCATGCTTACCTTCATCCCGTGAAGGGAGAGCTCGTCCCCGAGCTGTATACATCATGCCCCTACCCCCAGAACATCACAATGTCCAACCTCGTCTACTTCTGGTGGGCGCCCACCCTCGTCTACCAGCCCGTCTACCCCCGCACCGACAAGATCCGATGGATCTTCGTAGCGAAGCGGCTCGCCGAGGTCTTCTGCCTCAGCGTCTTCATCTGGGTCGCGACGGCGCAGTACGCCACCCCCGTCCTGGTCAACTCCCTGGACAAGATCGCCTCCCTGGACATCCCCTCCATCCTGGAGCGCCTCCTCAAGCTGTCGACCATCTCCCTCGTCATCTGGCTCGCCGGCTTCTTCGCCCTGTTCCAGTCCTTCCTCAACGCCCTCGCCGAGGTGCTCCGCTTCGGCGACCGGTCCTTCTACGACGACTGGTGGAACAGCGAGAGCCTGGGCGCCTACTGGCGCACGTGGAACAAGCCCGTGTACACGTACTTTAAGAGGCACATCTACATGCCCATGGTCGGCCGCGGGTGGAGCCCCATGGCTTCCAGCCTCGCCGTCTTCACCCTCTCCGCTGCCCTGCACGAGATTCTGGTCGGGGTGCCAACCCACAACATCATTGGTAAGTCTTGATTTTTGCTTTTCCTGTTCCAAACCAACCGCGACAGTTTTCTAATCGAGATGAATAGGCGTTGCGTTCTTGGGAATGTTCCTGCAGCTACCCCTCATTGCCATCACCGCGCCCTTGGAGAAGATGAAGCTGGGCAAGGGCGGGAAGCTGGTCGGCAACATCATCTTCTGGGTCTCCTTCACGATATTCGGCCAGCCGTTCGCGGCTCTCATGTACTTTTACGCGTGGCAGGCCAAGTATGGCAGTGTCAGTAAGAGGGCAATGGCTCCCAAGTAAGAGGCGGGCATCTGGGTTTCTCCAAGTCAAGGATAATCATCAATACCATGTACATACACGACTGGGGGTGCGTTCTTCAGGAGCATCCACTGTATAGTAATACAAATTGAGAAGAGCGCATTTATTCATCAGTATTTGTCTTGCCATACACGTATGCTAATCGTCGATTAAAACATATTCGGGATAAAAAGGCCTGGTTTCTAGAGGTGCCATGCAAGCAGGAAATTAGGTATGAGAACCTGCATATAGAGCAAAGCAATATTCCCTCCTTCAAGGAACGAACGGGATCATGGTCCCGACGCGCTTCCGGTACTCCTTGTAGTCATCGCCGAAGAACACAATCAGGTTGGCCTCCTCGGTGACGGTCCGATCACGGAAGAACTTCCACAGCACGAGCGCATAAGCCACGAAGCAGAAGGTATTTCCCAGGACGAGCTGCGTCCCCAGCCCCCAGTAGAAGAAGCCGAAGTAGCTCGGGTGCCGGAGGACGGAGTAGAGGCCCGTCGTGACGAGCACGTGGGACTCGGCCTTCCTGGTCTGGACGAGGTGGTTGAAGCTGGCGCCGGCCTGCAGCATGGCGAGGGACCGGATCACCTGTCCGCCGATGGTCATGATGAGGCCTGCGACCAGGAGGACCGGCCCAAGCCCGAAGGGGATCCAGGAGCGGTTGGGGAAGAAGATGCTGACGAAGAGACACTCCAGCGTGGCGGTTGCGTGGGCGATGGCGTACGACGGCCAGTTGGCGGTGAGGAGGAAGCTGTCGATCTTGGCGTTGAGCGTGTTCCGCTCCGCGGTGGTCCAGAACTCGAGGAAGTGGAAGAGGGCGAGGGAGAAGAGGAAGAAGGGGGCACGCCAGATGGGGTGTTCGGTGAAGATGAGGATGGCGGCCATGGTGATGAAGCTGGCAGCAAGGGCGATGCCCAGGCAGAAAGCACGCAGGGCGATGCCAGAGAGGGATCTGGACTCCCCAGGGAAGAGCGGCTTGAGCCTTTGGGCCATGACGGCCGGAGGAGCATCTTCAAACTCGGACTCGGATTCAGAGTAGTTTCGACGGCGCGCCGGTGGCCGGACCGGCGCATTGCCGTTTTGTGCACGAGGAGTTGACGACATATTGGAATTATGTCTGTCTTCTTCTATGACTAGTGGACTCCGGATATTTCAGTGCTAGAATGTAGCTTCCCAAGGAAATAAACCCGATTGCCGCGATGAGATGGTGATGAAGACAGGGGAGTAAAAGTTAAGCTTGCAAATGTGTCCAGAATGAGCGAAGTGAACCTTAAAGAAGGCCGGGCTTTACAGCTGGCGTTCAGAAGTCCACGCTAGAAGCGCCAGAATGAGAAAGGAAACTGGGTGGAAAGGGTCAAAGCCAGCATGGCGACTTCTTGATGGTGATTGTGCGAGGCAGAACAATACGAACGTCAAGTGTCGTTGGTGGTGGGTCGGATGGATGAAACTACAATAGGACAAGTTATGTACTATTCCCACCAAAATAGGCGCATTTACCACCTGCGGGTGATGCTCCTGACCCTCCGTGAATTGGCGGCAAAGTGCCTACATTAGCGCGCCCATTCTCTTACTGTATCGCGTGCCTACATACAGGTTGATGAATGTTCCAACCGAAACCCCTTCTCACCGTTGTCAGGGCAGATGTCCAGTTATTTAGTATCTGCTAATGCAAGGGTGTACTCAGATGCCATTCTGGCCGGTCCCTTGCATGGCAATTGACTCATTAAATTTGGTTGGCAGTGATTATTATCTAGTAGGTACTATTATATATACATTCAGCGTGATATCGCTGTCATCCATCAATTAGTGAGCCTCCAGTCCGACCCTGCCGGCGGATGCATCGTGTCAACATATGGCAGTTTCGCCTTTCACCAAGATAGCACCCCCCAATTCTCTAATTGGAGGCTTTATCATCAAAAATATATTCTGATAGTCCAACCTGTGGGCAGTAAACTCCATAACTCGGCATCCGATCACTCCACACTATAATCCACCTTGAATAGAGAAGGACGATATAATGAGAATGAGGACGCATATAAACCCCCACGTGCAAGGAATCCATGTGTTCATCTCGTAGTACCCGGCACCATACACCGCACCAAGTCTAGGCCACCTGTGTTAGCAACTCTGCTGTTTATAAAACCGGGAGGCTAGGCCGTACACTAAACCGACGAGACTACCTGACAAAACGGCCTCGATGGCCGCCACAGTCAAGTAGACAAAAGGGACAGCCCATAGGTACTTCCATGACGAGATCTTGCGGCCGTGGGTGAAGATGGCAATGACGACGGCAGCCAAGTGGAAGAGGGCGAAGAAGACGAGTGTCCAGACGACGGTGAATCGCCAGATATCGCCAATATAGTAGAGCGTGAATCTTCTGTCGGGGGTCTTGTCGTAGATCGTCTCGACGTTGAGGGATGGGAACGGCGGGGTGTGGTAGGTCTCAGGAGGCTGAGGAGCTGAACGCTGCATCTTGTCGTCGCTTGGGGATGTTCCGTCGTCGCGATACCATTCCGGGGCGAGCACACATGCTGCGCAGTCGGTAGAAACTCTTTGAAAGGTTCTCCGAGGATATCGCGAGGCAGGCGCTGGGGCCGGGAATCAGAGCGTGGGCGCGAGAACCATCGACCAATTGTCTGGTGTTGAAGTAGGTTGATCGCCTGCCCTGCCCTGTCTGGTGTTTACTTACGACATCTCCATATCACCCAAGTCATTAGATTAGTGGCGGCCCAGAGCCCGCATTTCGGGGGCGGGTCCCCTGAGCTGCCATGCAGAGGCTCTAATTACCCGCTGGGGCACTGTCGGACAGCACCTCCAATCACCAAACAGACCCTCAGGCTCGGTACGCGGCACGTCACAAGATCCCTGGACTTTGAGCCTCGGCATCCCGACCGAGAGTCCTCGCTCTCCAACATCCTCCATCGCGCACTCACACCCGCAACGAAACCCCGAGGAGAGTCAATCCTCTCGACACTCAAGACAAAATGGCCGACCGGCTGCTCAACACCGTCTTGCAGTACTACCAGGACGTCCACGATGCTGCGAGAACGGAGCAGATCATCGGGTCGACCGCGCACCTCCTCGCCCAGCTCTCCAACCCGCTCAACCTGGGTATCCTGACCTCCCAGCTTCTCACGGCCCGAGCCATCTGGCATAACCCCGACGGGCTCCGCACGTCCATTCGCATTGTCAGCATCTACAACACAGCTGCGTCCCGCGTCCGCGAGCAAGAGAAGGAGAAAAATGCAGGAATCGGTCTCCGGGGCGGCGGTGGACTCCATTGCGAGGACTGGGTTCGCGCAGTCGTCAAGGGAGCTGATGATCGGTCGCGCCGATGGCAGCATCTGCTTGTCCTCACCGGTGTGTTGATGGGGATGGAAAACGACGACCGGCGATCGCTCACTGCAGCCATGCGAAATACCCTCGAGAACGCGATTGTGACGGCTGCGAACCTGGCTCTGGAGACCCATGTGCAGGATGGCCATCTTGCTGCTGCCTCCATAGTGATGACGCTCAACTTTGCGTTCCCCCTGCTGTCTGAGTTCAACAGATCCCAGGTCAATTGCAATGCGCTTTTACCCATCATTGTCCGTACCATCACTACCGAGGAAGGGTTCCGTGACGGTCAGTTCCTCGAGGCCATCGCACGCGATATCTCCGGTACGCTGGACACAGTTCTCAGCTGGCCCGCAAACTCTCTTTCATTCCAGGCTCTTCAGGCCATGGATCAGCGGCCGTTGATGGGAAACATGGGTCCATTGTCTAAGCTTGCTGGGTTCGCTGTCTCTCAGGCCCAAGACACAAACGCTGTGCTCTCGGCCCAACAGCAATTACTCAACTTCACAGGAACCCTGCTGGATCTTTGGAGGAGACTCCCCTTAAGCGATGTAGATCCTGCCCTAGAAGCAGCCAAGCTGAGCTCCGAGACCGTCCAGACCACTTGGCCAGCTCTCTGGCAGCTCCTGCGAAAGCTACTCTTCGGAGTCGTGGCAATCCTACAGGCCATCGTCTCCCGCAGTCTTCTGGATCCTTTGATGATCAACGAGAGGGCCGCCCCCGCCATCTCTTCCAAATCTCTCCATATTCTAAGGAACCTTTCCTTCATCTCTTCCCACGGCGGGAATAACGCCTTCCAGGTCTACACATTCACATACATGGCTTCCATCGATGTCATCTCACGTCACCCACCTGCCTGTGAGATGTATCTGGCGGAAACACGACCGCAAGCTCCAGTTATGCTGCCAACACAACACTGCCAGAGGACCTTGGACCTCTTTTTCCTCAATCTCGCAGAGCATCTTCCCCTCTCGCTATCCACGAACGCATGCGAGAATCTCGTGCTCGAGCCAGCTCTTGCATACATCTCCCACGATGGACCAATGACCCGCACCATTGTCGAGCTATTCGAAGCTGCCCATAGTGCCATCCTGTCCGTCCTGTCATGTCCACAACATAGTCCTCTAACCGTTCGGATGGCTCCCTTCTACATCCTGAAGCTCTTTGAGTCATTCCCAAGACACATTTCTCCCCGTCAATTCAGACTAGCTTTTAAGACCGTCATGCAGATTGTATCACCGCCCTTCCCCGTTGCCGCCATAAACCCGGACCTGTCGGAGACTCTTCTGGAGCTCCTCCGGCATTACATGGCCAACGCGTCCACCGAGCCCCTCCCAGCCACTTTGGACGCCGAGAATGGCCAGGCGGGGACCCAGCAAGCCGAGGACCTCTTGTCCTACCAAAGCTCGCTTGCTCTGGCCCTCGTCGACTCCTTGCCGTTCTTACCGTTGCCAATCGTTGAGGATTGGCTCGCCACGGCTGCTCAGGCGCTGAATGAGATTGAAGATCCCGGCCTGAGGGAGCCCGTCAAAAGGAGGTTTCTGGACATCCTCGTCAGTGGAGAGATGGATGTCGAGCGGGCAGCCATCGGCGTGAACTGGTGGGGCACAAGGGGCGGCCGAGAATCTGTCCTTTTAGGTCGGAACTCTGAGTCTCTTATGATGAGCGGTGCCATTGGGCCCGAGCGGTCAAGCCATCTATGAAGGCCCTGTGTCTGGATCCACCCGTGCTCATCGAGGCTGAATGCAACACTTTGTCTAGACGAGCCTCCGCTCCGGCTCCATCAGAAGCCGTATGTTTTGTCCTGCTCTGACGAGGTAGACCCACGATGCTCTAAGGAACACTCCAATGCGGCCTCATATATTGCCAAGGTTTCCTCTCGTGGGTGTAAGAAGCACGCCCATAATACATTACGGAGCTCAATGCTCTACCCTAGTCTGGATAGCATCTTTCGATGCAAGTCGAGGCATACAAAATGCCATCGGGCAGCTGGACCAAGCTGTTCTCCATACAATGAATTCGGACGGGATGCCCGGATATTGTCAACAGTGCGGACACTAGAGTCATCAGACAGCACTTTTCCTTCCCAAGAGCCGCGGAATAAAGTGACTGACAGGGCGGAACACGGATATTTCATCCAATAACTATTGCAAGCTTTGGCATATCTTAAAATACTGCAATCCCGCTGCAAATGTCTTCCCTGAGGCTCGGGCCTGAGATGGTCATCTCCAACTCTAGCGGACGACATTTATTTCCCAAGCCTCAAGTACACAGACAACACTCTCTTAGCTTCGACAGCTTTGCTCAGCTTCTCATTACTATATTGGTGTCCATTGAGTTTAGCGTAGCATTTAGTAACTCTCTCAGCGTACTATTTATATAAGACATGTTACTTCACCAACGTCCAACTAGTTCATTCCTGTCCGCATGCTCTACCCTCCCTCCACATGCTGCATACCTACCAAATCATCTCTTCCCCGCATCCGTTTGTGTAGCTCTATGCAGACCACCACCTGATAAAGTTCATCTCAGACCCGGATAAGCATAGCATGACGTCCTTCCTCAGACAAGCGTAGATCATGTCGTCAGTGAGGTGAGCTTACCCCGCCAATCCTCCCTCGCCATCATACACATCCCCCAATCCCGCGACAGCTCCTACCGATAGATCACCTCTCGTAGGAAATGTGTAACCACTCGACCCGCCAATGGCACTCACCCTCAGGCTCAATGCTAGATAACGTCATGGTGGGAGGGTAGACCCCAGCCTATTGAATTCAAAACACAGGGTCCGCGTAGCACCTTCCCAAGCTCTACCAAGAGAAGGAAGGAATGGAGGGATCACCAGTCACATGGAGTAGGAAGAGCTATCCCCCAAGTACCTATAAGAAGAGAAGCTCCAGTCCAGCCGCTTTCATCTTCACCATCACACCTTTTTCCCCACGAGCTCCAAAACTGCATCGTACCAACTCACACCATAACAAACTCCTCATAACAAGATCCAGCTGATACATCCATCATGTCTCAACAAAGAGATCCCTACGGTGTATGTTCCCTCTCACAAAATATCCTGACCCATTATCTAACACGATTGCAGATTCCCATCAACCCGCACCGATCCTACGAGCAGTACGGCGCCAACGCTGTCAGTACCCCTCTATTCTTTCTTCTTCATTCACATGTATACTAACCAACAGCATTCCAGATGAACGAAGGCGGAGGTTTTCTCGAGACGCGCGGCCAGGGCTACGCCGAGAACATGACCACGGAAGGTGCCCCCCGCCAGCAGCAGCAAAGGAAGACGGAGAACATCGCCGACCAGCGCTCAGACACCCAGAGATACGGCTCTGACAGCCGCGACGACGACATGTACGGCATCGGGCTCGGCGGCGGCGACCGGCACCATATCCCCGGTGATCTTGAGACGAGCCCGACCGATAAGTCGTCACGTCGCCAGGATGAGGATCTGTACGACCGAGACACTGGTCTCCAGCAGCAGCAGCAAGGGCGCCAGCAGGGCTTCCAGCAGCAGTCAACCGAACAGAACCAAAAGGGGGACAGCATGCTCGGCAAGATGATGGAAAAGACCGGTGGGGTTCTCGGAAGCAAGCGCCTGGAAGAGCAAGGCCGTGAGAAACGAAACGACCCAAGGAACTATGACTGAGGGAGAGATGGTGAACCATTCTGGAACTCAAGGTGACGACTAAGCTGCCGTCCTTGTATTATTAACACTTCCCTGCGTCTCTTGCTCCTTGTATGAATATCCTAAAAAAATATTATTCTGCTTTTCCCTCCATCCATGACTCTGTATGATCAAAGAGATATGTGTAAAAAGAATGGATACCAACACGCTCAACTCCATACCAAGCAAGGGAACCATCACGTGCCCATTGCAATTCTAACTACATGCATGAGCTGGCCAGCTCCAGCCACAAAATTGTAAACGCTCCTCTGGTTTACTCCAACTTCTTTTCGACCTTGACCAACACTGCTCCATCTGACAGCTTGTCATTCGCATCGAAGAGATGAATAAATCTGTACCCAACTCCCAATCTGTCCAGCTTGACACACGCCCACGCTGCGAGATCATCCTTGCCAATCTCGTCATCCCTGATGGTGAAGCGCACGAATGTCAGTCCATCGACTACACCTGGGATATCTTTGAGCTCGACTTTCTCGCTCCCCATATCGATATGACAACCCTTGTACGATCGTGTCTTGACCTTGTACTCGTCCTCACGCTCGAGTTCCTTGTTCTGGATATGGCCTCCTCGGACTTCCTCAGAAGAATCCGAGTACACTGCCACCTTGACGTACGGCCTGAAGCTCCTGTCGTGGGTATCACCCAATGGGAGGGGGATATTCTGGGCCGCAAGGAAGGTAATCGTCAAGCTAAGCTTCCGTGTGATAACATCCTTGACAGTAGAGCGTCCCTCTAATTCTGGGTGGTACCCTATTCCAATGATTTTGTCAGTCAATCACGTACTCTTCGCATTGTGTTCGTAAACAATCAGAGGATGGCTCGCAGACGTACCTGGGGGTTTGAGAACATAGCCTCCTGTGCCAGCAAACATGGCCTCGTTTAGCATCATTGACCTACTGTTCTTCTTTTGCCAGTTGAGCGCGACGATCTGAACACCCGCACCCCAAAAGGGGGAGGGATCCAAGTTTTGGGACCCGGCCCGGAAACCAGACGGGTAGGTACGCATCATATAGCGCTTATTGTGTTCCCAGATGGCCCATTCGTTTCGTGCATAAGCTCCCATATAAAATGTCGATTCCGCAAGGGAGAAGATATGTGTTGTCATCGTGGCTTCTGGCTGGGTAAAGCTTTTGAAGGATACGCCTTTGGTGTAGACACCCATACGGCTCAGCTCCTGGATAGTCTTGGGAGCCTTGGCTACTTTAGCCTCTTTAGTCTCTTTCACTTCCTTCACCTCCTTTGATTCATTTAACACCTTGGTCTCTGTGGTTTCCTTGATCTCCTTTGATCCGTCAGGCAAGGTGGTTTCCTTTGTCTTTGTAACTTCCTTGGTCTCTTTTGGCCCATCAGAGACGTTGGTTTCCTTGGTCAGTGTGACCTCCTTGGTTTCCTTGGACACCTTAGACTCAACAGATATCTTGGTTTCCTCGGTCTCTGTAGGGGCCTTCGTCTCGATAGTGCCCTTGGACTCGTCGGCCACCTTAGTTTCCTTGATCAGTTGAATTTCTGTGGGTTTCTCAGCCTCGTTGAGACCCTTCGGCTCGGCAGGGGGCGTAGTTTCCTTAGCCGTCGGGACTGCTTTGGTCTCCTGGGTCTCTGTGGACTCCTTGACTCCCTCGACGGTTTCGGCCGCTGGCTGGATATCTTCGCTGCTCGGCTTCTTCTCCGGAGGTGAGTACTTGACCTTGATCAAGATTTTATTTTTCAATTCACCGGGGCTGGGCAAAAGAGCGGGCTCCGAATCACGCTCAGCCACCAAGTATTCACCCCATATCTCCTTCATGATTTTCACCATGGAGAGCTGCTGTGCGGGGTTGCAGTGAACCTCTAAGCTAATAATCAAAGGAGCGTCGGATGTAACAAAGGCACTCTCCTTGATAGCCACGCAGACCTCCCTAAAAGTGATCTTGGTCGTCCTAGTATGGCCATGGGTCACTACGGGTTCAACCTCGATAGCTCCGGGTTCATCGACGATAATGCTGGAGACGGCATCTGTGCTCAGTGTAGCCTGGTCGGAGTCTTTGGCGGGCGGACTGTCCGTGCCTTTTGGTTTTTCAGACCTCTTTGCTGAAGAGTCTGGCCGCTTCAGACGCGTGGACAGGGAACGAGAAATTTTGCTCTTTAATGCGCCAAAGGTACTCCTTCGCTTCGGCTTGCCAAACACCGGGTCGCTAGCACTGTCGCTGTCCTTTGCGGCAGGTTTGGCTGCGGCTTCGACTTCCTTTTTGGCCTTGGTATCAGCTTTCTGGGCCTTCGCTTTAGAGTTCTCCTCGTCACTAGAACTGCTGCTGCTGCTGCTACTGCTACTGTCGTCCTCGCCATTCCAAACATCAATCTCAACACAACGACAGCCTCTTAGCAGAACATCGGTGTACGTTTCCGTGGTGCTCTCTCCAAATACTTGCTTTCCTGCAAGGTAAGTATTATGGCTGGAGCTGATGAAGTAGCTAGAGAGGGGCCATGACAGATCTGTCGGCTTGGGAGGAGTGGTGAGGGCGGCAGAAGAGGAGGTCATGTAGCCCAGAAACTTGTGGAAATCAAGCTCATCGTAGGTAAGAAGCTTGGAGGCGTTTGAGTCTTCCGAGTCTTGGTGTTGAATGTCCCGTAGAAAGGCGGCTATTTGCTCCTTGGTCCATTTCTTATCTGAGCCAGCGTGGGTCTCAAAGATCTTCTGGAGGTGAGGAAGGACCTTGTCTTGGACAACCTTGATTGAACGGTTTCTTTCACCAAGACCTCCTCCTGCCAGCTCTGTGTGGGATGATGGAGACGAGGTCGCCAGAACTGCATTGGCGGACGCTGCCATTGCTGCGAAGGCCATGGTGAGAGAGAGAGAGAAGGCAGCACCTCAGTCGAGTGGACGCTAACGAGGGATATGATAAGAAGCGGACCGGAAAGACTCCAGCCGGCGAGGACAACTAAAAAGGGCGAGGAGCTAGTTGGGACCGCTTGAAAAGGAGAAAATAGGGCCAGCGGTGCTTCAATGGCGCCTCAATGGGTGCTGGTTGAAGGTGAGAGGAGCAGAGAGGATATGAGCCACGAACAGCAAGACACAGAGAATCAGAGCCGTGGCTCAGCCCAGGCCCAGGACAGTGAATGAAATATGGAACGACCTGAGCTATGGAAACGCCTACGTAGCACACACTTGGCTTTCTTTCAGCTTGCCAGGCCACTCCGCTGTTGGTTACCCTTGCTGCAGCGCTGCTTGGGAAGGCTCCACTCGGCCAGATCAACCAGCGTAACTGCCCACGCTCTAGACCGCGAGGGCAGCCACGACCAGCGCGCACCTGCTGATGCGCCTCACTCTCAATACTTGGCGCCCCAAAGTCCCTGGCTCCTATTTGGTGGCCCACGGATCGTCCAGGGGTAGTGGGTAAGCCTACCAGCTACCTTAATCCGAGCTGCATTGCTTAGTAGAAGGGCCGCTGTCTTGCAATTATACGCGGCTGCCGGGTTACCTGGTGCATTGCAGCACAAATCCAATACGTCTGAGAATGCAGATAAGATATTACACAAAACCACACCACCCATGGAAACACCCATGACGTCTCACGGGAGCTGGCCAGCGAGTTGCTCTGGCTACCACGCAAGCACCGCCCTCCTCGCCAGGCCCCCTGCATCAATATGCCATGGTCCCAGGTTGCCAGCCAACATACGCAGTGCCTCAGTAACACATGTCTGTGCGGATATCGCTCCATGCTCCTTGTCACGAATCGTACCCTTTTGCAAACATGCACAGCTGAAACGCCGCGCGTCAGTCGGCAATCAACGCATCCGTTGCAATCTAACGCAGCAACTCGTGGGTGATGTACTACCCTACAGCATGTCGATCGTAGAAGTCGAGTTGGAGCCTGCGGTGCTACCCTACAACCTCACTGCTTCGCTTTGACACATTCGACTGTAGCCTGGGAGGATTGATATGAGGTCATTCACGACGCTATCAATCGGCTATGATTGCGACTTCGTTTGTTGAGTCACCCTTTGTATTCTAATCAGCCCTTGCTAGCTTAAACCATTCCGTATTTCCTATAGGCGCGATTTAAGGTGGTAGGGTGAGATTCATTTAAGCATACATACCTAATCATTGCATGTCACGATATAAGATTGTAGATAATCCCCCTTAGCCTACCTTTTACCTATATTAGGGGAGACTTTTTTTTGCCGAGGGGCTTCTAAGTTGGCAATTCATGCAATTATGACACATGACCTTCCAGCTCTCTGTCCTCCAGCTTTCACTCTTTTACAAGAGCCAAGCCCAAACACTCGTCGATTTTCGAAATCTGAAGTCGTATGGATTGAGTAAGAGTATATACTATTGTACTTATAGTATAAAAAAAATGTTTCTTGCGCTAAGGAGGAGGAAGAGGGCGTTGAGTGCCAATACGGGGGCGGGTATTGAGAATACGTGCAGCATCGATACCTTCGAGGCCCGCCGAGCTTTAGCTTCAGGTGCGCATGAACGGCCTTGTTCCTCATAGTCATTTTCTTACTGTAGAGTCTGGATACGAGGCGAATGAAAACTCTGTTTGCTCTGTCACGCGGTATCAGCCCCTTTTTAATTCACACAAGCAAGATATCCTTTATATAAAGCCATAGCATAGCTCGCTTCTTTTTTCTTTCCCTCCCTCCACAGTATCTTAGAGATATAAAGCATCAAGCCAGCCACCTGATCAGAGTAATGATGAAGTTGATAGTCCTGCTAGGCAGGGCAATATACTGAGCTCCGAGACCCTCAACCTCTCACCCTTCGCAACGAGAACGATGAAGTCGAGTGTTCCGCTAGGCGAACAAACGCACCGAGTTCTTTTCCACGGATAGCCTTGTGTACTCTGTTTGTCTGATTTACATTCAAAAAGAATCAGTGAAATTGGTTTTGGCAAGAGACCCGAGTGCAACAGAGATCAATCCGCTATTTTGTATTGTCGAGTGGCATGCAGAAAGGCACGGAATGTGGAAATATTATACTTGCTTGGATGGTGGTTCTCGAGGAAAGAGATGAAGAGGAGACTTTCGGTATAAAGGACCATTCGACATCATTCGCATTCGGAAGCATGTTATAGGACTGGCCCAGGTTCTGCTAGTGAGCCTTTTGTCGAGGGAAGTACTCAGATACAATCACCTTTCAACATATAGGCTAAATCATACTTAGTGGGCGAACGGTTGATACATGTTGTCTATTTACATATCAAGCAACTGCCCTTTTCGACTCTCGTCGTTTCTCTCTGCCCTTCTTGTCCTTTCTCCTTATATTCTGTTCCCCGCGTTCCCGCTCTTCATCTTTCCTCTTTTCCAAATAACCCTCCAGATCGACGTGGATTCTCAGACCTTTGGTCGTCATCGTATCAAACACCGACTTTAATTCATTTGACTCCATGGCGTGGACCAACGTCCCAAATGCCTCCATCATAACCGACTTCGACCATGGACAATGGCGCAGGCCGCGATAGAACACGTCCTTGGCCTTCTCCCGTTGTTCTCTGTTCACATAGCAATGCCGAACATAACCAATCCAAATTTGTGGGTTGTTCTTGCACTCATCACTCATCACCGCGTGCTCGAACGCTGCCTTGGCCGTATTAACATTTCCACGAGCTATCTCGTGTTCGATAGCAAATATCCGACTGCTGATACGGTCTTGTCGCCCCACAAGGACTTTGTCGTATAACAAACTTCGAGTTTCGTCCACAACTCGCAGGCTTGAGTCTGACCATTCCAGCAAAGACAAAAAGATTGTGTTGTGCGGGAACCGTTCGATGAAGTTGGTGAGGCAATGCTGTGTGTATTCCCTCCGGGACGGTCTGTCCAAAGACTGTTAGCGACAAGCAGATATACATAACTCCAGTTACTATGCGTAACACTTACCCGTTCATGGCGTTGAAATATAGGAGGCGGGCGGCAAACTGCAGCAAACGTTCATGGGCAGCCTGAATCTTGCCAACGCTGGGAGACACTTGCAACTCGTTGCTGACCATCTCAATGCTTTGCATAGCAGCCACAATGTTTCCCTGAGATGGAGATCTTGGCTCCGTGCACCCCTCCGATGTAAGGTAGGAGAGCAGGGCAAGGCATTCTCCCTGGCTTTCAGCACCATCCAAATCGCCCGTAGATGCCAAATACCCGACATTGGAAGTGAAGTAACGGCGCGCTTTCAGGACATGTGTAGGAGAAACATCATACTCGTCATCGGTGTTCTTTGCCAACGTCGTATCTGCAGCGGAACATAACCTTCTCGCTGCTTGTTTGTGGCTGCCAGCATTGAGCTCAATCCAGGACCATGTTCGCCACAGCTCAGCTGCCTCAGATTGAGACAAGTCTAGAAAAAGTTGTGTTGCGGATGAAAGAACCTTCTTCGCAACATCGACCTTGCCCTCTGCATACTCAGCCAAAGCATAGGCATTATATAGACGAGGACTGGTAGGGTATCGTTTCAGCAACCCTTTTGCAAGGCTCTTGACACTCTCCTGTCCTCCAAAGGAGCATAGAGCTAGTGAATACATAGCGAGCTCCGGTGTAGGATCCCGTTTGGAGAGCTGCTTTGCCACATTGAGTATCCAATCCTGTTCGAGACGTTTGGGATTCGATTTTGAGCCAAGGTAGTGATACCAGTCGTGGTTTGGGAAGAGCAAATCGGTGCTACATGAGGCATACAGCACAGACCCGCTTCTCGGTGATGGTTTTCGAACTTCTAGAGGATCCAAACTTTCGCTCGGAAGGTCATTGACCTTCCGAGCTTCCGCATTTATGAAGTTCAAACTTAGAAACTGATCTTGGACTGCCGCCTCGGACCACTTGCTTGCCGTTGAAAGCGGAGGAAGGCCGCAGAAAATGAAAAACGCATTCATCAACTGATCCTTGGCATCAACTAGAGCATGTTCGGGGATATAGAGGAGAAATGGCTGGATATCGGAGTACATCACAACTCGGAATGGATCATCCTCTGTGCCCTCGTCCATCGTACGGGCAGGTTTTCTCGCCTGATTAGCCATGCGTCGTTCAGATATCGCCCACGACTTGTACACGTCGCGCGACGTCTCTGCAGCCCCCGGCTCTGCTTGGAGTGGCTCGGGGGCATCTCCATCATTGCCCGAATTTACGAAGCTTTCCCACCCGGCGGCAGACGTCTCGCCAATGCGAGGAACTTCGCTCTCCCAGAACTCACTAAAAGACGAAAGCGAAGCCTGGGCGTCTGGCAAACCTTTGGGTCTAAAAAACGTTGCTTCCAGGGTGCTTTGCCATGCAGCAACCGCCAATTCCTTGAACCCAGCATCGTAAACGAAGACTGTAAGTCGTAGAAATACATAGACCACTTGCGTCAAGGTATCATATGAAGGCTTATCATCGAGGGATGAAGATAGCTCTTTTAGCCGGTCAAGGAGAGTTTGCTTAATCTCTCCATACTGGAATGAAGATATGTTGGACATGGCAAAGTCCAAATGAGTTTTCCATAACTCGAAATCCTCCTTTGTCTCTCCCTGGAGCTCGGCCCATTTCTTCATCGCAGTCTTACCGGTCCAGACTTTGATACCCTCGCGCATCAGGCGGTTCAAAACCGTGCTACGGTCTGACGGACTTTTGGCATGGGTCAGGGCCGATTCAAGCATGGATACCTTGATCTCTGTAAAGCTCTTTGCCTCGTTTTCGAGAATCTCATGGTCAAGGCTCTCTCCGGCTTTGAGCAGGGCATCTTGATGGTCTACCAACTCCAGCCAGGCTGCAATGTCTTCTGGGTGATCCTTTACTTGACGGTTCAGCTGTATCGAGCGCCATTTTAGAGGGTTAGTCTGCTCCAATGGAGGGGGTTCGTCCTCTGAGTTTGATTCATCGGACGACTCGCTATCAGTCATAGCCTTCACCTTAGCTTTCCCTTCAATGGATCGGTACGAGAGCTTTTGGTCGTCTTCGGAATCTTCTGAATCCGTATCAGTTGGAACATGCTTTCGATTTCTCGGCTTAACAGCAATATAGCCATCGTCTGCTTCGTCGTCAGGGTGGGCATGTTTGGAAGGCCTAAGTAAAATCGGCTGTCTTTTCAGCCGAGATACTTTTGACCGAAGGCCATCTCTCTCACGATACCGAGCGGAACCTTCTCCAGGCATACGAAGACTGAATGTGTCACCGGCGAGCTCGCGGTGGATTACCAAACGCCCAGAAGTGCCCAGGACTTTTCCTGCCCCGTGGCGGTAGTATCTCGGGATTTGATAGCGGTCCAGCCGGCCATATCTGTAAATTAAGGGATCCCCTTTCGTGTCAAAGAAAAATACATCAGACTTGATCTGTTGCGCATGGGAGGGTTGGGGTGCCGCCTTCTTCGTCAACTCTACGCGTTCCCCAGAATTCTCCCTTTCCCTCCGATCTCTGGGACTTTTGGATCTGCGATGCTTCTCCTTCTCGCGTGAAGACCTCTCCCTGTGGCGATCCTTGTCTCTATGATGAGAATCCTTTGCATGGCGAACGCGTTTGGAGTCTCGGTCAGCATCTGTGTCGTCGTTCCTTTCCCTGTGGCTATGGTGACGATGCCGTTTCCGCCTATGCTCATCTTGATCCTTCGAAGCCTCTGGTAATTTGGATTTGAAGGATGAGAACTTCGGTACAGAAAGGTTGATGTCACCCTCTGGGCTCGCCATGGCATCAGCTCCCGAAAGGGATCACCAAATACTCCGTGACCAAAGGCGTAGTGTATGCCTTGCGATTTATGAAAATAAATTCATACTTTAATTTGATGAAACCCACCCCTCAAATGGCTGAGTCGAGCTTCGGATTCTGTTAAGTTGGGTTGTATGAGCGACTGGCATGTAGGTATCCATATGTAACAGTGATTGATGAATCTAGTTGCAGCTGCATCACTCGGAAATGCGGCACCTGTCTCTTATCGATAAGAGCTTCTCCTGAGATGTGCCTCGACTTCAGGCATATTAAGTAGGGTGGTAATTTAAGACCAAGAGCACCGACAGTTGGCAAGGACCAGCATGGCTGACTCTCCTAATTTTCTGATCTGGGCTTCGCTGACGACCTTCGCACTCGTTGTCATCGTATCCATCATGGGGCTGTTCGGAGGCAACCAGATGCCTGTTGAAGGCAAGGTGTGTAACTCCCACTTTATGAAACAAGGTTCTCGCGATGGACTGCTAATAATGGGCATATAAGACCATCCTCATCACCGGGGGGTCAGAGGGCATGGGCCTCGCTGCCGCCCGCCAGCTGTCAGCCAAGGGCGCAAACATCGTCATCGCCGCACGCAGCGTCGACAAGCTCGAGAGCGCCATCAAAGAAATCCAGGTTTGTCGGACCCCTCCAACCAACTTGCTTGACTTGGAACCCCAGCTGACAATCATGTGTCCCCCATAGGCTGCTGCGAAGAACCCGGCCAGTCAGCGATTCCATTACATCTCCGTCGACGTCGCGAAGCCCGCGTACGCTGGGCCACTTATCGCCGAAGCCACACAATGGAACAACGGCCGGTCCCTTGACATTGTGTGGTGCATAGCCGGCATCGCTACACCACAGCTCTTCTTGGACATGGAGATGGATTCTATGCGCAGGCACATGGATGTCAATTACTTTGGCACGGCGGAGATGTCCCACGCCATCTTGAAGGAGTGGTTGGCCGTGGACGCGCCCGTCGAGAAGGAGGCACGACACCTGATCCTCACCTGCACTACGGCTATCTTCCTCGACGTGCCCGGATACCTGCCATATGTGACTTCGAAGTGGGCGATCCGTGGTCTCGCTGATACTTTGAAGTTGGAGCTCGAACTCTACCCACAAAACGTGCAGATACATCTGGTATGCCCTGGAACCATCCTGTCAGCTGCCTTTGAGCGAGAGCAAAAGGTCAAGCCAGGAATTACCAAGAAGATTGAGGAGATGGATCCTGAGCAGACACCCGAAGAGGTTGCTGAGCGAGCAATCAAGAAGTTGGAGGCTGGACAGTACATGATCACTGTTAACTGGTTTGGTGCCCTTATGAGGTGGGGAGCCCTGGGCAGCTCTAGAGATAGTATCCTTGATACTATCATGGCAGCTTTGCTAGCTTTGTTCATGCCCATTGTTCTTTTTGTCATGGGCAGTGATGTCAAGACCTGGAAGAAGAAATATGGGCATCCGGAAACATGGAAGAAGGAATAGGTCTATTTGCTCCTCGATGAGTAAAGTATATATAATAATGCAAATAATGATGGATGGGAAAATTCTTGACGCTATATCTATGCACATTAAACTCCGCTCCATTTTCCAAACCTGCTGTACCTCTTGAACATCTCCCTTAGTATAGCCCTGCCACTGCTATCCATTGCATCATTAAGAATCTTTCTCCCCTCTGGTGGTGTTATATCAAAAATCGAGTTCATTGCCGGTTCAAGAACGTCTCTCAAGGTTCGTGGTACGTCTGCCTCAAGCTGAAGTTTGACGTATTGCATGAGAACCAGGTACATGTGGCGTCCCGCGGATCGTTTTGCTGCATCTGTTGCAGAATCTAGAGCACTGTGCTGCTGTGACCGAGATGCCGCACCAGCTGTGGGCTCGCAGACCAGGGTAACAAGACGGCAGTAAGCATGAGCGTTGGGCTCCTGTGCACCTCCATCCTTCCTGTTTGACGGTTCTTGTTCGAAGACCAGCTCTTGGATAAGTGACTGCAGTACATTGAGAAGAACATGGTAATGACCTTCAAGTCGAAGTCTATGCTTCTTGATGATGATCTCAACCAACTTGCAGCGCCAGAGGAAGGGAGCAGCTGACTGCGAACCCTGAGAGCTAAGGACTGCAATGGTGCTCAGCAGTGTTTCCACGTTCCATTGACCAACAGCTTGCGGCTTCTTTTCAAGGATCGTGTGGAGAATGCGGCAGATTGCGGCGGCGTTTGTCTTGCTGGTGGTGACATGCAAGCACCGAGTCAATTCGCTATGTGCAGATGACAAATCGAACACTCCTGAACTTGGGGCCTCTTGGGTTTCTAGTGAAGGTTAGACCAGTCAAGAATACAAGAATTTAAGTCACTTACTTATGAGTTGTTCCGCGATGCAATTGATGGCAACTAGCTGCCCACTCGTGTTGGTCCCTTGGGCGAATGCCCCAATGAGGCTTTCCAAGTATTGCATCTTGGTATCCAAGTCCATACCCAGTGAGATTGCTTCAACATAGGCAGTCGAGAGACTGACAAGAAGTTTAGTGGGGGATTCTTCTAAATCAGGAAAGACGGTTGGATGGGAAGCTTCCATCTGGCTGGCCATATTTCGCCATATGAATGTCTGAAGTTGAAGGCCCCTGATGTCGCCAGCTTCCAGAGCTTCCATGCTCCTCTTGCTTAGCTTTTTCCAGGAAGATGATTTGAAGCTTGCTAAACCCGGGAAGTCTGAGACAGCTTTAGCGCCATCAAGAGAAGCAAGCAGGAACAAGTCTGCCTCCATGCTTGACTTTTTGAACAATTTCTTGTCTGTCAACCAATTCGACACGACCGTGCTAATGCTGCCACTTAATGTTCGTTTAGCGGATTCAACTACCGCCAGAAGCTCAGAAGTGTTGCTAAAGCTCGGCGATAGGGATAGCTCGCTGGCTAGAGCTCTTAATAAGATCAATCGCAAGGGTTGAGAGTTCTCTGCCGACTCCTCAGGCCCTTTCACAAGAACCGTGAGACCCAAGCTTTCTGAGAAATACTTGAGGCTGCGATCCTCAATGTGATCGGCCATTTGTCTGATTGTTACACCTGCCATCCAGAAGTATCGCTCGATAAATTCAACCAGCACTTCCTGGCTGACTGGCATGTGAACAAGTACCTCCGACAACGCGTCTGCGATACTGGTCAAATGCTGAAAGCACATTCCTTCATAGAACGTCGGCCGTCTCATCAGCTTCGCCAATAGGCCCAGTAGCAATTTCCAGTTCTCGAGAGAGGAAGATTGTGACAAGCTCTTGCGAGTTTTCTCTTCCATCAAAAGTCCCATCACAGCCTCACGCTGGGGCCGAGATATAGCATCTAAAGGGATACTGGACAGTCCTTGCAGTAACACCACCCCTTTGTCGCCTGGCCAGGAGCTTTCCTCATTTATCGAAGCTCGCAGAGACTCGATGATCTGATTAACGATCTGCTCCACTAATTTCGACCGATTCAAGTTATGCTCGTTGAGCAGTAGACTTTTCCATACTGACTCGACCACTGTAGGGTTTGCCTTCGGTTGGGAAACTAGGTTGAAGATGAACTCGGGAACCTTGCCGGTCTTTTGAAAATAAAGACCAACAAACCTGCTGAATCCCTTTAGGTACCACGCTAGGTACTGTTCCATACCTGCTGCCTCCTGGAATCCTGCATCTGTCTGGCCATCCAGGTAGGACGATAACTTCTTCAACTTCTTGCTCTTCAGCGAAGAAGCAGCAGCTGAGAATCGACTGGTGAAAGCATCGGCGATTTCAATCACCTCGGGAAGTCCTGTACCATCCGGAAGAAACAATACCCAGACTTGGCAACAACATTTGGACGCCTCTAGGGTTTCAGGGCTTAGAAGATCGCCTTTCTTGAGGATTTTGGTGAGGCCCCGTCGTATTTCTTGCCAACGGTCCACCCTTTCGGCTAATGGCAGCCAGCCAAAGACCTGGGAGATAACGCTCCATTTTAACGCTGTGATCGCAGATGAGGAGTCCTGCACTCGGAGAGCCAGTTCCCAGACCAGTTTTCCAACGGCATCTTGAAACTCCACGCTCTGGACACCCTTAACAATAGCATCGAGCCAAATACATAGGTTTTCAGGACCTGCCTGCTGTTTCTCAGCCCATGCAAGAACTTCGAACAGTTGCCTGGATGATAATTCTGTCTGGACAAGTGAAGAGTTAAATGATGGAAGCTTGTCAACTTGGCCAATATGGGACCAAGGAGAAGTCTGAATTTCCTTCTGGTTGGTTTGAATGAGCTGTTCAAGCCAGAGTCGTAAGAAGGCCGAAAAATTTCTCGTAGTGCGGAATCCTCGAACAATAGCATCAATTACCTCCAGGATAGACCCCTGGTCTGCTTCGGTGGCATGGTGATCAAGGGTTCGTTGTTGGACATCCTTCAGAAGCTTCTCGCCCACGCCAGACAATTGGAATACGTCCGGGTCGCATTGTGCAATATGAGCAACCAGCTCCCAGTCGGTGGTTTCCTCGGCGAGCGCAAATGTACGACAGACATTCAGTACATCGTTTGTATCGACTGGCATAGAAGCCTTTCTTGCCTGCTTGAGTATATTTTTATAGATACTCCTCGCACTTGCACCTTGGTGTTGAAGTGCACTACTGATGGAGTTGAATAATTGTTTCATCCACTCAGCATTGCCCTTCAGGGTGCCGCTTTCAGTAAGGATCCGAGTGGCACCGGAAGCCAGAAAGTAGATTGCTGGTGCTGACACGTCGATACTCTGTTTTGTTACTTCAAGCGCCCTGGTTACTGGTTCGAGATCTTGCCTGTTGAGATATGACGACCGAGCTGGCAAGATAAAGTTGTGGTGAAGGAAGCCTTGTAGATCTGAACTCCAACGAGCCCTCAGCTCTTCGGGAATTGAGCTTTTCTCAGCACCCAGAGAATCCTCGAGTTTACTCAATGCCAATGTGCCGGGACCAAGGATATGGGTTGCCACTTCTAGTGTATCATCACTTCCTTGTAGATGCAAGGCCCAAATAGATGCTATCGTGGAAATCCAGTCATCCCGTCCCTCGATCCCTTCGAAGAGGCGGCCCTCCAAAAGAGAGTTGCATATGGCTAGCGCCGGAGACGCTATCGCCGTGGCTTCTGTGGCTGAAGTACAGAAAAGAGATCTGAGATGTTCGGAGCCAATCCTGTCATGTGATGAGCTGGTGTTGCCCTCCAGTCGCTGAAGCAAAACCCTCAAGGCTTGGAACACAGTCGCTGCGCAATCTATGCAGGCTTCTGAAGATTTCAAGTCGTCGAGTTTGAAAGTCTTTAGTGGGGACCGTTTCCTCTTTGACGGCTTTTGGGACCCTTCGGCGACCTCCGGCCTCGAAAGCTCTTTCAAGGACCGCTGCAGTATGGATATGAACTTCCTGTCGGCCAAGGATTTAGCCAATGAAAACAGAGGTACTCTCTGGAACACGCGACCAAGAATGGTCCAGGTCAGAGGGAATCGACGTAGAGTCTCTGCCGCAGGTGAAGGTCCGCTCATCGACTTCAGTAGCCATCGAAGACTGCTCTCCTCGGCTGCGTGAAACTGGCCATCGGCTCCTGCTGCCAATGATTGCCATAGATCGTCGAGGTTTTCCCCATTCTCTCCCGGCCCAGACTGATCAAGACCTCTGACGGTCTTGATGAGATCTGCCTTGCCCTGTTCAGGTGGTCAGTATTTCGAAGTAAGAATGGAGAACATGATTATTTTTCTTACCATAGCTCCAAAGCTAACTATCACAAACCGATCTCATAAAACCATTAGATGAAAATCGAATTGCAGTTTAAAAAGGCTGTGATTTTTTATCGTTATTTTTCAAGTTGATCTTCATATGCTTTCAATGCGCCGCTGCAAGACACTTTACCCAGTCGTCCGCCAAAATTTCCAAAATTCTGCCGCGCCTCTATGCCGCATCCAGCCAAACGGCACCCAAATCCTCACCGCCTTCGGGAAAGGCTAGCGCTTGGCCGAGTGATTCTCGTGAGACTTGCCGTAACATTGAAATCGCCCTTGAAGCTCAATCGCAAGCTCGACACACCATTCTATCCCTTTCCCCGAGCTCGAAAAGTAGGTCAATTCGAATTGGCACACCACCTGCGATCCTACGGTATTGACAATCGCCCCTCCAGTCCGCACATCATGGCCGAAGCCCCCGTCACCCGCCAGCCCAGCGCCATTTCCCGGCCCGTGAGCGAAGGACTGCTCAACGAGAAGGTAGAGATCCCCTCCACCAAGGCGCACCAGTCCCATGATCCCGGAGCCCCCTAATTGACACGTTTACCTAGTGGGATCGCTGCCTTTCCAACCTCATCGTCAAGTCCGGCCTCGGTCTTGGATTCGGCGTCGTCTTCTCCGTCCTATTATTCAAGCGAAGGGCATGGCCCGCAGTCATCGGCGTCGGCTTCGGTGCCGGCCGCGCATACGAGGAGTGCAACTTCAGCCTGAAGCAGGCGGCCAGGGATCTTAAGAAGGGGTCGGAATAAGGGTCTGGGAGAGGCCGCGAAAAAAATAAACCCCCGTCTTAAACCTGCAGCATTTGGTGTACATATCCCCCGGCATTGAGGAACTTGGTGAGGGAGCGTTAAGCGACGGCCAAGTGTATATCTTGGGCCGCCAAAAAGGAATTTATTAGAGGACACCTCGACGTTTAGGCAGGATTCCCTTTTCACCATCTTGTACAAGAGCGTCACAATTCCCTTTGTCTAATTGAATCATTGACCTTACGGATTGATACTTGGCAAATCCCCTCCCCAGCTTCCGAACCATGGCCATGCGAGTTAATAGTTGTAAGACTCAAGTTTCTCGCAGAGGATATGGCCAGTGTTGTATAAAATGAAAAAAAATCGACCGACGCTCCCTCGTCCTGTTCGTGATATTGAAGGCATTGTTTCTGGTCAAGTCAACACTTGAATTACGAGTGCCCACGAGCATTGACTGAGAAGATTAATCAACAACTTCAGCCATTTCACCTACAAGAAGATGTGGCAAAGCGTAGGTAGGTGTTGGAGCTCTACGAGCACTACGATATGTCTATAAAGACTTGACAAGTAACAGCATGTAGGAAACTCCGCCCAGGATCGCTGAAACTCGTGAGGAGTTCCAACAACCGCAAAGTTGAGCAGAGATTTCCGTCCCTCTAGCACATAAATTTGACCGTCAACAAGTTAAACTATCGCTCACGGTTGATTATTCGTGCGAAAAAAGTGTAAGGAGGAAAAGGAAAAGAAAAAGGCTGGCAGGACAGTGGAGCTATTTGCCTGTAGAGCCGCCCCATCATGATCACGTGACAGTTCGCCAGCTACATCAAACTGCTCTTCCCTCTGAAATTTTCTCCTGCTCTTCTTCTCAACATCAACCTCAGGTTTCCCGCAAGTCGGCAATACCACAATTAAGCTTCGCTTTTCCATGGTATAGTCCACGGAGATGCATTCCGAGTACTGAGTATTGATTCACTCGCGTCTCCTAAGAAACGGTGCGCCGCACCATGAAAATATCTTAGGTGGCGGACGGTAGGTCCTAGCCAATTATGCTGCGGCAGAAGATGCCAATGCCTTCATCTACAAGCCAGCTGAAAAAGCAACCCACAATTTGCCTACACCTTGCGACTCTTCAATGCGCAGGCGTGTAACTATTCATATTCGTTCGATGTGGGAGAAGAACCAACAGGTCTAGACAACCCGTCCGCTCCACCCTGGTTCCATTGATTTCTTCAGTGTGGGCACCAGGACTAAAATCGGACAAACATGCATCAAGAGTGCTTTATTTTGTTGACTGTAAACTACCTAAGCCTCGGCTCTTCGCATTGATGCCAGCTCATTTCCCATGTAAACACACACGCCTTGTGACGATGTGGCAGATCACATCACAGCCAACGATCGTCTCCCTCCTCTATGAACCCGGCAGTGAACCTCCTCTTTCAGCCCATTTCAGCATCCGGATTGTATATTTGTAAGTGATGCAGGTAAATAAATCGAACAGTAGCGACTCGTGTCATTCATCTATCATATGTATCCTCCAATGGCGCTTGTGGCGAAATCGCTCCCAGCAAATTCGAAACCCATTCATTATTGCCTTCCCTGAAGGTGAAGCTTGGGGTTCGTTTCTGTAGTTCTTCGACTACAGACAGGCTGGAACGGCCACCGATTTGAATACAACTCTCCGCTGAAAATGGATGAACCGACTCGCTAAGAATTTGAAAATCATACGTTTGATACAATAAAGAGGCAAAAAGAAAATAAAACAAGAACATAACCGCATACATAACCTCCACGAGTGCTCTCTCTGCCCTGAGAATATTCCGCAGCGATCGTGTGTTGACATGGAGCTGCTTTGCCCGCTCGAAAAATCCTCAAGGTATCACAAACCCAATATAATCAAAAGCCAACTGGAAACAGAATTATAGAAAAGAGTAGGGAAATCGCAGTTTCAATCTCGGTGAATATATGGTAAAAGCAAACAAGGTGCGAACCGAGGAGAAGGAAAATATCATCATCATTTCTCATTAAGAGGTCTGGAGATCCAGAACCACTAAGTAATCTGTTTCTCTGTGTAGCATCGCTCACGCGACGAGGAGGATGGCGAGCATCCAAAAACGTGGGTTTGTCTCTTGATTAGGAGACGTGGGTGAAGAGCAAGATTAGTGTCGGAAGCGAGACGCGGTCCGCTCCCGAATCTGCTTTTCGGTGGAAACGTATAATTGGTCAAGGTAATCCATGGCCGAGGCATCCTTCAGGATCTTGGCGACTTGAATGCCAGCCGAGATGAGCTGAAGGATGTTGCGGTCGTCCTTGAGAGGACGACTCTGGTGTTTGGCAGCGTGCCTCATCTCCAGAGAGTTCTCGAGAATGGTCACAAACTGCTTGATCTGCCCATTGTACAGGACTCGTGCGGGGATTCGTCGCTTGGTGGCAAGACGCTTGAGGAGATAGACCCATTCGGTCCATTCTCGGTCTTGTGGCCGCTCGACGGGGCGCATGTCCTGGGTCAAGGGAATGGGAAACTGATACTTGGCGACGAAATCGAAAGCACACTGAGACAATCTATCGTTGACTTGGCTGAGGACGTTGTCTTGCTCCTGGATGTGAAGATTGGTCGGCAAGTGAGGTAACTCCCGTTCCTGCATGGCGATCACGCTAGGCGGTGGGCGTTGCAAGAACTGATGTGGGCCGTCAAACTCATCCCGATTCGAGGGTCGTCGTTGGGGCCTATTCTTGCCATTGGCCTTCGACTTGCCGCTGTGGCTGGCCGGCTTCATGCCGTTTTCGATGGAGTAATCTGACAGGTTTGGGGATGCAATAATATCGTCGACGGAATCGGTGGGTGAGTAACGCCCCGGCATGTCCCAAGGCTGGGAAGATGCTGTGCCATTGTATGATCCCATTGCTGCACCAGTGAAGGCGGCTGATTGTGGGCGACTGTTGAAGGATCCGCCAGATGGGAAGGCAGAATCGGGTCGCGAAATGCTCCCTCGGTGGCTCACAGGACCACCATGACCAGGCGTATACCCATTGCCTATGTAGTTTGCGCTTCAAGAATACACATGTTACTAAATGTCCAAGTCGGGAGGTGGGATACATCGCTGGCTCTTACCTTGAAACGGAGTAGAAGCCATTTTCGTAGCTACCCTTGAAAGGTTCAATGAAGGAACTACAGACTCGTCAGTATGAATGTTGAGCGTTTTGGCAGGACGGTTTGTCCATACCTCCGGTTTGAGCCCCAGGGGCCGCCCGAGACGGCGGGAGCTCTGCATACAAAGTCGGATTGCGACATGTCCACTGTCCACTGTCCACTAACAGGGGGCGGCTATAGAACCAAAGACAAGAAGGAATGGAAGGGAAATAGAAAGCTATCTCGTGAATAAAACTAGGGGGCAAGGGGGGTACAAAGGACCAAAGGCCAGAGTGGATTATGAGAGTTGTTGTTGACAAGTGTCCAGGTGAGATTCCAAAATTAATTAATCCGATGGACGCCCTGACATATATCCGGGGAAGTATTTTTATCCAAGGTTGTCGAATGAGAGATACAAGATCTAGAAAAACTCCAAACGGTAACCGGGATTTCCTGGGCAGTTGATATTCCAAGGAGCTCGGAAGAAGAGGTAAGGACAAGGCGGTGAGATCCGGTGACTGGCTGACCCGTCCCCAGCAGCATACAACGGCTGCGTTATAAACACTTCATGCAAGTGGGATGTAGAGGCAGGCACAAGGGATAGTGCGCAAATGCTCAATGCATTGGAGACAAGCCAGCCTAGGGGATTTAGGTGGGTTGATGAGCGAAGGGGAAAGTAGAGGGATCGTCAGCTCCGGAATCAAGAGCTCTATTATGTCTTTTTCGGAGGGAGCTAAAGAGAACAGGACCACCTTGGCGGCAAGCCTGAGAACGGGAGCGACAATGCCCCGTTTGTGCTAAGACTGTTGCGCGATACAGGGACCAGCCAGGAAGCGGGAGGGCGATTCGCGGCAAGATTTGCAGTCCGATGGATGGTGTTCAGTGCTGTTTCCACATAACCGAGGCAGTGGGGAATGGGCACAATGCGCGACAATATGTGAATGTGAGCGATTGATGAGATGGCAATGGTCATTCAGCCCCGTGCCCTGGTGCCTGCTGCGGCTAGCTCTGTCAACGAGGACTGGGCAGGGCGATCTTGCGGCCTGGGTGGATGGAGGGCGGGCGAGAGTGGCGAACACAGGGCTCAAGGACAAGTGAGCATTGGGAAGGCTGATGCTGGCAAGATTAACAGGAATCGGTTGGCAGATGATGTTGCACATCGTGAGCTGGGGCTACCCCAGATGGACATCCTGGGAGGGACTCGAGGATGGTTGAACAGGGCGAGCTCCGGGAGTTTGATTGGCCGCGAGGCATTGTTGCCCAAAGATAGATGATGGGATTAGGTAGAGATGGGGCGACGAGAATAACAAGGAAGAACCCTGAACAACGGGGAGCGGTCAACCGTAGCCATTGGGGAGGGGAGTGATCCATTGGAACCAGGTCGGGCACCAAGGAAATTGAGTCAGGCGCCAGGCAGCAGAGCCTGAGCCCAGCGCTGTGTCATTCAGCTCACGCCTCGCCTTGCATGACAAAGCCGCCCACGGACGTGGACATGGACTCCCCAGAGGCGTGTGCTGGATGCTGCTGTGACCCGACCGAAACGGAAAGCAGGCGAATGGCTCGCGAGCCCAGCCCACCCCGACTGTCGTGTCGGGTCGAGTGGTTTGGTTTGCTTTTGGTTTTGGTTTTGGCTTGGCTTCGTTTTGGGACGAGACGAGCCCCATCCGTCCCCATTCCATCTCCATCCCACCTATCATCAGCATCATCGTCAGGAGCAAAATTTCTAGGGTGAGGGGACCAGAACCCAGACTTGGCCCGATGGTGCGTCGAATCGGGCAGCTGGTGCCCATTCATTCGTGCTCTGGTCACGCTTTTCGCTCAACAAGCACCCGAAGCCAGCTGGCAGACGCCACCAGGGATGGGATGGCAGAGAAAAAAGGCTTCCAAATGGGTCCCCCCTGGTCGTGTCTGTGCGACGTCGAGGAACCTTCGCGAGCGCCCTGCGATAGGTGCGTGACGATGTAGTACGTTGTAGAGCCGCACGTGTCGCCGCTCCTGTGGATCATGAGAGGGAGCACTTGCATGTCTGTCTTGACTCCTGACATGTTGCCAACGCCAGGCAGCGTCCTCGCTCGGGGTCGTGTCTTTCCCAACGCCTGTACGTATCATGCTACGTGCATACGCATGGAAGGACAGGTAGCCAGGTATGTGTTGTGCAAGTAATTACCCAGCAGGCACTTTGGGTGCTTGCTGGGCGCGGAGGATGCCCCCATCACCACCCGCACCTTCTCCAGCACCGACACCAAGAACGAAATGAGTGACACGCAACGGGCGTACAACCGAGCGCGGGGCATAGCATGACCTCCTATTTTTGCTTTTTAACGTTTCATCACATCTCACCCGATTCACCCACGCCTGATGACATGTACAAAGGGTCTTTCACAAGGACAGCCACGGCATAGCAATAGCCGGCAGTCTATAGGTGACAAGTCCGTCTGCACACCAGACGATCCACCCGATGTAAACCGGCAGTGAACGATAATAGGCCAATTGCTGGTGTCTGCCTTATTCGCGCGGGCGGATATGGTATCTTGATGCCGCTTCGCTACCTGGCTTGCTGGATTCGTCCGTGCATTCTGTGAAACGGACCCCATCGAGACCCGATGAAGCGCCATCTCTCTAATGAGAATGACGTATTGCGAGGCGGGATGCCTGACCCATGAAAAATTACATGGGGGGTGAGTATGGAAAGTCACTGATCCATCTCCAGCCCTGAGGCAAGCCAACCAGATAAGAATTGCCAGTTTAAACCCATGTCTGTGACAACGAACAGCGCTAGCACTTTCTAGTAGAAGCAGAAGACGCCGAAGGAGAGAAATTAAAAGGCATTAATATTGGTTTAGTTTCGGTCGTCGTCACAAAACCATCCAATAATCAATATTGGAGGCAAAAGGAAAGGAAAGGGGGAGTGCCCGGTCCATCGGGAACATGACCTGTCAGTACCTCGGGCTGTTTGCTCTCAAACACAACTGCGACAAACTCGCTGAATCTACTGAACCTAGTTAGAAGGCACCCACACGACATGCCTACCTAAGGATCTGAAGCTAAGAGAAGCAACGCTCGGACGCCCACCCCAAAAACAGCTTTTGGCTCAAGAGGTGCTCGACCACGGTGCATGGGTACGTTGCAAGGCCTAGATCTTTCAGATACCCTACACTCTCGAATTCATCGCGCTGTGTGTGCTTGAGCTACCAGGGTGAATGTAATGGACCTAAGCGTATGGGCCTGGGATATTTGAAGAAATGAGCATGTGTTGCTGACTTCAACCTAGGTAATCAAACATCATTTAGGTCTGTTGGAAAGGATGATAAATCAATGATAGGAGAACGTTATTCATCCTGCGCAACGGTGCCAGCCAAGAGTATCTCAACGGAAAATCATACCTAGTAAATTCCCGAGTGTCATTCAACACACACGGTAGGGTTACCGAGTCCTCACCAGATAAGAATGAACCAAAGCGATGTTGCAATCGTGGACACCCTGATCCCAAAGTAGTTGGCTACCCAAGAACTCAGGCCACCTCTCATTTAGAATAGGTAAGTCGTACTTAAGCCAAAGAGAGATATCATACCTCCCGATAAAGTCTTATCTGAGCGTACCTATGTTTATGTATCCGCCTTCGATGCATAATAGACATGTTACCCAAGAATGTTTGCATCCTCGCCAACATGCAGAGCCGAGCTGTACCCGAATCAAGCTGGACATGCCCCCCAGTGCTCATGAAAATAATGGACAGAGAGACTATCCAACAATTGGCTCGTGAGGGGTTCTCCAAGAGCTGAGTTGTTCAGGTCATGGGAGCACTGTTGCCCTTGATTGAACACTCAAGTCACAAAGCTACCCCACAACAAGCACCCTTGCAGCTTCAGAGTAGGAATGGCAGCTTCTAGGTTCCTAATCCCAAGGACAATTTCCAGACATCTAAGATGCTCAAGACATGTTAGATGCTCCCTGGGCGATCCAAGATTTTATATGTGCCGGCAATTCCTCCAGACCAAAAATAGGACGCACTGCCGGTTGGTATTTCCATGGACAAGACTGTGGCTTGTGCACTTGGCTCATTTGGGACAACGCCACAAGCGATGTCGAACTAAGCAGAAGGTACAATGCGGAGATTCTTCCGGTCTTTCTCCTGATTGGCTGCTTGATATGCACGATTCGTATAGCAAATCCCACCGGTTGGTCGATGCGCCTGTCATCGATCAGGAGGAGCTTCTTAGTAGCCAAGCAACCCAAGATCTTCTTTTCCTTCCTCCATCATTCCAGTGTCTTCCTCCTTCCAGCCAAAGCCACAGCTGCTGGAAACCTATCGCGGGTCTTTAAGAGCGGTGAAGAGTATGGGGTTTTCTGAACAGGGAACGGCCGATGGCTCCCCCAAAAGATCGAAAGAGAAAGTTCCATCGCCGGAGCAAGAACGGATGTCAAACATGCAAAAAAAGACACGTTCGGTGCGATGAGCGCAAGCCACTGTGGTATATATGCACCATTCTTTCAGATTAGACATATGATGATGAACCTTGCATTCCCCCATCATGCGTCATTATGTCTGATTCTACTATGGGCAATGTTCTAACCTGCAACCAGCACAAGTTGTCTCCACTCGGGCAGTGACTGTATCTACCCATCCAAAGAGTTGACTCCCTGTGTCAACGAAGAGGTGGTTAAGTATGAAGTGGATGATGGGTATGTTATTGGGAGTTTGGTGTCAAACCGGCCGTTCAATAGCTACGTGGGAGGCTCTTTTGATGTGTTACCTGAAGCGTCCAAAGCATTGTTGCGTCACTGTACGTGGATTCGTCGTCATGTACCACTCTCAAATAACACCCTTGACTGACCTCAACTGAACCCAGATGCCGTATTCTCTGTCAGAGGACAGCGCCCTGTAGTCAGGGAGAACGAACTGAGTGTGTGAGTAGGAAGACTAATGCGAATAGCTGCTCGATACGAGGCGCAGATGCGCTGACAAATGCATAGGATCAACAAGGCTTTTGAAAACCCGGGTTACATGCACATGTGTCTCGTTCTGGCTGCTTGCCAGTGGGCTTGGGTGAGGGGCAGTCTGGATGAAGTCACATTGCCCTTCCTTCATCACAAATCGGCAACGTATCGTTTTGTGAGAGAACAACTCCTGAGTGCAGACACGGCTAGGACAAGAGAGACGAACTTGGCGATATCAACTCTCGCTTTAACAGAGGTACGGAGGCCTTCGCACAGGACGTTAAACTCTGGATCGAAGAGAGACGCTAACCTTGCTCGAAACATAAGGCAGCCATCGGTGATTTGGAAACTTCATCCAAGCACCTAATGGGCTTTAGAACCGCGATGCAGAGCAGACCATCTGGCGAGTCGCTCCCACAAAAAATGCTAAAGACGCAAGTGTACTTGATAGCGGAGGAGAAAAGCATCAGATGGAGCTAACTGGTAGAGCAGGATGAGCGAGAGTCTTCGACAGATGGCCTCTGTCCCCAACGTAGTCTCTGTATCGGAGTATCAGCCAACATTTCTTGCACTTATCTTCACATCGATATGGGATATCACCGCCCTCCCACCAACTGAAGCACCGAAGTACGGTTGGTGGGAGGCTGCCTCCGTATGGCAAAACCATACGAAGCACTTGAACCTTAACTATGAGTTGTCGCGAGGTTTCAATCCAGACACATACAAGCCAAGAATATTGAATGGCGATCCGCAAAGTAGTCGCACTTGCTTCATCGCAACAATCTTCTATCTTGTCTCCGAGGTCGGGGCCGGGCAGATGGATACTGCGCTGGTAGACTGGCTTCTGGAACAGCTCATTGACGACATCACAACGTGTGAGCAGCGGGTAGGGGCGAGCCCAATCACCGGCCCATTGTGGCTATGGTACGTCCTATTTGGCGCAGCGGTCGCTGATTCAAGCAGAGCTTCGGACGTGGTTGAGGCCATGCAGCTGGCCAAGTGGAAGAGAGTATTCGAGGACAAGTTATCCATTGCAAATGAAGCATTGGGCATCAGTGACTGGGCGACAGTCAAGCCGATGCTCGCAGGTATCACCAGGGGACTGGATCACGAGGGAGCTGAAGATCTCAGGGGAATATGGGAGGGAAGCACATTCCGGAATTGTAGCATCGCAGCGATAGACCAACTATCCTGACCACTCCTCCGAACTGTGCCAGAGTGAGTCATCGGGTATCAATGTACGATTATTTTCAGCTGTATTATTCAGAGATGCGTTGTTCATCGTATCATTAGTAATGGGAGAAAGATAGCTTCTTCAGCTCAGGTGCAGACGTCTCGTACGAGTTGGATCGCAACGCAGATGTCCTTGATACCTACCAGTCTGCCTGCCAACGCTAAAATGCACCATCGCTGCGATGAGATGCGTCCGGACTAAGCAATGCAACCCAAGAAGAGAAATCTTAGATGGACTAGTTGCTCACACGACAATGGGTGAGACAACTTAGGCAGGGTTGGTGCGGAGGCGTAATCGTGGGCTTGCGCTCGTGTTGGTGACGGGAATCATGATTTGGATGGAATGCGAGGCGTATCGGAATCGCACGTGCGACAGTGTGCGACAAAATTTCCAAGTTGTTCTTTTTCCTTGCTACGGTCTCCGCTCACACCTCACCCGCATTGGCAGAGAGCCATCTCACTTGGCTGGCAGGCCAAACTGTCACAGTGCATGAGGAGAGAGATAACAACAGCTTGATTCGACAGAAACTGCAGTTGGCATCCGCACAAACCGCCCACCCAGCCCTCCGCCCAGATTTGGTGCAATCAGAGGCTGTCTGGAGAGGAGGGGATGGGCTCGACCGTCGAGTCGGTGAGCACTTGCGAGGATGGGGCACAGGCTGAAGCAGCCACCACACAGCCAATAGCTTGTGATGCATGCCAGCGAAGCGGCCGAGTGGCCGCAGCGCCGAGGGCCTCCTGCGACCGGTGGGATGATAACGTTCCTGAACGAGCAGCTTGCAGCAGCGTCGGTCTGCCATCGTGATGCGCTGGACGGGAGGATTGGCCAGCAGGCGTCCATCACGACGCTGGCCGGCGCGAAACTGGCCGGTCGGCTGGGCAGGTCGGTCGCAATATCATATCGACCTGGGTCGCCTGCTGCAGCGTCTGGCGCCAAGCATGCATTGTGTGTTGTCACGGCGCCAGATGCTCCTCGTTGACCGACAGCTCGTCGCCATAGGGCAGCATGGCCTGCACCATCTCCACCCGGCCATCTGCAAGACCATCTCCACGGGCCAGTCGCAATCTCAGACGGCGATATCCCTGCCCATCCCACCCTATCAAGCCCCTGCGACTACATGCACCAGACGCCAGCGCATTGCTGCATCTGGGGCCCCCTGGCTATCACACAACCAGGAGGCCGAAATGCCGTCACTCTTGGGATTCTTCTTGCGCGAAAAATGGGCTCCTCAGCTCCTGGCTCGAGGGGAAGGTGTAGGATAAAACCCGCCTGCCCCGTCGTTGCCCAACTTGATCCTCTTTCTTCCTTATTCATTGCCCAACGTTCCTGCCCAACTCTTCTACCCAAGCCTCCTCTTTGAACACACAAAGACTTGTTTTTGCCCTCCCTGAACACAAATTCTTCCGCCTTCCCACCAACGCAGCCAAGAGGAGCCACAAGGATCATCCCCCCTTTGCTTCTTGTTCCATCATCGACACCATTTTGATACTGGTGCTTGCAGTTAATTTGCTCAAGCCTAGTTGATATACCGGATCATAGAGCATTGCCGCTCTGCCCTGGATATCATGACAGTTTCTCTTGTTATGTCTCAACCGGCCAATATGCCAAGTGCCAAGCCAACAGAAATCGACGAGGTTCACTCGCTCTCTAGGTACTGTTTTCCTTGCTTTCATGTTTCGTTTCTGCTCTTCCTTCCAAGACATCCTCTCGACAATCACTTCCCATGGACACCTGGACCTCAGATTCTGCCCTCCCCAAGGACTTCATTCTCTACTGGACCATGGACCTGCATATTCTCGGACCGTTCTCTCTCATTCTTTTGGATCTTTGGAGCATGTCCTAGCCGGGCAATGCGCAATACAATAATAATCATTGCACACAATCAAGAAGCGGGCATGTCAACCCGTGGTATGTATCACCCAAACTACAGATTTCAAAAAAAGAAACAGTCTTTAGAATCTCATAGGACCTCAATACATCCAAGGATTTGATTCAGGAACAACCCCAGATGCCAATGGATCCCATTTGACTGGATTTTCTTCATGGAACGAGGAGACCCCTGAGAGGAACCGCGCTGCCAGACTACACAGCCCAGGACATGGTTTTGGATCCCCAACTTGCGACATGTCTTGGACATCCATCGACCACCACTGCCACTTGACCAACAACACCAACAACACTGGCCCCAGATTGAGGAAACGTAGCACGACACTGGACTGAACATCGACATGAGGCCTTGACCACTTTGAGAACGCCACACTCCTTTTGCTGTTGCCCACTTCCGCCACTGCCTGAATTCGACAATCCAAGGAACTGCATCCATCACCTGGCCCTAGATAGTCGACATTGGTTACCTACCCTATAGAGCTTCACCTTGTATGCCTCAACAACTCCCAATGCCATGGATTACAACAACTCTTCTTGCAATACTACTGGAGCCCTACCTGGATCATCTCGCCAACCTATACATGTTGATTAATTTGTCAACAATGGAGCCACACCAATTGCCATCTTATAGGACCAACAACACCCAGTCACTGCCCAAGTGGAAGTAGATGCCATGGATATTCTGGATTTCTGTTTTGTTTTGTGTTGCTTGAGTTTCTTTTTACTTTGCAACTCTTGCATTTTATATGGCTGGTTTGTGATAGATACCTCAACCCCCTCCCAGTAGATGCAGGAAGACTAACCATGAGTCCAGATCAAAGTTGATACACGCCTTGTTCTTTTGTCTTGTCACAATATCATATGAACAGTGGAGAACAGTACACTAACCCAACATAGCGATTACAGCTACACACAGAACATGATGCCTCAATCAGGGCTATATTCTTTCCAAACAGAAACCTCAGCAGACCTGCTGCCCGGGTCAACGTGGGGCACATCAGAAGGTGCACAGAACTTTCAAGATCTACCAGACTCTGAGTCTTGCCATTCAGGAGAAGCCGAGGAGTACATTGTCACATCAGGCCAGGCCACGCCCCGAGGAACCAGACTGGAGCGCTCTCATGCCAATGAGAACGCATGGGCTTCTGGCCTTACTCCCGTGATCCCTGGGGGACATGCCATGTCCCGGATCCCTTCAAATATGTCAAATGGATCCTCGCTGTCACATTCGTCAAGATTGTCCAGCTTGGATGTCAGAGGTAACGTTTCCACTTTCAGGAACGGATCACAACTCCCTGGCCCCTTGGTTGGAGTCGACACATCCTGCCTGTTCTTGGACACAGATGCCAGCCTCATGCCCCCTTCGGCATACTGGCCCACCTATGACCTGACCACTGGTTTGGAATCACAGTTCTCCCTTAGCACCAGTCCCACCATGCATGTTGTTCCTTCCCAGATGCAGTTTGGCCCTGACGCCAGTCTTCCTGATAACTCTTCTCCCGGATCTTGGAACAGCTTCTCCAGCTCCATCTCAAGGACATCTTCACCTGCCACTATTGATGAGGCTTGGCTGCAGTCGGCTCACCGTCCCCTGAGCCCTCACTCATCACCTGAGCTTCCTTGCCAGTCCCCAAGGTATGTTGTGATATGTTCGGTTTGTTCTGCGATATTTTCCCTAATTGGTGACTAACTTCTTGTAGCATTGGCATTAAGAATGAGATGCCTGAGGATTTGGTAGCTGCCATTCCCTCTCTTGGTGATAACCTCGGCCTGCCTGCCGCTTTTGGACCCCGCCGGGATGGCGAGACTGCCCGGAACCATGAATTGTACAAGAACGCCACCCCCAAGGAGGATGGTCTCTACCACTGCCCCTGGGAGGGTGAGACTTGCTGCAACCACCGCCCTGAGAAGCTCAAGTGCAACTATGAGTATGTCGGCCCATCTAATTTCCTCCTCCTCCTCCCGACTAATCGAGCCTTCACTAACTGAATCAGCAAATTCGTGGACTCCCACCTGAAGCCCTACCGCTGCAAGGCCGAGGCCTGCGAGGGTGCCCGGTTCTCTTCCACCGCTTGCTTGCTTCGCCACGAGCGTGAGGCTCATGGTCTCCATGGCCATGGTGATAAGCCCTTCCTGTGCCAGTATGAAGGATGCGAGCGTGGTGTTCCTGGAAACGGTTTCCCCCGCCAGTGGAACCTCAAGGACCATATGAAGCGTGTGCACAACGACCACGGCAGTGCTGGTGGGTCCCCACCTTCCACTGCTGCACCGCAATCCACCAAGGGCCGCAAGAGAAAGACCGACAGCTCAGAACCCCAGGGAGTCAGCCGCAAGGCCTCCCAGAAGAGCATCCCCCCCAAGGAAAAGGTCCCTGCCGCCAAGCCACTGATTGAGGAGTGGCTCGAGCAGCGAAAGGCCGTCGAGGACCTCCTTCGAACCCTGGAGAAGCCCGAGGATGCCAACAACCTTAACCAGATCGGAGAGATCCAGAAGCGACTCAACACCATGGGCCAGATGGCCTCCAAGGCCAGTGGAATTCCCACACAGGATATCAACCCTGTCGCCCATGTCCAATTCACCTCCACCAGCGGTTGAAAGGTCCAGCCGGACGAGGGATGGGATTATACAGAGTACAGGCCTTGAGGCCTGACCAGGGACACCGCGCGGACCACGCCGCCCCGTGGCGAAAGCATGTGTTGGATGCCAGTGTATCCAGCATATGGCGCCAGGAGTCGGGGCAGAGAGGCGTTCACGGTCACCCACACTTGTAGCTCGGCACGGTACTTCTTGAAGCATGCCAGCTTTGGCGAAATTTGCTCGAATACCAAGCCGGGTACCTGGGAGACTTGGGGAGCAGCCGAGCACATGTCATAGCTTCGCTGCTTGCGCCACACTCCCAGTACGGAATGAGATTAAGTCTGGAGTCATTAGATTCCCTTCGCCATTCCACCGGAGGTTCAACAGTTCTAGCATCCCGCAGAGGGGTAGCTGAACAATTAGCATGATACGATTTTCTTTGTTGATGGATTATATAAACCCCAGTTGGGTTGATAACGGATTACAATAACAGACAAAAGGACTCTCGTTAGTCACTTGAACAGAAACAGTATTTTCTTTGTTGGATAGTCTTATTTAGTTAGTCAATTGCAGTTTTGCTCTTTGCCTAAAAACATGTGTTCCTATCGGTGAAAGTAGATGACCTAGATGTTTCTTGGCAAGGTGACGACTCAATGTTTCAGAGCAACGAGCCATCTTCCTCCACCGCCCCTCGTACATGCATTGATACCACTGCGGGGGCTGTTACCGTGCATGGCATCTACACTCTGTTGCATCGATGTTCTGTCGTTGACCGCTCCAATCCACTTCATGGTAGCCCTGGCAAAGCGACTCTACAATATAGGAAACTAGTCTGGGCTCGGCTATGCCAACTCACTAACCTCGGACGGGAGGGCTGCACGATGGGAAGATCCGGGTGTTGTGTTGAATCGGTCGAGTGGCTGAAACCGGAGGTGGCACACCAAAACTCTTGTCGTGTAAGCCATGGAGCTGGGCTGTTTTGGTTGGGATCAGCAAAGGAAATAATGATAAAGAAAGGATGATCTTATGATAACGGCCTGGATATCCTGCGTGTTATTCGGTCAAGTGTTTGATATTAGGTCGAGATCCAATCTCGGTGGCACGTTTTCTGTCGCCCACTTGTCGACCCATGGCGCCAGTCTCAATGTGGGCCCAGACCAGTAATTGCCATCACCTGTTTTTACCCCTCCATGGCCAGTTCCCCTCCATAGCTCTTCGCGTCAATAAAGAACACCAACTCCTGGCTCCATCCGTTCTAGCATCCTATTCCCTTCAAACCACATCACCACAGCAAATACAATCACAATGGCTCGCAAATTCTTCGTCGGCGGCAACTTCAAGATGTAAGTTGGCTTTATTTCAGCCGCCCGCAGCCGTTGAAGCTGCCGGTTGCTGGACCCCTCAAAACGGCGCATCCACAGTAGCATGAAGCTCGCTATCAACGGTCCAGCACTGACATCTGTCTGATTCTAGGAACGGGACTCTCTCGTCCATCAAGGAGATTGTCGAGAACCTAAACAAGTCCGAGCTCGACTCCAATGTCGGTTAGTCGAGCCGTCTCTCTCCCAATCCCACCTCCCCGAACCACCTGCTCCAGAGCTAACCAGCGCGACATTGTAGAGGTTGTCGTCTCTCCCCCATCCCTGTACCTGCTCCCCACCCGCGAGCACCTCAGGAAGGAGATCGAGGTTGCCGCCCAGAACGTCTTCGACAAGCCCAACGGTGCCTTCACCGGTGAGATCTCCGTCTCGCAGCTCAAGGACAGCAACATCACCTGGACCATCCTCGGCCACTCTGAGCGCCGCACCATTCTCGGCGAGTCCGACGAGGTCGTCTCCACCAAGACCAAGTACGCCACCGACAACGGCCTCGGCGTGATCTGGTGCTGCGGCGAGAGCCTCGAGGAGCGCGAGGCCGGCAACACCATCAGCGTCATCACCAAGCAGCTCGAATCCCTCAAGTCCAAGAACCCCGACTGGAGCAAGATCGTCATCGCCTACGAGCCCATCTGGGCCATCGGCACCGGCAAGGTCGCCACCACCCAGCAGGCCCAGGACGTGCACAAGGCCATCCGCGACTGGCTCAAGGGCGTCAGCGACAAGGTCTCCGACGAGACCCGCATCCTCTACGGCGGCAGCGTCAACGAGAGCAACTGCGGCGAGCTGAGCAAGCAGCCCGATATCGATGGCTTCCTCGTTGGTGGCGCCTCTCTTAAGCCTGCCTGTAAGAAAAACCCACTCGTCTTGAAGCTACTGAGATGTTGTGATACGGAAGCTAATCCAGACTGTAGTCATTAAAATCATCAACTGCCACCAGTAAATGGATACTGCCCTGTACCGGGCCATAGAAGGATAACAAAGAAAAAGGGTAAATGCCATGCCCAAGCCTAATACACATGGTGATGTAGTGAAATATTAAATAAAAAAATTTCCATCTCCACTTAAGAGACTCCAGTGTCGTTGCTTGATATGTCCTCCCAATACTAGGCTCGATGCCTTGCCGTTCCCGTTGAAGTTGACATGATGGATAAATGTATGTTCATTTTCGAAATCGTGATATATCATTGTTGTTACAAGTAACAGTTCAAGCCGCTCATTTGGTAATATACATAAAATGCTCCCATCTACACAATCATGCCCTTGCCGTGGTAAGGAGACCAGATACCTCTGACACTGGGCTTGGTGCTCGTCACCGCCTTATTTGTACGCTTCAGCTTCTCTCCGCTCGCGTCTCGTAATAACTCCAGCTTATCGAGGATTTCGTATGGTGATAGGTTTCGTACGCAGATTGGCTTCGTTCGGCCGTTGATGTAGTGGCCGGTAATGACGGGGTGCTTGCCGGGTCGGGGGGAGATGGAAAACTCGACCTGGGGGTTCGCGGCGGCGAATTTCGGGAGGAGAGACTTGATGAAGCCGCTGGGAGAATGGTCAGATATATGAATATCTAGCAAGATCTTTAGTAGACCTACTTCATGCCCTTGGAGCTGCCGGCCCAGTCGCAGTAGTGAAATTCTAATTTCTTGCACTGAAGGATGAATGCGCCGAGGCCATTCTATGGGCAATTGAGTAATTAGTATGAAGAGATTGGCTGTGGGAGGGATATATGAGGTACATACCTTGCCACCACTAGGGATGGCTCTGAGAGCCTTCACTGTCATTGTGAATGAATCGATGGCAATTAATATCTTGGAGCTTCCTCAGGTTCGTAGTCGGGAGGATGAGGCACCGGAAAAAAGCGTGTTGGGAAGTGCGGCAAAACCCCGGCAAACTGTCACGCACGCATCCAGTTTCGCGGCGCAGGAAACCTTCGAGTCGAAACTACCTGTAGCTGTTCTCACCCTTAACTCAACCCATCTCTCTGCACCAGCACAAACCTCCATTTCGATCACAGCCATCGCAGGGATCCCACAGACAACTTCGGTGCGATGACAGACAAGCTCCCGCCTAACTTGCTGGCGCTTTTTGCACCACGCCCGCCGCTGCGCTGGCTCGAGCATCCCGACCACGCGCCTGAGCGTCGCAAGACAGCTCCCATCGACGGCGTCGCGGCTTTCCTTCCCGAGCTGCAGCACTACAAGGAGACGGACAAGTACGAGCCGACGGAGAGTTGGCTGCAGGCACGCGACAGGAAAAAGCGCGAGAAGAACGAAGCTGTCCAGGAGCTGATTACGGAGGGTCCCAAGAATTGTGCGATTTCCCTATTAACCCCCAACTGAACTTGTGCAGGAACGCATCTAACATATTTCTCTTGCCATCTACAGATAAACCTAATGAGGACCCTAATATCCGCGGCGACGCCTTTAAAACTATGATTGTGGCCCGCTTGAGCTACGAGGCCGATGAGCGAGACTTGGAACGCGAATTCGGGCGGTTCGGTCCCATCGAGCGCGTATGAGCTAAGAATCGACCCTTAATTAAGCCTTTTACTAATATTCGATAGATTCGTATTGTCAAAGACAGCCACACCCACGAAAAGCCAAATAAGAAGAAGAAGCCGCACCGAGGATACGCGTTTGTTGTTTTCGAAAGAGAAAAGGATATGAGAGGTAATTCCCCCCGCAACCAACCTTTGATTTTATTTTGTCGCGTCTTTTCTGCCTGTTGGTGAAAAGAAAATCAAGTACAAAGCGTACACAATTTTGGAGCTGTGGCCCTCAAGCTTGCCCTCTCCTGGATTTTGTACGGTTGCGAGACACAATAGGGCCCTCAAGCTTGCCCGTCTCCGTTGTAGATGATTCCTTTTCACTTATCTCCCAAGCCAAAATGTACCGGGTTTCATCATGGTAAGATTTACTGACACGCGCCTACTTGGCGCAACCGTGGATAGCTGCCATCGATTCTTGCGATGGTATTCGAATCAAAGACCGACACATCAAGGTCGATGTAGAGCGAGGGCGAACTGTGCGTGGCTGGAAGCCTCGCCGACTCGGTGGAGGCCTTGGAGGCCGTGGCTACACCAAGGCTATGCCATCTCGCCTTATGGGACCTGGTGGGTTTGGCGGTGGGTATCGTGGCGGTTACAAGGGCTTCGATGGTGGTCGCAGCCGCGGTGGTTTCCGAGGTGGCTTTGGAGGACGTGGAGGAGGATTCAGAGGCGGCGACTCCGGACCCCGTGGCGATCGAAATGGTTTCGGTGCTCCCAGCGGCGCTCCCTCAGGACCTGGTGGATTTGATAGAAGAAATGGCGGCGACCGCAATTTCTCTGGTGGGTTTGAATCCCGAGGTGGACGCTCATATGACGACAGACCCAGAGATGGTGGACGAGACGGCGGCCGAGATGGTCGTGATGGAGGCCGAGATGGAGGCCGCGACGGACGAGACGGAGGCCGACATCGGGATCGTGACGGCGGCCGTAGGACCGGCAGCAACATGGAACCTATCGGCCGACGAGAGGGTGGGTATCGCGACCGGGACTACGACCGACCCCGTGAAGAGGATAACCGAAAGCGCGGATACGATGGAGGTGGCTATGAGGACCCTCGCAAATTGCGGAGGTACTAAGAATCATCATCAGAATATCCGGTGGGTTCTTGGGTTTCCAGTACCCCTTCTTTTGTCGTCCAGTGTCCCTTCTTCCCCCCAACAAAAGGGTAATCAAAAGGTCGTGCAAGCTACGACTACCAATGGATCCGAAGTCGACCTATTGAAGACTGCACCCCGACTCAAGCACACCAGGTTGAAAAGCGATTATCCGAGCTGCATTTTCGGCAGCATCATCTCGATTCCTTCCTTCTCTCTTCCAATCAAACCGCTTGCGTTTTGATAGATGGTTTGCCACTACTTCTTCTGTTTGACGCTCATGCTACAGACGAGATCTACCTTAACAACACATCTGTAATGGAACCGGAACGGAAGGTAATTTCCTAGTCTTTGTGTATATTACTACGATTTGGACCGAGGGACCAACAACGGCTTTGGTTCTTCAGGTTCCGCAGCCCTTATGGTAAGCTAAGGGCGCGAAAGTTGCGGTTTGTTCGACTATTTTACTTGCTAGGTATCTCTCTCGCAGCCCCGGCCATGGAAATGAACCGTGACTACATGGGCTGCCCTTCGGAGGTCAATTGAGTTTCTTTCTCCTTATGCGCTTTCGTGAGACTTTTATGGTTGTATGTAGTTTGGTGAGGGAGACGCAGTGCCATTTCAAGCTTCTAGATCTACTATGTGATGAATGCTCTTGTGCGTCCCAAGTACTTTTGTTCCCCGTCAACGCCATTCCCGATTTTCGCGCTGGTATAAGTCATGAAAAATAGTGTACCCTTAAACTGAAAAACATGTCTTGGTCCTTTATTCCTCCATTGCGCTGGGGTTGACTTCAGTCACCTCCCCAGTAGCCGAACTCCAGTATCTAAGCAAGACCATGTCAGTACACCACAACAAAATAAAAGGCGAGACTGCCTTCACTTACGCTAGCACGTTGACCTTGAATTCGCTCAAGCATACGCTAAACAGCTTGAGCAGCCTGGTCTGCCGCGAGTCGAGGATGTCGCCCTCCTTGCAGACGCTGTACGCCTCGCCCTCGCCGCTCTCCTCGCCCAGCACGATCTTGCCCTTGACCATCTTTGTGGGGACGCCCAGCCTCCGCAGCTCGGGCTCGATGGAGTGCTCCATGGGCACGTCGTGCTCCGCGGGGACCTCGCCGGCGGTGGAGTAGACGACGCCCGCGGGGATGGAAAAGTCCCTGCTGGCGGGGACGCCCGCGCGGGCGAAGTCGATGGGGGCGTACGCGGAGAAGTAGTCGAGGATCTCCTGGGCCGGGCGGTTCGTGAGGATGAGGCCGACGGTGCCGGACAGGTACTTGGACAGGTCTTCTGTGCCGGGGGCGAGGGCGTCGGCTGCGTCGTGGCCGAGGGCCTTGGCCATGAGCTTTGTCTTGCCGAAGAAGATTCTGGGTGTATATGTGTTAGCCAATTGAGTTCCCTTTGCCTTGGTAGCTTCTGGGGGGTGGGGGATTTCCGCGCACCTGCAGTCGGACAGTTCACGTCGCACGTCCTTGAGATGGCTGTTGCGCATGTTGTCGACGCTGAAGACGAAGACGTGCTGGTATTCGGGGACGGCGTCGCGGATGTTCTGGAAGAGCTGCTCCTTCTGGTCGCGGTTCTTCTTGGAGACCTGGGTCATGTGCACGACCTTGGAGCGCTTTGACTTGGGCATCTTGGCGACTGGTAGGCGTCTTGTTTAGGGTTTTACACTTTGTTGTAGATTCGATTCGAGATGGGTGAAAAACCGGGATGGGTATCTTGGTGTTGATTTTTTGGTCTGCAGGGTCAGATAAGAGACCGATAAGATTGGAAAATTTCGAGTATTTTTTTGGGCGGTGTCTTTCAGCCCCACCTTCCTGGTAGGCCGCTCACCGAGCCCAGCTCAGTGGGGTAGAATTTTGGCATCGATGTGGGATGGCATCCATTGGTAACCATGTGGCTTCGGGTCTTATGGTTGCCTACCTCAATCCCGCTCCGAAGCAATGTCTCATATTCATTCTAATGGAACTTGCTTTTTCTGTTCTAGTTTTCTTTTTGCTCATGCGACATATCTCGTATCGGAGATATACGTACAATTAATCACACTTGAGCCATTATGTGTCTCCCTGCAGTATGTACCGGAGCAGGCCATGCCAATGTTCTCGTGGGGGTTGAGGGGAAGTGAGTTTAGGGCAAACGAGACCCTTCCATATGTGTGTGCCGTGGTTGGTTGCCGGAATCAGACAACTGACGCCGGGGATACAGGCCGTAGATCCCTCTAGAACCAGAGCCCGAGGCTCCCTGCATCATCGCCATCAGGGGTCAATTACATAGTAGCTGGATGTGCGTGTACGTTGGCATGTGTGGAGAGAGGCCAAAAGCCCAGCTCCTTGTTCTTACGGTGTTCATCGCAGCGTGTGCATGGCATGTGTGTTTGCCCAAACATCTTTGTCCCTGTTTGGGGTTGACGTCGCGGGACGCACGGACCACCCTCTCAGCCAGAGTGTGAGGCCTGGCCGGTTAGGCTTAATAAAGGACGTAATTTTTCCTCCTCCCGAAAACCTCCAATCTCCACGACGTGACTCCTCAAGGACACTTAACATCCCCTCCTCTGCTCCAACCCGAATCTCCTCGTGATTCCCCTCCGACTTCTTCTTTCATACTCCCTCGCGAAGCAGACGCTCCCCCGTACCGCGTCATTCCGTTTCTTTCCTTCCCTTCGAACCTCTCCGAATCATTTGCGTTGGCTATACCACCTCCGGTGCTATATCGTCATTCTCCTCCCCACGGCGACTCTGGGAATACGGCACAGTCCTCGACCTTTGCGACCCTCCCTTAAAGCGAACGCTTCTTGATTGCATCTCGCATTCTTTTCTTTGTTTGCATAATTCGCACCTACGTTTTCGATTCCAGGCACTAGCAGGTCCGACGCGCCCACGCAATAGCCTGCTGTAATTTCATCCCCACACCTTTTTCCGCACACGAATCCACTTCGCACATAACACCGCCGCCATGGCTACGAACGGAAGCTTTACACACCAGGAGCAGTACAAGGCTCCGGCCGACCAGGGCAGTGCTCCTTCTGACGTTGTGTCCACTGCCGGCTCGAACAACAACCTCTCCAAGGACCAGATCGGATGGATCTTCATCGAGCAGTACTACACCACTCTCAGCAAGACGCCTGAGAGGCTCCACGTGAGTTTATATGCCGCCAGATTATTTCGGGACGCTTGGAGAGCTTCCTGACTAACGTGTTCCCTGTAGCTCTTCTATCACAAACGCTCCCAGTTCGTCGCTGGAGTCGAGGCCCAGCTCGCCGATGTCTCGGTGGGACGCCAAGTAAGTTGTCCATGAGCCTTCATTCAATAGCTGTCCCCGAAGCAGTGATGGCTAACAACGCACCCGCAGGCTATCCAGGAGCGCATCAAGAAGCTCGACTTCCAGGACACCAAGGTCCGCGTTTCCAATGTCGACTCACAAGCATCTTTCGACGGCATTGTTATTCAGGTGATCGGTGAGGTTTCCAACAAGGCGGGCGAGCCCAAGAAATTCGTCCAGACATTCGTTCTCGCTCAGCAGCCTACCGGATACTTCGTTCTTAACGACATTCTTCGATACATCGATGACGAGGACCAGGTGCCTCAGGAGACTGCCCAGGCCAACACTGCGGAGGCCCAGGAGGCTGCAGTCGAGGCCGAGCCTCCCGCCGAGCCTGAGAAGCCCGTGGAGGCTGCTTCAGAGGATCCCAGCCCCGCTCTTGACGTTAAGGCCGTCGAGCAGAAGCTTGAGGAGGCCTCATCTGAGGAAGCCGCCCCGTTTGCCGAGGAGAAGGTCGAGGCGGAGAAGCCGGCTACCAAGGCCGAGGCCGCCAAGCCTGATCCCGAGACCACCGCCAAGGACCTCGCTGAGGAGGATGCTAAGGCTGCCGAGAAGCCTCAAGATCCCGCCCCTTCCCCAGCCGCCAAGGAGGTTGCTCAGCCTGAGGCTGCCGCTCCTGAGCCCACTGGTCCCCCTAAGCCCATGACCTGGGCCAGCCGTGCCGCTGCCGCTGCCGGACCTCGACCTGTGGTCCCTCTCCCCAAGACCGCCACTCCTCCTGCCCAGAGCCAGAGCCGTGCTCCTGCTCCCGCCGCTGCGCCCGCTGCCGCCGCCGCTCAGCCTGCTGCCCCTGCTGAAAAGGCTGTTGCTCCTGCTGCTGCTGCCCCCGTTGCCGAGGCCCAGTCAAAGGATGCCTCGGGCTGGCAGACAGCTGGCGCCGACTCCAAGCGCCAGAACCGACCTCAATCCATCTCTGCCGCTCCTGTTGATAAGGAGGGCACCCTTGGCTATGTCAAGTACGTGACCGACAAGGTCCAGGACGGTGAGCTTAAGAAGGCTCTCGAGGCCTACGGCGAGCTCGCCTACTTTGACATCAACCGCCAGAAGGTATGTTAAACAAGTCTTCCATACTTCACCATCCGGAAATACTAACAAGCTTACAGAACTGCGCCTTTGTCGAGTACAAGACCGCTGAGGGTCTCCAGGCCGCTCTCGGTGCCAGCCCCCACAGCGTCAACGGAGAGCAGATCATCGTTGAGCAGCGCCGCCCCAAGGCCAACACCTACGGCAACAACTTCAGCGGCGGACGCGGCGGCTCTCAGCGAGGCCGTGGTGGATTCGACGGCAACCGCAACGGCGGCCAGGGTGGCAGCAGGGGCAACTTCTCTGGACAGAACAGAGGACGCGGAGCCCCACGCGGCCGCGGTGGTGCCCAGGCTCAGAACGCCTAAACAAATGAACAGACATAACAGCCATGGTATACCGTGGCTCTGGGGCGAGGTGAAGATGCCCCGATAGCCCTCGGACATATTTACCGTCTAGGGTGGGACAGCGATCTTTCAAAATATGCTGGGCACTACATAACTCCAGAGTGCCCAGCATTGCTGACATATTTTTGCAACAATCATGAGCAACTATCAGCCAGGAGACAGGAAACATCAAATACCTACTTTGCTTGGGTATAGGTTAATTTAGCAAGACAAAAGGGACTTTGCAGGTGTTGAATCTGCAGTATCTGTATGTATGGGAAGGTTGGGCGGATGGGAACAGGTGCCAGGGATATATGGAGTTTGGCAGGGAGCGTGTGGCGCATTGCCTTAAATTTCTTCGCTTCATGTATTTTCTTCTTCTTTTTATCATTGCATCTGGCGCTATTCATTGGCATTTATTTTCCCCTTGGTTTCGGCGGAAAACGATCTTTTTTTTTGAGCCGGCCGTTTTGGTTTTTTTTTCTTTTGGCGCGCGGCCGAGGGAAAGAAAGAGAAAATCACTCGGATATGGTGGTTGTGAGGGCCAATTCTTTGCAACTGGGAGCATTACTACTTGACTTGCCTGGCAATTGAGCCTCACCTGGGTTGAAGAAAAAGGAAGCCGATTGCATAGGGCGGGGAGGAATAATCAAAAGTGTGTCTTTTGTTCGCAGGAGGTCTTGGGGGAAAACGGCATTGGGAAATGGGAGGAGTGTTGAGGGGAAGGGGGGGGAAGGGAATACCAGGGAGAGGGAAAGAAGAAGGCGAGAGGACTCGGTGACGAGTCTGATCCAAACGAGGGTTTGGCGATTGTCAGCGAGGAGGGCCAGACTAGAAGGAAGCTTTGTTTGTATCTGTAATATGAGTTCGTTGACACAAGTTCTGACCTTGCCTTTGCCTGTGACTCTGATGATCATCACAACCCACCCATCTTCACGGCGGTTCTGACAACGTGAGATCTTATTGTTACTGCTACTGCTACTCTTACTCCTACGTCTGCCAGTCTACGTATGTTTCTGCCTCATTTGCAACCATGCTGCGTTCTTTGGAACTTCGGAACGCAGTTGATGGTTCCGAAGCAATCCCCATTAGTCTACCCGTCTTATATCTGCCTGATATCAACTTGCTCCTCCATTGGTCCACAGCAACGCCTGCGATGAAGCGTCACCGTCCAGGTTCAGGGAAAATATATCAGAATGCTACGGTGGCCCAAGCTAGTCATCTCTTCACATCATCAAGGTAGCGTTCTACATCTTAACGGAGCTGGACATATAAGACCAAGGTGCCATTATACCAAAGGGTAGGGCGGCAACGCCGAAAGCTGGAAAGTCGGCACTCCGCGCGTCACCCAGGTGGAGTTATCCAGGTTGGCCGAAGGTGTTGATTCCCCGACGGGGTACGCGTGTGATTGCGTTGCTTTTGGGATTTCTGTATGCATCATGGGGAGGGGGGGGGACGGAGATAGATAGATGATCGCGTGCTTCGGGGGGCGGCAGTTGGGTGGGACGAAAGGGAGAGCCCACCACCTTGGTTAAGAGTGGTTTTTTTATTTCCGCGCTCGGAGAGGCAATGATCGGGGGGATGTGTGATTGGGGAGTGGCATGCCCTTTCGTTGGCTCCTCTCGGTTGGACTTACCGGGTGGTGGTTGAGCTTCGAGGATAAGACAGGCGAAGGGGTCCGGAGTCGGCGACAAGGGGATGGACGGTGATGAAGATA